CGTCTGAGCCAGACCAATTTTTCATCAAATCTTGTCGCCTACCGGGTGTGGGGGTTAATCATCATCTACTGGTTGGGATTGCTGTGGTGGCTGAGACGGCGTCTCGCCTTCGTCCCGATGTAGTAGCGCTTGACGAAATGGGCACTTATAAGCACCGCCGCCGTCCCGCGCCTGCACCCTGACAATGCCATTGTGATGTGTCCGTTTCTATAATGAGGTTTGATCAATTTTTGAATATATGTGGAGGATCGCTATTTCCGGAAGAGTACCGGGGCGACCTGGATGCTGCCTGGCAGGAACTGCAGCGAAGTCGTCCCGATCATTCCGCGGCCGAACCGCAGATTAAGGCAGAGTACCTCCGTCGTCTCGCAATTTATTCCATCATCACCGGTAATTTAGCAGAAGCATATCGGACCTTGGGAAATTTGCACGCTTTGCTCGACACTCTGCCGGCAGAATGGGGCTTGCGGTATACCATCTACATGCTGTTGGCGGACTATACGCGCCAATACCCGCCAACCCTCCGATTTTACCACGAGCGAGGAAAACCCACGAACATCGCCATGTTTAGCGATATCTCAGGCCCTAATGAAATGAGCGCTAGATTCATGGAAAGAGTTCGGACGTATTTCGAAACCGGCTCCGTTCGAGATAAGGCTTTATGTCAGATTCTATGCGCGGTCATGTTGTTCCCCATCCTGGCCAGAAAGCTGAATGCTGAGCTTGATCCTCTATTTCCCGGTGGTTTCTTCCATAATCCCAGCGCAGATCCAAATGCTATAATTGCGCAGCATGCTGCCAGCTTGATTAAGTGCCGTGAAAGTGCTGAACAGGTCGGCGAGATGTGGATCGCAGCTTATCTCTCTCGGTTGCTTGTGGAATTGCGCATCGCGTCTCAATCATCGGACTGGACGACTGCGCTGAACGACCTATATAATATATATCACTGCCAGGAAGATTTTGCGGGAGCGGCCAATTGTCAAATGATGAAAGGAGATGGTCTCCTAGGTCCATCGTTCACCAGTCCCTTGGCATTGAACTTGGTCCTTGTTGACGCCAGCACGGCCATCGGGGAGGACAGTCTATGGGATCCTGTTGAGCTTGAGCTGAAGGATCAGTACTCCTCTCAAGTCAAGGAATGTTATGAAGCCGCTTTGGAGCTGTTCGGGAGAGCCAACTGTAGGAGAGGTCAAGCAGCGGTTCTGCTGCGGCAAGCGTGTTGCCTTCATATCGCGGCGCGGCGACTTAAACCAACCGATTCAAGTCGATCCACCGTCATACACGATGCCCGTGCAAAATTAGAACAGTCAAAACAGCTCTTCGGGAAAGATGAAGTCAATTGCCAGATTGTAACGGCCCACCAGATCCTGCTCGATATCACCAGCGGAGATAACCGGAATGTCAAGCGGACCGCAAGGGGCATCGGAATATGGGCAGTGCAAGCAAAGAACCAGTCTGTGGGCCACTGTCTTGGACTCCTCATATTCCGCTTCGCCCGCCAGGAATGGTGCACGTTCGCCAGAATGGATAATGCCCTCGTGGCATGGGAATGTGCCTATGAGATCTTCGAGAGTATTGACGATGTCCTACCAATGTTTCAGTCGGTTGTCTCTCGCGCTTGGGTACAAGGAGAAATGTTCAACCTGGCCGCGCTCAAAATCCTGGTGGATAAGGCCGTAGGAATGGTTGATAGAGTCCGTCAATATTACGACGTCCTGGCCGAGAATACACCGGATACCAATTCGGGAGAGGCAGATCGACTTCTCATTCAGATCAGCAAATTCACAGCCCTTTCGAGCTTTGGGTCAATGGTAAGTACGATGTACTTGCGTCTGGAAGATCCGCAGCTGGCGCACGCGTGGCAGTCGAAGTTTGCAGGAATAATGGAGGACGATGAAAGCTTTCGAGAAATGAGAGAGCGAATGGAAAAAGGATTGGATTTCCAGAGCGTCTCCCCCGAGTTATCCTGCTCCAAAACCAGGTCGAAAGGTTTGTGGCAAAGAAGGGTTGTGGAGGATGCTATGGCTGCCAGGTTTCGCGATGCGCAATTCGAGTTTCAAGGATGGCTTGCCAAAGGTGACATCGTGAGGGCCGAGGCAGTATACCGTCGCTTCATGGATGAGACAAAGAACATGGAGTCATCTTATGCCCGGGATGGCTATCGTCTCTTATTTTGCAGGAGCGTTGGAGATCAGACTTCGGCACGGATGATCCTCGATACCATGGACGATAATGCGCTCTTTCAAGGTAACCTGGAGGATTATCAGCAGGGCATCGGAGTCAAATCTACCTTTTCCGGAGTTACAGACAACGCGCTTATGTTCTGTCTGCTGTCCCGGGACGAGGAGAGGGCCTATCGCGTTGTTCACATCATCCAGCAAATCTCACCAACCTTCTATGAATCAAGGGATGATAATGTCATCGACCTTTCCTTTCGTCTGAGCTACTATGGCGCGACCATGCTGTATAATGGTCCCTCGGAGGTCGCTCTTCGCAGTTTGCTCGAAGCCCGTCAGCTGATTGAACTTCGGCGTCAACAGACTACGGATGTTGACGCTCGAGTTGGGACATTCAGTCCAGGATGGATGGTGGAGGTATACCTCAATCTTGCACGAGCTTGCCTCAAGTGCGCCGATGCAAGGGTTTCATTACAAATGCTGCAAAGACTTGATCACGGCCATCCGGACGACCTGTCGTGGGAGGAACATGCTCTGCTGTTCCTAGAAGAAAGCAGAGCCCGTGCCGTGCTTGAAGCCCTAAAGACACAGGTTGCTCATGACAAAGATGAACATAATCCATCGGCTCCGGTATTAGAACTGATCCATAAACGCAGGCTACTGAGGACGCTACTCGCTTTGAGGCATCGAACATCTGAGCAAGAAGAGGAGATCGGCGACCTTCGGATGCAGATTAGCCACATGGAAGCTAGTGAAGTTTCTGCTACGGCCAGCTCTTTCATTGATATGGCGAATTCGATTGTAGCACCGAAGTTACTGTATCGAAGCATCGCTGAAGACGCAGTGGTGATAGAAGCAACGTTCGGCTACCAGGGCTTCATTGCCTTTGCCGTCACCTGCGATGGAATTCAGAACATATACCAAGATTGCACTCGCAGCGTCGACATCCGGAAGCCTGTTATGCAGATGATGAAGGTCTTGACAGAGATGACTGGATATTTGGGCGATAAAGAGGAGGAGAGGAAGGAGTTGTTCAGTGAATATGCCCGGCAAATCTCCAGGCTTCTGGTCGATCCGTTCAAGGAAACAATCAGGCAAAAGAAGCATGTAATCTTCTCTACCTCTGATCCGTTGACCGCGTTTCACTTTTCGGCACTTGTTTTGGATGGCCAGCCCCTCATGGCACGCTTCGCAGTGTCACAAATCCCTAGTCTCACGGTCCTGTATCATGTTTCTCAACGCGAGTCTCGGTCGGCTGCTCCCACCGTGTCGGTTTTTGCCCGGTCTCCCTCCGCGGAAGCACTCAGTACCATGAGAGACAAACAAGAGGCTAATCTGCACTTGGCGGGAATTGAAGCGGTGAACATTGCGAGAACATTCTCAACGTGGCCAGTTGATGCAACGAATGTGACGCGAGCCGAATTCCGCAAGTATGTCGAGGGCAGCTCCGCCATCCTTCACATTGGCACTCATGGCGACGTTGACTATCGCAACCCTCTTTTGTCGTCTATCTCGATCGGGGAAGACTTTCGTGTCCTTGACATGTCCACAATAAAATCCAACGTCAATCTTCTCGTCTTCGCGGCATGCCTAAGCGGGTTGGGTCGAGCGACCACAGGCAGCGAGGTACTGGGATTCTCTCACGTCATCCTTAGTACCGGCTGTCAGGCGTATATCGGGACCCTCCGTAAAGTCAGCGATTTTGCCTCAATGCTGCTGATGACACTGTTTTATCGAACGTTGAGAAAAGCACCTTCGATGCCAGTAGCATACATCCTTCGACAGGCGCAGATAGAAATAGGCCAGTTCGACAGCGAGCGCGCGGCCGATTACCTCGATCAGCTGATGCAGACCTCACCTTCAAGCGACGATGACTCTCGCGGCCCTAAAGACTTTGTGCCAGATGCGGAGTATATGATCTGGACGACAAAAATGATCTTGCATCAGCTGGACTGGTCTAGTCCGTTCTTCTGGGCACCTTTTGTCCTTATGGGATATGGCAGCTTGCGGTTTGCGACGCAATAAGCTTGATAATGTGCGACGATTATCGTGTCCTTGATCTCTCAAGACTTGATGTCGACCGAATCGACGATTCTCAAGGAGAGTCCAGCCTGAGATACTACGAACTCACGCACGATGTTGCTTCGCTTATTGGATGAACACGGGAATTCTGATGCTTTCGTTTCCCTTCTGAGCTTATGACTTCAAAACATGCACTTCTTATGCCTCGATAACTTATGTTATCATGCTGTCTACGGTACCTATATATTAGCAGTAAATAGGGTTTATACACATTGCGCAACTCGTACATTGCACGTCGTCTTTAGGTCTTCATTAAACTAATTACATGAAGGCAATCTCAAGTATGTGAGGACGAGTCTTTGAACAGATAAAATATAACATTTCTTGAAGTCGAAGGCTTGACTATAGTACATGCGGTTTGGCAATGTCAACAATATATGTATGGACAATGATAGACAAGAGGCTTCTGTGATACTGAAATGCAAAAATGTAGTCATTAGGATGGTACTGGAAGTAGGTACGGCGCAAGTCCAGCTGTTATATCCAATAGTATTGCCCCGAAAAGCAGCGACAATTGTCTCCTGCAGCATGCACGGCTGACAGCTGCAACGCCCAAGGCGCATCGATGGCTACGTGTCCGTCTGTATGAGATTTGTTATTTCCTCCCGCGATTCGCTTCTGCCCTTCTGCTCTTCTCCTGTTCAGGAGCAGAAATACAATATCAAAGTCGAGTTGACTCATCCCCTCAGTCTTTTTAGTTCTACGACAGGTTCTTCGGCTATGTCCTATATCACTGACGTCATGAATAACTCGAAAATTAAAGCGATTCTAAGCCTGTTTCAAATACGGACGCTACGATGGCCAGACCCAGAGCTGTCCATTGGGAAGTTTCTCAGTGACATGGAAGGCAAGAATAAGTGCTGGGAGGCCGAGGGGCCTGCCAAAGAGGCCTTTGAACGAGTGAAACCAGAGATCAAACAGTTGTTTGAAGAGCGGTCTGTTGAAGTGCCAAGCTCGAGTTTCATCCTGTTCGACATTTATATGATTGGTGAAACCCAGTTGACCGCCGTCCCCTATATCATGTTTTCATGTAAACACCGCGAGTCCCGGAAGAAAGCTGTCACCATTGTCGAAGAATCTAGCGTTCTACAGAAATGTCCGCTCGAGATTCGCCTTGGGGACTGGGACTATGCTCCCCATGTCAAGGATCCTCGATTCCTAGCATCTTCGGTTGAGGAATGTTGATAAAACGATTCTGTATTTCATGGTGGGTGATTCTGAGGATACATAGAAGCACATCTATGCTTCCCGAATGCTCCTTCTAGGTATTGGCATGATCGGCTTGTCATTCTTATAACCGGGCTCGATGACACCAGGCCATCGACCATGACGCAGTGGTGGAATGATAGACGGAAGGGGGACCAGTGGTATGCTATATGGTCTGCTATTGTATTTACTGTCTTGTTTAGTCTCGTGCAGAGCGTTGAGGGTGCAAAGGGTGCATAGCAAGTGTATAAGGCGTATAACCCGTGATCTGTACAGTTTCATTTTGTAATACTATGCAACCAAAATCCTTTCGCAAGGGGCCCCTGTAGTATCGAAGTCTTTGAGAAATGACAGAGCTGACTTTCAACATAGATAAAATGACAGTTGCAGTGATTGCAGCAGTCCAAAAGAGAGAAATCCTATTGGCAATTGCGCTTTGGCATGATAAAAACATAGCACCTTGAGCTAGCGCTGCATAAATGAATGATCAAGCCACTGCCTGTGCCTTGGCCCGCTCAGGAACCGAATAGATGCCCACGCGCCCATAGACATCCTTATACTTCTGCCGCACGTAATCATCCACCGAGATAGGCGCATACTTTTCATCTTCCGGCTTCGCGCGACACGACTCAATGCACCGGATCACAAAGTCCGGATTCCCATTGTAGTTGAACGGGATGGAGTACCGGTCTACATTCGACCGGTTGATCACCCGGTGCACGTTGGACAGGTACTCGTCGTTGGTCCACTGCTGGAACAGATTGCCCAGGTTCACGACATACGCGCCTTCGACCGGCGGCGCAGGGTAATACGACTGCGTCTCGTCATCCCACACCTCCAGCCCGGGGACATCGCCCTGCAGCAGGAGTGTGATGACGCCAAAGTCGCGGTGGGCGCCGATACCGCGCTGCAGCGGGTCGGCGTCGGCCGGCTGGGGCGGGTAATGCAGCAGCTTGTAAAAAGCCATGGGCTCCGTGCAGAACTCGTCGAAGTAGGACTCGTCGTAGCCCAGGGACACGGCGATGGCTTGCAGGACTTTCTCGGTGAGGGCAGTCACTTGGTTGAGGTAGTCCATGCAGGTGTCCCGGAAGTGCGGTCCCAGCGACTCGGGCCAGAGGTTGGGTCCGTGGGCGAACTTCTTGGAGAGGACTTGAGGATGGTCCGGGGGCAAGTCCTGGGCGACGTAGTAACCTTCTTTCAGATCGGGCTTGGTGTCCTTTTCGATCATCTGACCGTACATGACTTCGTAGCCGCGGTTGTGGTCGTTTTGGGCTGAGGATATTAGTTGCGTTTGTTTGTTTGAGGGGAGGGGAGGGGATACATTTGTCTAGTTTCATCTTTTCCTCCAGGGGAAGGGCAAAGAACTCCTTGGATAGCTTGAACATTTCCTTCTGCAGGCTCAGTGGGATTGGATGGTTGGTGATCTGAAAGAATCCCAGTGTGCGGCAGGCATGTCCAATGGCGTCGGTGCACTTCTTCTTGCGCTCTGGATCACCAGAGAGGAAATCGCTAAAGTCAACAATTGGAGGAGATGGCATGATGTCTGCTAGAACTCTTGATGCTTTGAAGCTACACGGTGATGGATTGATCTGGAGCGATTGAAGAGAACGTCTCGCCGTTTATATATCTATTCATCATACTCCCTCGTCTTCAGATGATACTTGCTCCGCAATCTGATTTGGGGTCCAAACCGGTAAAACACCCAAGGCAATGGCGCCATCGCCAGAGCCACAAATGCCAGCAGGCTCGTTGCCCATGACGTCCCCAGGGAATGATACAAATCCGTCGAAAAGAGGGGAAACACAGCTCCAAACAGGGAACGCAGCACTGCATTGGCTGCCAGAGCACTCGCCCCAAACGAGCCGTAGCAGTCTGTCAGATATGACGTGATCCCCAGGAAGAGAAGGATGAGGCCAAACCCAAAGGGCACACCGGCGACGATGCCGGAGATCCAATGTGTGGGCGGGGTCACCGTCCAGGCAAACCAGAACAAGCTGATGGGGATTAGCCAGGAAATGACGATCAAGTGTGGGAGGCGAGCCTCCGGCTGAGGACCTCCCAGGCGCCGGACGTAGATGCCATGGATTCGATTGACATATGGCGAGATCAGCGTGGCGAGGGCCATGCCGACGCAGATCCCCAAAAAGGAAAGTCCTGCAATGCCGGCGGACCAGCCGCGTGTTTCACGGTAGACGACAGGATAGGCCGTGAAATCAAGGTAGAGGATACCGTAGACAAGCGCCATGTACAGGGACAGCAAGAAGAGGATCGGCTCCGTGAAGAGCATCAGCCAGGGCCGCGTGAGCGTCGTGTATAGCATCTTTTTGACCGGGGGTTGATTGGCTGCGGAATAGCCCGGCATGCATCGTCTTTTGTCCATCAGCAGCTTGGGGGGATATGTCTCGGGAAGAAACACCGTCATGGCAACGTAGCAGAGACCACTGAGGATCAGCACCACCCAGAAATTCCACCTCCACGACGTGTACTGGCAGATGAAACCACCCACTGTGGGTGCAATGACGGGCCCCAGGAAGCTAGCCGCGGAGAAGAGGGCCAGCGGCACGGAGCGATTGTCCTGGGGCCAGATATCGGTGATGGATCCGCCGGAGTTGGTCACGGTTGGAGATCCAAAAAAGCCGGAAAAGAAGCGAAAAACGATCATCGACGCCACGTTGGGGGCCAGCGCACATCCAATCTGGAAAAGGACGAAGAGCCCCAGCACAAGCCGGAAGATCGTATTGCGACCCCTGGCCGATTGCGTCAGTTTGTTTCCCCTGCAGAAGCCGAAGGATTGCAATGCCTGTACGTACCAGACCTCAGAGAGCGGTGCAAACAGCAGGGGCCCGGATGCGAAACCTAATAGGAAGGTGGTGATGCCCAGCGTCGCAACGGTTGACGAGCAGCCGTACGCATGTGAGATGGACGGAATGGCGGCCGTGTAGATGCTCGAGCAGAAGGCAATCGTCGCAGTCATCAACACGAGAATCCAGGTGCAGATCCCTGTCTCGGCGTCAGTCTAGGTCACGAAGACGTCAGAATCTTACTTGCATTTCTTCCCCGCAGACCAGCATCTAGGGTTTTCTTGTTCCTCCAGCTGAACGGGTCGGTCCGTGGGAATGGGTTCTTTTGCTTCGATGTCTGCTTGCTGCGGGAGAAAGTTTGCCGTGTTCATGGCTACGATGGATGAACGGACAAACTGGTCGAGAACGGCGGGTTGAGGCGTGTTTAATGTCTGTTCTGTTGATGTGGACAACAGGGATTGATGACGTGATCTGCCCTCCGTCGGGGGTGCATGAGATGCTTTCCCTCAAAGTGAATATAGGAGCGCCGATTGATCAAACCCTGGAATCCTGGATCAGGGATGGTGATGCTGCAAAGGTACAAGTAGTCAAGGTCTAAGCTAACTACTCTACATGCCTACCGCCAGGTTGGGGGCTATAAAGAAAGGGAGCAATTCTTTGTCTTCTTTGTTACCTATTGAGTGATTATTAATGGTGATTAACCCCACAATTACCATGTTCGGATAGCCGTAGGAATCCCATCCCTGCCATGAGCAAATAATAGTGTCCTATGAATCATCTGCAGTGACCCTGGATTGGCTAGGTTTCTTTCACGGACAAGGTAAGAAGCAGGGTTTTGGCTGATCCTTCATTGAATAACTTTCGGAACTTTTGTTAGCCATAATCAAGCAAATTAATGCATCTACCATTCATATAAAAGAATAATCTCACCCATGCTGCATGGCTCGGAGTGGCCGAGTACTATCCAAAAGAAGTAATAGTCACACTGGATCCAGGGTATATCTCCTTACAATGAAAGTGACGTGATGGATGTGTGGTGATCTACTAGTCACTACTTCACCTTGAGGGGATCGATGTGTTCTCTCTCCTCTGTTCCCCTGTACTCACTTCCTCCATTCCAGCATGGAAATAGGCATCGTCGGCGCCGGTGTATCCGGTCTATATACGGCACTTCTTCTCCAACGAGAAGGCCACCGAGTCACTCTTTACGAAGCCAGTTCCCGCATTGGCGGACGCATCTGCACCCATCGTTTCCAACCCCTCAACAACAATGAAGATGTCTACTTTGAAGCCGGGGCGATGCGCATCCCCCGCTCGACCCTGCATTCGCGTGTGTACCAGTTCATCCGCTACCTCAACACCCACGGTCGCCACGAAGACAAGATTGAACTCATCCCATACGTCCTTGAACAGCGCAGCAACATCGCCTTCATCCGCAACCGCAAGGTGAATGTTGACGATTCCACCCTCGCAGCCGAGTGTGGCCTGCCGGCGGAGTATCGGGGGAAATCCGCACGACAGCTGCTGGGCGAGGCGGTCACCCCGTGGCTGAGCCTGCTTCACAAGGACTTCCAGACCGGGTTTGCACAGGTGATGCAGCTGGACGAGATGTCGTTCCGGACGTACCTGCGCTTCGTAGTTGGGTGGCCGCACGAGGTGATCGACTTTGTCGAGCTGATCAACAGCCAGACAAATCAGTACGATCTGAGTTGCACGGAGATCATGATGCAGAATCTTGACTTCCATACCCGAGACTGGAGCACGGTCCGCGGGGGCATGTCGCGTCTCACTGAGAGCGCAGCTAACCTCATCGGCCGGGAGCACATCCATCTCAACGCGCGGGTCGATTCGATCAAGGAAAACCCAGGCGGAACCATCACGCTGTCTAGCGGTGCACACTCTGCCACGTTTGACAAGGTCGTCGTGGCGATCCCCCCGGCCGCCCTGCACAGCATCCTCAAGCGCCCTACCTGGTCCTTCATGAAAGAGCAGGCCCTGCGCGCGATGCACTACGAACCCCTCTACAAGATCGGCCTACACTTCCGGACCCGCTTCTGGGAGAAGCTTCTCACCCCTTGTCTCGGCGGACAGAGCGTGACGGACCTCCGCTTCCGCTGGATTGTGTATCCGTCCAATGATATTGGAAGCCCGGGGTCCGGCGTGCTGCTGCTCTACTGCTGGATGAACGATGCCTACCGGATGGCCTCTCTCCCTCGGGACCAGCGCGTGTCTCTTGTGTTACACGATCTCCAGAGGTTCTACGCAGACACCGGTGTCAACATCTCCGACGAATTCATCGACGCGTTTGACGTGTGCTGGAACCAGCAGTCTGCCACGGGGGATGCAATGTTTCTCCCTGGGCAATTCAGCCGGTTTTATGAGGCCTCCCGCCGCGCAGAGGGCAGTGTCTATTTTGTCGGTGAGCATTTGAGTCGCCATCATACCTGGATCGCGGGGGCGGTGGACTCGGCGATCCAGACGGTGGGCGAGATGTTGGGGATTAGCGAGATCCGGTCGTTGGGCGAGGAGTACGCCCGGGTGAAGAAGGGGGGCGTCAACGTGCAGCGTCCCTGTGGGCGGAAGAGATGCAGTTATTCCATTCCGCTGCATAATAATGTGCAGTACGTGGAGGATTTCGAGAGTGCATGGATGGCCAAGAGTGGGAGGCCGACGGCGATTTGTTCGAGGACATAGGTTGATCTAACAATGACAGGTAGAGGAGCATGTTCTAAATGTAAATAATGCTAAGATCAAGAGCATGGTGTATGGTTGCTCAGTACTCGGCCAGCGCATCGTCGGCCTTGATGCACCATGCGTGCGTAATCAGGCTGTCTTTGACTTGCTGGCTTTTATTACAACATTCATTGTCTCTACTATTATAGAGGTGTCACTTCTATACAGTAGGAATAACAACAGATATCCGTCTCTTGCCCAGGTAATATACATCAACGATTATGACAAAAGAAAGTATGAGAACGAAAATTGATACAAGGAAAACAGCTGGCGTCTGCCATAATGCCAGAGGCCAGATTGAAAACAAGTCAAAGGAGCAGAACATGCCCAACTAAATAAACGCCCATGGTTAAGAAGGATACGCGATCTGCGCTGTACTCTGATAGCCAGTAAGCTCAGGTCTCGTCCGCAACCCCATCTCCTCCTCCTCCTGGATCAATGCACAGCACCCACACCAGAAGGTGACACAGCAGTCTCCAGGACAGGAACCCTCAATGCCATGCTTCTGGCGCATCTCGCTCCGCCGAATCGTTTGAATGATCCAATGGCAATATCCGAGGGTTAGCCTAGTAAGCCATTTGTACTAGTGGGGTGTACCTACCTCCGAGTTGATACTACTATAGTTTTGTAGCGTAGGATCCCGCACTCTGGCCTGGGTTTTGCCAAATGTAAGACATGGAAGACAGCAGCTTGTGAAGCCTTTGATCGCAAGTTAGCTTGCAGCATGAGAGAGGATGTGTATGGACACGCACAGAGTGAGCCTGGTGAGCAGCAGTCGAAAAGTGAATAATTCCAGTTTGGATTATGAGTGATCGCACTGGCCTCATCTGATTTAGTTGGATGGTCCTTCGGTGCGGTTGGCATAGAACGATAGGCCTTGTCGATTGAGGTCATCTTGGCTGCAGATTATGGCGTGCACTGGGGAACCGGGATGAGGGATTGGACGAGCAGGTTGCCACTTCCGGGTTAATAGGTTATATACCCCTGGTGATCCAATGTCCTGGCAAGTTTATATAATCTATCCCTTAATGTTCTGATACCAAGCTGGAAGTTCGCATTCGTATGGTGACTTTCCCAATATGGAATAGGACTATGGGGGGAGCTAGGGTTGCCTGGTGGATCCTGGCCGAATGGAACTCCTACGATTTCTAACCTGTTGATTAACCAAGTGAGTTCTAACTTGTCAATAGATTAATTAGATTGTACTAGTATTCGCGACCCACGTTTGGAAAGCCTTTATGAAGAACACGAGTCCGACTTTCTTGTTCCGTATGCAGGCTTGGTCTCAGCCACAGGGTCTTGTTCGAAGACTCGTTTCCCCTTTGGCCAGAGGTCCACTCCGACAGTTGGTAGGATTGGACATCCCAATGCAAAGGATAATCCGAGACATAATGTGTTGTGTAGTTTTAGGTGGACCATTCCCGGATGTCTGCCAGCGGTCACTCTACAAGGCAGCTCGCATTCGTATGTGCGTCAGCGCAGATACTCCGCTCAATATCAAATGTCTCTACGCTAGAATTGCACCATCAGCCCAGGAGTATAAGTACCCGATATGGCCTCTGAAGCATTACACGACATCGCAATACGAAATAAAACCTTCCACAATATCAGCTCTCCTCCGTTGGTATATCGAAACCATGAGCCATATCCGCCCTGTCACAGAGTGCTCCCCATCGGCGATTGCCACACCAGCTATCTTCGGCGCCGAAATCCTCGCCCTCGAGGCATCCTGGGTCAATAACTTCACCCTCGATATCCCTGGTGATTTCAACTACAACCACGGTGCTCAGTCGGTACAAAATGTGGATTTCTGCAATGTAACAGTGACCTACACCCATCCAGGCTATGACGACCGTATTACCGTGGAGACCTGGCTGCCACGCAACTGGAACCAACGCCTACAAGCCACCGGCGGAGGAGGATGGCGGGCCGGTCGGTTCGCCCTGTCCCAGTTCTTCATGGGCGGCGCCATTGGAGAGGGGTGTGCGACGACGACAACCGACGCCGGTCTCGGGGATAAAATGCCAGACGCATGGGCTCTCAAGAGCCCCGGGAATGTCAACCTCGAATACCTCCACAACCTGGGCTACCGATCCCTCAACGACGAGGCGATTATCGCCAAAGATCTGGTGCGCTGCTTCTACGGCATGCCTCCCGCGTACTCCTACTGGAGTGGCTGCTCGCAAGGCGGACGCCAGGGTCTCATGCTTGCGCAGCGATACCCGCACGCCTATGATGGTATTGCGGCGTCCGCACCCGCGCAGTCGTGGCCCGAGTTTGTGACCGCGCTTTACTACCCGCTTCTTGCTCCCCTCTGGGCCGGCGAGCCGTCTCCGCTGAGCTGTGAATTGCAGTTCCTGACGGAGGAGGCTGTGAAACACTGCGATCCCAAGGACGGAATTGTCGATGGTATCATCTCGGAACCGGACAACTGTGACTTTGACCCTTTCAGCGCGGTGAATAAGACTTTCTCTTGCAGCGCTACTGGGAGACCACATGCGGCTTAGCAGAGCGGCAGCGATCACGGCAAAAGCAGCTTGGTCGGGCCCTAGGACTGTTGCTGGTGATTCCTTGTGGTATGGGGTGAGCCCAGGTTCGGACATCTCTGGACTGGGTGTTGCGCCGGGTCAGAACATCACGGCTAGCCCGGACGAGTGGCTCAGCTTGTTTGTGCTCAAGAACCAAAGCTTTGACATCGCCCGTTTGAGTCACGAGGAATATGACTCGCTTTTCCGTCTCGCCGTCAAGGAATACACCGATGTCATGGCTGCCAATGATCCAGATCTTACCGAGTTCAGGAACGCGGGAGGGAAGCTCCTCACGTACCATGGCATGGTAAGTTACTGACCATATATCACCTCAGAGGGTTCCCTGCTAACTGACCAAGGCTGATGGCAGCATTCCAACAAAGGGCACGGAGCATTATTATCGTGCAGTTAGCCAGTTGATCCCTGACGTACAAGACTTCTACCGGTACTTTGAGTCTCCAGGTCTGGCGCATTGTGCTGGCGGCTGGGGTGGACAGCTAACAACTGCATTTAATGCGTTGAGGAAATGGGTGGAAAATGGTACTGCGCCCGAGTTTCTCCCAGTGCGCGTCAATGGGACGGATGGAGAGCACGACTGGATTCTGTGCCCCTATCCAGCCAAAGCGATCCAGCAAAGTGGAAATGCCACCGACGTCGGAAGTCTTCGTTGCGCCCATTGACCGGTTGTCTGTAGAAAGTGCAAGACATGTATACTGTTTTACTTCTGAGCTGCCCTTTTCTGACTGAACACTTGTAATTCTATTGATTAGTTTCTCAATTTCACAATGCGTATTTCACCTGCGAGGCTTGAGACAGAACACTATGCAATAGCGGGCAATCGACAACACTATCAAGGGGCATCAATCCTTGATAAAGGTAAACTGTCGGACAGTCGACCTATTTGCTCCACCGGCCACTGGACATATTCCCGATGATGCTCATCAAGGTTGTTATAAATGCTATTGATGACATGTTCAGGCCACCCACGGATAAACCACGCCGGATCCAGTCGCTTCAGCAAGACCGTAAAAAAGGCAAACACCACCAAGGCAACTGGCCTGCGCTGTTGCGCATCTGATAAAAAGAGATCCGGCAGTGTGTACAACCAACCGAAGATTTGGGGCCAGAGTTGGGACTCTGGCAGTTGGGAGGTGCCGCCAAATACGACATCGTAGCAGTGACAGAGTCGGTCCAGAACCTGGGAGTAGTCTGTATACCCGACATCGCTGTCTGGGAAAATCGCTGAGATCAGATGACGTACTTGGGCCAGGGAATCTCTATATGCCGGCGAGACCGGTTCTTCACAGTGAATGGGAGGTTCCTCCTTCTGGGAAGTCATATCTTCTGGATCGGCAGTATGAATGGACGAAAAGTCAACCGAGAGAGTTGCGCTACGAATCTCCATGGTCGACCGCAGGCCCATGAATAAGGACAGACAGCCTGGACGACCGTCGTCGCGGTAAGCTAGATACTCCCCCTGCTGGGGTCCTTTCGCAAGCAAGCAGAGAAATATGAATATCAAAGATGCATAGAGTGCTGGACTAGTTGTTGTATCTACTTAAGGAATTGCGGCTGTCACCTCACAGACAGCTATCTCATAGTGCTGTTCAGCCACAGTGTACAAGTCAGTCCTCAAGCCCAGGAATGAATGATTTGCTGGATCGCGTGCTAGGTGAAACCCTGAGAACGCTAGAAGAAGATGTAAAACATAATAAAAGGTAAACCCTAGTTGAGACAGCTGGGTTTGCATGTGGTTTTGAGAGGCTCCTAGGTCTATTGAGGCAATGAAATGATGGAATAGGGCCATGTCGGTGGCTGTGAACTGGAATGGCTTCTTGGCCACTGCTTGATGCAACTGGGGGTTTGGCTTATCATGCTGTTGTGTTGACAGCGGATGTGAACTATGCCCTCTTCTTAGAGGAGTGAAATTAGATTGGGATGATGAAATGAAGGTGTAGCTGTTGTTGAGCGATGTGGGAGTCACTTCTTCCTCTTTGGATGAGGTGGTGGAAGATGTTCTGGGATTTAAGGTATAATCATAGTTAATGGAGTGGCGCAGACAGTTGCTATAACTAGGCTTCACTTCATCACACTAGAGCAAGTATTTTTAGTACATGCCATTATTGGATGTGTAGGAGGCCAACCTTTACCCTACGCCTTTTGCAGTTCTGGCACCTGAGATGAGATTTTGGATGCGATCGCCGCGAGTTCTTGGCTGTGTAGGGACTGAGTCTAGGAGGCATCATGTACTTGCATATTGGGCCTAGTGATGAGTAATAACTGTAGGGGGAAAGGGTAACAGTGCAGAAATAATTGCTGACACAAATTTGCTCCAGCAGAGAATGAATCCTTCCGTGTCTCCTTTCTTGATGGAGGGTGGGGATCGGCTAAGGTCTCATACTAAAATATTATGTAAAAGGCCCTGGCCACAAAGAACATGACAACAGATAGATAAACTTCTCAAGAAATGTGATTCAGAACTGGAAGCTTCATCTAGCCGGCTGACTATAAACTTGATGGGGAGATCCTGACGGACGATGGAGTTCTCTCATATTACTAAGGATGCAGCCTTGTTTCTGGGCAGGTAGCCTTAGCAATCAATAGGCGTTGAGCCAAGAAGGTACACTCATTCTCAAAATCCGTTTGTAATCTCTCTCTGTACGAGATAAGAGTCCCTTTAGTTCTGGTGTCCTACATGCTGACCTGCTATCAAATCACCACTTGCTATAGCTAGCCAGCTAGTTATCAAAAGGTAGGTAAAAGTAATCAGTCCAGTGCAAACCAGAAAAGAGATACTCTTCATCCAAAGATGAGTCTTCGGTCAGTTAGAAATCATACAGAAGTTCACTGAATGGAAATGACTGATCAAGAGGAGTTATACCCCAAAAGTACAACGCCTAAGCGATCTCACCAAAGGCTCGAATAGGCGAGAACCTATCGACAGGAGACCGGGGCAATTTTCTTGGAAGCATGAACACAGCGACTCCCGAGGTGCCTGCTCAATGCCCCAGAATAGCAACCAAGCTAGGTGTTTTTCTCTTGTGTTCCCCTGGCTCTCTCAGCTAGGACTCGCATAATCTAACCTTAGATAAAGATCACAAGCTTGCATATACGGCGAGCTTTGTCCCCAGAATACGAGAGATATCTGGACACACCGCGTTTTTGACCTCGTATTCCGCACGTAGCGCATCCTTTAACAGACCTAAGTTGCGAATACGACAGGTGTTACGAGTCCTGAGCATATGCCAAGGACATGTGGTATATATATCTCCTGCGAGCCTCGGTACCACTCCCCCATGCCTTCAAGTACACCTGAATACTATCATACAATACAAAATGTCCACCGATAGCCTCGTCCCCATCCTCATCTACCTCACCGGCGAGACCCGCGTCAACGACGTGGTCCTAGTCGACGAACACGTCTCCTCCTTTGAGGAATTCGCAGCAACGCTCTACCAGAGTCTTCGCCCCAAGATTCCCGACTACTACCTGGAGAGTGGAGAGCGATCCATCACCCAGGTCTTTGTGACATGGCAGCCTTCGGATATTTTTCCCCGGGAGACTGAAATTGTGGAAGGGAATGTTCGGGCTGTTCTGCGGCTCCTTGCGGCGCGTAGGGGGGTCGATACCGTCCGAGTATGGCTTAATGAGATTGATTAAATGATGGGGTATGCTTGTTTCAACCTCGATTGAGAGGATGTGCTGATGGTTCGTAGAACGCTCTCGTCCTGGTCGGTGGATCTGTTGCTATGAGGAGTGAAGGGCTGTTGTCGGCAGCTAGCAATGGAGGTGGATTGGCTGTTGAAATACTCCCATGGAGCATTTACCAGATGCTGGTTCATATGATGTACAGAATAATCTATTACAAACGCCTGTTGTAGATATCCATATTTACCTCCAAAAGCCACATAACATGGAATAGTCTGTATGTACAAGATGCACTCCTGTCATCTGCTCAGAATTAGGAACGGTACCTGAGCTTTCGCCACGTCATAACCAACTGACAGAAGCAGCTACCAAAGAATGTTGAACTTGGCGAGCCCCTTTCTAGGCTTTGGTTCCGGTTCGACCTCGTCGTGGCACAGGTAGAACTGAATCAGACCGACGAGCGGGATATTCTCCAAAGCGATAATGCGCGTTTTCTTCCAGAATTTGTAGCCGAAATATAGACCCAGGACGATTGGGACGTTGATATACGATGCGATAAACGTTTCGGTATCCCAGTGGCCGTGGATGAATGTGCTGAAGCCACCAGTGATGAGCAAGAGGGTGAACAATGTCAAAGCCGCCCAGGTCAAGTGGGGCTGGAACGGTGCGGCCCAGGGAAGCTCTTTGTGTCGGTCGACTCCTTGCTTCTTGCAACCGTAGTGGAATCGGAGGTAGACGATGCAGACGATGAGCCAGTCCACCAGTGTTGCAACTGCGACAATATCACGCAGCCATTGAAAGACTATGGTTGCGGAGCGGGAGAGGGACATATATCCCAAGCACATGAAGCTCCCGATGCAGCTTATGGCCACATAAGGGACAGAGAAGTGGTTCAACCTTTTGAATACTGCAGGAGCATGGCCATGGATCGCCATGCCATAGAGAATGCGGGACCCAAAAAGGATATACGAATTGCCAGCGGACCAGGCGGACGTAACGATCACAGCGTTAATAACCGAGGGTACGGCCTTGATCCCTGCCCGGCGAGCTGCGATAACAAATGGGGACTGAGAAGCCGTCCCGGTCAGGTGAAGAAGAGTAGGATCGTTCGAAGGAACAACCAAGCCAATCATGAACATTGACAGGACATAGAAGAGGAAGATGCGGTACAAGACGCGCCTGGTTGCCTCTGGTATTGATTGTCGCGGAGACCTGGTCTCAGCCGCTGGGATCGTGATATTCTGGATTCCCGAGTATGCAAAGACTGCATTCTGTAGACTTGTCCAGAACCCAAGAAACCGGCCAAGAGAGCCTTTGATCCCAAGATACTGAACAAAGGGCCCTGGGTCTCTCCAGTATCTGAAACCAATGGACTCACCGTCTGGTCCTCCACCGCAAGTAATCACCAGCGCCAGGATGTTCACCCCAAGGATGAGCAGGATTTTCAAGATGGCGAATGAAAACTCGAGCTCCCCGTAGATTCTGACAAATACCAGCGCAGTAATGAGCACCAGGACGCTGAAGACGGTGATCCAGAGTGCGTTGCTAACGGTGATCCAGAATTCAAGGAGCACCGAGGCTGCCACTATTTCAGCAGGGAGAGTGACCGAGTATAAGTATACCTGATTCCATCCGTTTGCAAATGCCATGGCTGGGTCGAAGAAGTATTCCGCATAGCGGACGAGACCGCCGCTAAGCGGTACTAACGCGCCCATCTCTCCCACAGTCAGGACGACGCTCGAAACAGCAAGGCCAACAATAGAATAGGCAAGGAATGCACCCAGCGGGCCTGCTATTACAAGTGCTTGGCCAGAGCTGAGGAATAGACCGGTGCCAATTGTGCCAGCAAGAGCGATCATCTGCATGTGCCGCTGGTAAAGGCCTTGCCTGACAGCATGTACTTCTCCGAAGCCACGCCTGATGAACCCTATGTCGCCATCGGATGCGCTAGAGGCCTCTGCTTCCGTCAGTTGAATTCCCGATTCTGATTCAGCAGGCATGGTTGTGAATCGATGTCGACGAAGAGTGGCCATATTCGGCCCAGAACAGCCCCAGCCAGCAGCGGGAGGGAAGAAAAGTTGAGTTTTCCCCGCTCCAGTGAGTACCGAGGCTGATCAGAGTAGACTAACGGATGTCTTATTTTGGGGTAAATCTGGGGCTACCAGAAGCTACCATGGGAGCCCTGAAGCTTAATGATGGACATCTATGACCACAACGCCCTACAAATCAGGCACTTTCATCCTTTTTATACGAATTCTATTTATATTCGTTTATTCGTTACGGATAATTGTAAATGACACTACTGCCCCTTGAACGCAGCATACTTGCGGTAAATGTCGCGGCGGAACGTCTGCCTCAGCGCGACCACAGTGTCCATGTCGAAGGGCAGCGAGGCTTGGATGGCGCCAACACCGCACAGCCCGTTCTTGCGGTCGATAAACCAGATCAGGGTCATTCCGCCGCCCCAGGTCAGCGTCCGCTCCCCGTACCCGCCGTCCAGATCCTGCAGGGTGAGCAGGCCGCCCAGGCTTTGGCCCAGTTTTGTTCCGGCGTCGAGGCCTACACGAAAAAAGCTGCCCATAGGAGATGTCAATGCGGCCTGGTGCGCCGCTGTCGCTTCGGGAGTCAGGTGATGCTGGAACAGACCGTCGACGGTCGCGGGTCGGAGCAGCTTTCCGTCGTTGGCCAGCAGTGAGTGCAGGATTTTGATGTAGCTGGCGCCCGACATGAATAGGCCGTGGCCGCCAAAGTCGCCGCGCCCGCGCTTGTTCATGTCCACGCTGCCGCCGAGCACCGCCCGCCCCTGGGCTTCGGGATCGTCCGGGTTGAGGTCGACGAGGCGGGCGCGCAGGTCCTCGCGCGTGACGGGGTAGAATTGGGCGTCGTTGATGCCAAGGGGGTCGAAGATACGCTGCTGCATGCGTTCCCCGAGTGTCAGCCCCGTTGCCCGCTCCACCACGCGGCCAGCCCAGTCGAGCCCTGGGCCGTACATGAAACCGGTGCCGGGCTGGAAGCCGAGCGGGTACCTGGTCAGCTCCTCGACTGTTAGGCGCTCACCCTCTTGGGGAGGGGCAAACTTGTCGCGCCACTGGGCGATGTGCGGGGCTAAAAAGAAGTAGCAGAGGCCCGAGGTATGGGTAAGCAACATCTCGAGGGTGATGGGGCGAGCGGGTGGCTCGAGAATCGGGGTTTCGCCGTCATCGGAAAAGCCAGTTAAGACCTGCTTGCCGGTCAGGTCGGGTGCGACGGACGATAGATCCCCAGTCAGGGTAAGTAGTCCATCCTCGACGCACTGCAGGGCAGCGATGGCGGTGACCAGCTTGGTTGCGGAGGCCAGGAACAGGATATCGTCGAGCTGCTGCGGGCGCTTTTCGCCGGACAGCAAGGTACGCTGTCCCAGAGCCTTGTTGTAGACAAAGTGACCCTCGGTGTCGGTGGCACAAATAACGGCACCGTTGATTTTGCCAGCGTCGATGGCGGCCTGGAAGCTAGTTTCGATATCGTCGGCCATTTGGACAGTCGTGTTGATTGGAAGTAGCTGAGACTAATTCATCCTGTACCCCTCTATTTATACCAGAAATACGCGGCCTCAAACCCTATTGCTGGGGGATCAGCACTACTGCATCTCCACTAACCCCTCCTACTTGATCAATAGGATGGCGCGGATCATCCGCATACCATTTTGGAGATTCGTCCCTTGCTTATGATTTGAAAAAGCAGTGTTGTATAATTCTTGATCATTTAGTAGGCTTAATCAATACCATGATAGTAGGAGATCAACTGGGAAAGATTCAACTGGCATAGTTAAACATATTATCCCTAGAGATGTATAATCTTAATTCTTAAACCTGCCTCTATGGTTTCTCCTCAGGCAGCAACACAGCCTTACCAGAGGGCGATGCCTGGCCAATCATATTTGGAATGCCGTATGGTCACGTGATTGCTAAAGCTTAGTCAGCCGGCGGCGTCCTAACTAGGACTAGTGGAGACTCCTACTTCTCAGTGCTACGTCACTTTGTATACTTACTCACTCATTATCATGAGTCCATGACTATGCTGCATGCTTGCACTTCTTAGGATCAATATCTAGACTCTAGATCTAGTCTATGATAAAATCCACTGACCTTTCTCACACTGCCTATCCAATAGATAGAAATATATTTTTAACCCACTCTATCACAAGAACTGGGATAAGTTATTTCATATTGACAGGCATAACTCATGAATTTAAGTGAATGCCTCTATGAGCCTGACTGTAATGCTAGTAGTTCTACCTCAGTAGATAGAGCCTTAGATCTTATTACTCATGTCCATCTCAGTTCCCCAGAAGAAGCCCCACAAATCCCAGTAATTCCCCCTTGTTCTGTGGTCTGTGGATGTCTCAGGATAAAGCAAACGAAAACTACTCAGAGTACCTCCAGGGACAGGAATTACCGATCTAATGTTTCTCTTTATGATATTCCAAACTGCGTGGTGTCTAATATTTAAACTGGACGTCCTTGTCCTATCTGGCCATTCTTTCCAGAACTTGCAATAATCTGCTAACGTCACTCGGCTTGTCCAATATATACTTCTCAGTAGTAGTGAGAGGGAGATCCATAGATCACCATATTATCTATGTTCAATACTTTAAACTGTCATTGCAGTTTTGTATTAGGACTCAGAACCTCGGATGCTATCACTGTTGCTACAATGAGCTTGTTCAAACTTTTCCATACTGGCATAGACACTTGACAAATAGGCCTATCAAGGAATCAACAAACAAGCACTGTGCATTAGTCAACTCATTATTATTGCTGTTAAACCTAAGATATTATGATACTAAAAATGGCCGGATACGAGATGCAATATCGGATAAATCACGCTATGCCTATGAATAGTAGCATCCAGCGAGAAACACGAGGAAGCGGGCTGGGCAATACGAGGACATGGAAATTCCAATGTATAAGTACACCATTGTTCAGCAAGTTTCTCTGACAATAGAGCAAGTCCACTTAACACAGAAACACAATGAAGTTCTTCAGTCTTGCAATTGCCTTTCTCCCCCTCCTGGTCGCCGCTGCCCCCGTCGCGGACCCCGAAGCAGATGGAGAGCTGGACCTTGAGAAGCGCGCATCAGCGCAGACCTGCAAGATCGTCAATGTCGATCACTATGTCAACTGCCGGTACGACGCGAAGCTAGACGCGGGCGCGATCTTTGGGTTTCCCAAGGGAGAGAAACTCACCTTTGCGTGCTGGAAGCATGGCGATTGCTTCAATGGGGTTTGGTAGGTTTGATACTGGGTTATGACGACTGGATGCTAATGGGCGTAGCTCCTGGGATCAAATTACGTATCTGAAGACGACGTGCTACGTTAATGGGTACTTTACCGACAGCAATTGCTCGAGCAGTATGTTACCACTTCCTGGTATTTGAACATGGCTGATGATGTTAGAAAAGCTCCCGAAATGCGACTAGGCTGCGGCAGTCCTCGATGCCGCTGTGATATGCTGCTAGAGACATGATGTAGCTTTTGATGATAGATAACTAGATGTCATCACGGTCGTTGTATTACTATGCATATCGTTTTTGAGGTCCATGTTCCTATACCCCTGAATATGATATCGAGATGAAGACAATATGTCGCATTAAAACTAGCTTCTAAAACTGCCAAACGCGCATTCAGTTGACACCATTACGCCGTAAACGCCAAAGAGTCGTCATGGGTATCTTTTCCGTATGTTATACACGAGACTCGAATCAATCCGATGACCGCGGAAGATGTTTCACCAAGCCCTCCTTGAACCTCCTTCGCCAGCCGCGAGGTTTCCGATCTTCCCGAGAAGACCGGTCTGGAACCGCCCTCGTGCGCGAGTTGGCCGTCCCACCACTCCCTTTGACGGCAAAGTCTTGTATATCCGACCGGTCCGACGCAGAAGACATCACCGCACTACTCGCAGACGCATCATCATCCTCCGCAGAACTCGTGGCCGGATCGCCATAGAATCCGTACCGACGAGTCGACCCCCCCCGAGAGGAAGGATAATCGTCTCGCGGGTATCTGTTCACGCGTATATCATCCGTGACACGCGGCTTGGACATGGCCTCCTCCGGCAAGCAATCGTTCAAAGACGGCATGGAGAGCGGCTGGACGCGCGCAGTCGCGGATGATCGCCGCAGGAAGGGTATGAGGATGGACCCCCGCAGGAGCTCCTTGATATTGTTCACGACTCGATCGAGTTCTTCGGGCGGAGGAGGGTCATCCCCTCGGTTGTGGAACACCTGCATCAGCTGCTGTCGGATGTCGCAGGGGATGTTAATCTCGCGCTCGCTGTGAGGCCGGATATACTGGTTGATCAGTCGGTTCCAGAGACCGGAGAGATGGGCCGTGCGGACGGCCTCGCATGCCTCGGTTTTGTGCTCGAGCCAGTGGTAGATGCGTCGGTAGCGTTCGGTCTCGAGTAAGAACTCGACTGTTTCTAGGCATTGGTGCTCGGAGAGAAAGGCAATGAAAGCCCCCAGGGTGTAGGGGAAGGGGGCCACATCGTTGAGGATGTCATCGAGCCGGGGTTGGACGTGGTATAGACTACCTGAGCGTTCCCTCATGGATGGTGGATTGGTCGTGCTTGCACATAGTTAATGCTCGTAGAACACTTATTTCACTCCTCGTGCCTTCGAGTTTGTTATAAAGCAAGATGGAGCTCCGCTGCCAATGATGAAAGTGGAGGCCCGTGCCATGGTTCGGTCTGGGGGAGTTGGGGTTTTGAGGGGATGGCGCTGGCTTCCATCAATGACATGCTGCTTTTTACCTTTTGACCAGTTTATGCTGTCTGTTCGCTTGAACTATGCTCCTAACCTACTAGATGCCTGGAACTGGGTTCATTCGACTTGTCTAGCTACTTTAGTCTATATGCAACCATCCAATCGCCCGCAAAAAGGGTCGCACGGTCATTAAACTCCCTGCTGTGATGCCCAGCCCTGTCTCTATATTCGACCATATTGAAACCTGCGTCGTCTGGTCTGTTGGAGTCAGTCATTTGATTAGTGAGAGTAAGGGTCAGATCGCTCACATAGAAATTCTGGACTCTTTGACAGATGGAGAAACGGGATACGAACAATGACCGCGGTGCTGGCACTGGGGCAATGTCAGCTTCTGTCATGTTCGAGTTGGAGAGGTAACGTACACGCATCCGATAGACAAAATGCCAATGACGGCCGTCTTCGTACGTCGGTCCATCTTTAACCTCCCAATCATGAAGGCGGGTAGCAGTCCAATCGTAAAGTCGCATACCGCAGCAGCCGCACTGTACATGTAGACGATTCCCAGGAGACCATCCATGTTCATGCAGTGGCCATCTTCCGTCATTCGGTTCCAGTAATATGTGACAGGCGTGCACTCAAAGATAGTGAAGAAGAAGAAAATGGTCCCCGCGACAACGGACAGCACGGTGGCGGCACTCAGGATGCTCCGGTGGAGGTTGTCGACCGTGAGGCGCACGAGGGTGATGGTGATTGACAATCGTACGATGACAGAAGTAACGACATAGAAGAGCTGTCCAAGCCAGAAACACTGCGGTCGGTCAGCACCGCGCTTGAGTCTCAGGTTCATATCACACACCAGCATGGCATTGCGAAAGTTCCCCATCGATTCCTCAAAGTAAACCAGTTTCTTGCCCATGCCAAACGTCGCGCCGAGTATAGTACACGTGCCGAAACCGATATTGAAGAACTGCATGTCCAGTTGGCTTAGTGACGCCCTGTTGCAGAACTTTATAGACTCACCATTGCAGCTACCATTATGTAGTCATCGCAGCCCGCGGCATGAGTCAAGCGAAAGCGAACGAAACATCTCAAACTGCCCGCGATCAAAGAAAGCCCCAGGAATATGGCCGTGACCACCATAATTGCCTCACTCCGGCCACTCACCATGGTCGTAAGGCCTGGGAGAGAGATGGGATATCCCGCATGGTCTTGTGCGGCCACGAAGTGTAGGAAAGAATTGGATTTCGCGGAATCGAAGTTTGCAACAAGCAATTCCAGTACTACGGAACTTATCTATGATACAAGGCGGGGTTATTCGACGGTTCCGGCCGAATGGATGCTCTCTGGGTGAACCTCTCTGCTCCCAAGTCTGGGTGGTGGTGCCGTGTGGTTGGATGGTTGTCGCTGCCGTTGCAACGCTGCGTTCATGACGTCAACACTTTTCATGGGCCAAGATACATATGCAGATACAAATATTAGATAGGATTTTATCCATGTAAAGCCTTTAGTGTATCGCAATTGTAGTTCAAGTTAACTATGGTTCGGTGGGCAACACTCTCGACAATCAAGAACCTGACCACGAGCCGGCCGAGGAGATCACAATTGAGAATCCATATACTTATTCAGCACGGCTTTGGCTTCAAGACATGATCCCTAGTGCAGGTGATCCACCTGTCAACTTTAGTAACTGTATAACTATAGCATATCCACCAGGGATGATCTTGACCTACCACTTCCACATTGTTGCCCAGCGGATCCAACACAAAAGCCCCATAGTACTTCGGATGATACTGCGGCCGAGTCCCAGGAGCTCCATTGGACTTTCCCCCAGCCGCTAATGCAGCCTCGTGAAATGCGTCCACAGTAGCATGGTCTAATCCTCAGTCAGTCGCCCTCCAGGGACGAAAGGAAAACACACCAGGCGCTACAAAAGCAAAGTGGATGCCCCGGCATTGCTCGTCGGACTCTGCGATCCAGAAGTCCGGGGTCTCGGAGCCCAATCCGACAGCTCCTGGCACGCGTATGATTTCCTTGTAGTTCAGCGGGGCCAGAGCCTTCTTGTACCAGTCGATAATGCTTTCGAACTGATCTTTGGGGGCACAGATGCCCACATGATCGATAGTGCTAGGCATGATGACCGAAACGTCGATGAGGACTCGGAAATTGCAAATGGGATGTTAGTCGCCTGTTTATTGATCTGTGTCTAAGTGCTTGATAGAAATCGTAGGAGCAAGGACAGCGAGGTTTATATGATTGTTGAGTTTCATATAGGTGTCGACAGCCAAGAAGCACATGACCGCCACAGATGGCTATACGAGGTCTAGGTTAGGCAGCAGCGTCATATGAGTCAATAGACTTTTAGAGAATCCAGACTTCCATGGTGCACGGCTTTTGTATACGAGGGAGTGCTCATGGCAAAACCATAGGGCTGAAGCTACTGGCACGACTTCCGGGGTGGCAGATTGCCACTGAACTTGATAATCTGCGGAAGGACGCTAGCTTTGTCTCTCGGCTTTGATTTAATCACAAACAGCAGGAAAGGTTCAGTCTGAAAGACAACATACAATGACGTTGACGAGTCGAGCGCTAGACGCCATCACAAAGCGAAAAGTTGAAACACCATGGCCCGCATCGAATCAGGAATTGGCATGATAAGCCCTGTCAAATAATGAAGCGAGCGAGCTGCAACGCCAACTATCGCCAAGATCGATGATCCGAACACGAATTGTCAATGGAGATGTTGCGACTCTTTCCAAAGACTCGAGTACAGACAACGTCATATATGTGCAAATTTCAGGCTCAATCTGATACCACCTAAGTGACTAAAAGCCAGACCCAGGTACATGATTCTTTTCGATAGACTCGATGCAGATGGCCGTTGTGGTAGCCTTGCGCCCAGCCTCATGCGCGGGGCAATAGGACCTGAGCCAATAAGCTCAACACGGATGACTTGCTGCATGCACTAGTCAAGGTCAACATGTCCAATATCAGAATGTCCTTTTGAGAGCCATCTACAAGTTATCGGATATACTGGCAGGTGCAACCATGACGCGACGACACTTGTTCACGCTGCCAGTTGAGCTCGTTCTCGAGATAGCTCAATATCTCTCATCGCCGAGTCTGTCGGCTTTGGCTCGCACATGTCACCATGCATACGACCTCCTCAACCCAGTCCTCTATTCCGTGCCTGTCAATCGGCTCTGCAGCGTCCTTGAATGGGCGAATTGCGTGGGGAAGCAACAGACCATGCATCTACTTCTAGACCACAACCTAATCGGCGTCTTGGAGCTTAAACAGCTCGCCCTATGGTACGCTTGCTCGGCTGGGTCCGTTGAGATCGTGACACGGCTTTTGGACAGTGGCGTCCCTCCAGATCCGCCATGTGATTGTCACTCAATCCTTTCCTGCGTCGCGGTAGTCAATCGTAAGCAGATCATTATGATGCTCCTGTCTGCCGGCACGGACTTGGCTAGGTACGACTTTCGCAAGGTTGGCGAGCTCGTTTCTGGTTGGGCCCCGGAGGATCGGGACGTCCCCCGAGCTCTAGTCCAACATGGCTTAGATATTCATCTGCTTAGCTCTAATGGCGACAATCTACTGCACCGGGCTGTCAGGTGGAACCTACCGACCTCGGACATCATTTTCCTTCTGGACGAGGGAGTCGACATCAACCACCGCAATGTCGAGGGCCGTACTCCACTCGCTGCCGCGATCGCATACACCGACAGCTCTATGACCGAGAAGGCGGATATAGTGGAGTTGCTGCTACAGCGAGGAGCAAAAACTGACCTTCCAGACAACCACTCCTGGCATCCCCTGCATCATGCGGCTAATCCCGAAAAACAATGGGCTGTACGACTGTTGTTGCAATATGGCGCTGATCTTGAGGCTCAGACTTCCTATGGCCAAACACCGCTTTACATGGCCTGTAGCGTCTACTCGCAATGTGACAAGGTCATCAACGCCCTTCTGGATGTTGGGGCATCTCCGGCCGCTCAGGCAACTACAGACCCTGGGGAGAAACACACGCCGATGCACCTAGCCTTAGCGAAGCGCGACCCAATCCGCCGCGGCATCTGCGTACGGTACCTGTTTGACGCCTGGATGGCCATGTCTCCGGCATTGCCGTCCGCAGACGTTTTCTTTGTCGCCGCGGCGGCACTGGGAGAGATGGCCGTTTTGCAGAAACTGATCGACTCCAAGACTGTAAACATTGAGGGAGCGGAGGGGGAAACAACGGCTCTGATTGCTGCTGCGGGGGCCGGTCAGGATAAGGTTATTGAGCTTCTCCTACCACTTGTGGCAAACGTAGATGTGGTGGACGGACTAGATAGCACGGCTTTACATCACGCCGTGCGCTCCGGGACCGAGACCACTACTCGACTTCTTCTCCCACGATCGTCGACGGCTTGGGCTTATTGGAAGTCTTGTGTAATGCTCATCACGTGCGCAATAGTGTACCAGCAATCACCCAAAGTCCTTGGTATTCTGCTCGAATGGCGACGGCATCATCATCCACAACATGAGATGGATTGGAAAGAAGTGCTCGGATACCTCTTTGATACCGACATCGTGGACAAGGCTCGTACTATGTTCGAATACATGGAGCCGGCTGATTTACAACCTGGAGCACATATGGTGCCGCTCATATTCTTCATTGACAAGGGGTGCATTGACATTGCGCTGGAAATCGTCCAGCAAGGGATTGGGCTGGAGGGTCGTATCGGCGACTGGACGCCGTTAAGAATGGCCGCTTCCAAAGGTGAACTGGCCGTCGTCCGAGCGCTTGTCAACGCAGGGGTCGATTTGGAGGTGCCATCGGATAAGGACGCAGGGACCGCGCTATCTCTCGCCGTTGTCAACAATCACAGTGAAGTCGCCAAGTGTTTGCTGGCTGCTGGGGCAAACACGGATGTACCTGCAGGTGATCCGGCTGAGAGATCGGTTTTTCTACACGCCGTGTTTCATGGATACCTGGACATCGTGCGCTCGCTGCTCGCTGCTAACGTGGATGTCAATTCCTGCGGTGGAGACAACAACTATGCGGCGTTAACTTGGGCTGTTCTCGGGGGCAGGTTTGAGGCGGTACGTCTGCTTCTAGCCCTTGGCGCCAAGGAGCAACTGGAGCGCAGTGGCAAGGATGCTTTATACTGGGCGATGCATGACGGACGTGAACGTATCGCTGCCCTCCTGGTAGATGCAGGAGCTCCGATTGACGAGATCGATCGCTATGGCCGTACGATTCTTTCACAGGCCGCCAGTCGAGGGAAGACGGCCATCGTCAGGATCCTGCTCGACGAAGGGGTCAGGGTCAATTTGCCTGATCGTCATGGACGCACCCCATTCCTTATGGCGGCCTGTCGAGGACACACTGAGATTGCTCGGCTGCTGCTAGAAAAAGGAGCGGACATGCATCAGAAGGACTACTTTGGTCGCTCGGCGCTATCACTCGCTGCCGATCAAGGACACGTCGAGATGGTCAGATGGCTCATAGAGCAAGGGATGGATATAAATGAAGGCGATCGCATCGGTCGGACGCCCTTGTCATGGGCAATGCAAATGGACTCAACCGAGGCGGTTGAAGCACTGGTGTTGGCTGGTTGCGATGTGCTCAAAGCGGACCATTATGGACGAACGCCGTTGCAATGGGCTTCCAGTGACGGATGCGTCGCAAAGCTCTACTGTTCCTTTCCAGGATATAGACAAGGGCTGCGACATTGGCTCCAGTCAGGAGCTGAGGCACGTCACAGGCTGTATACCGGATTATTCTGCTGTGGCCTGATGAATAGAAAAGAGTAGAAGAGCCGAGGAGTACACAGCTCGTTGAGTATTTCACTACATGCCTCGTTCTAGACTTCTCCTCGGTATGTAAGACTCAGAATAAGCTTAACTGAGACGTTGGCGAGTGTCCCCCGACGTTCGAACAACCGGTAGTGTCGTTTTCAACACGCTGCCCTCGGCCAGAGGTAGTATCAAGTTGTCAATTCAGAAAGCACGAGACAACCCTTTTCCAGACTACACCGGCATGTAGTTGAGGAACATATGCCGAATACCTTTGTAGAATTGGTAGAATTGTTGATGTCCCAAAAATCAGTCAGTTTCCAAGTGAAACTAGCGCATCGAGCACAAGCCATTACATCCTAGGGCCATTCTTAAAGCAGCTACTGTTCTTGATAAGACGAGTCGGTGATACCGAGAAGCCCCGAATGAGATACCAAAAACGTCTGGTATATAACTCCTTTTTGTGCATCTTGGCGGAACTGTAATCCCGGGAAGAGTTGCTCCATTCAGCCAACATGACAGACTGCAGAAAATCCAGCCCGTGACAAATCATGGCACGAGTGGAGATCGTTTCCTGTCTCGTCATTTCCTGTCGTTGGGAGTGGATCTTCTCAACGGCCAAGAAGCAACGGCTTTGCCAGGCTGTTCTGGCTGAGGGGCAACAAGTCTGAATATTGGGCAGTTAGGGCAGTTCGACACGGAACCAAACACTCTGAACTGTCTGTTTCATCAAGCCCACGGTTCGGCGCAATGATTCACATATCTCGCCAGATTCTGTATCCTCGTCCCCCAAAGCATGTGAAATGAGCAGAGTTTTGAGAATTCCCTGAGGACATCGAGCCTATTTGGCCAGTGGAGATCCTGACGAGAAAGGGATATTATCCCCACTTAGTCTCCGACACCAAGAGAATCTTGTTGATCCCATTGCTGGATACGAGGCAATAGTTACGCAGCACTCGAAATGATTTGTCCCTGCTTGTTTGAAAGACCCCCCTTACCCCTAGTCCAATCATCAGTTTAACGCAGGGACAAGATTCCCAGAGAAGAATAGGGTTGCGCCTCGGCTGCTAAACTTAGCCAATTATGAGGATCATCGACTGTCAGACATGGAGATCCCTCCTTTTCGATCGGCATTCCTGTCTGGACTCTGCAGATCGCTAATTTACCAAGCATGATTCTATGCGTACGCTGGACCAGTCGGTAGGAATTTTTCACCTGACGTGCTGCCCTCGTGCTCCATATTTGACGGCTGTCTCAGCCTGAAAGCTTCGCTCAGAAGAATCGTATGATTTTTTCCCTCTTCTCTGCCCACAGTCAATATGCTTCTTCGTCGGATATTGATTGCGGCGGTTGTCGGCGCAGGGTTCACTGCTGTGGCTTCGGCTGCGCAATCTAGCCTGCCTCAGTGTGCGGTATGTCCCCGCATATTGCTGGATTATTTGAGAGTGGAGGACTAAGAGGAGTAGGTCTCGTGTCAGGAACAGGTCCTCGCATCCAATGTGACAGCATGCAGCTCTTCAGACGCACTGTGTCTATGCGGTGACACCACATACCAGAATGCGCTCACAACTTGCGCCTCTACGGAATGCACCGTCAGAGAATCATTACGTACGTTTAGCGGCCATGATCTATGGTCTGAGCTGACTTGATAAGTTGCAAAACGCCTGAGCGACCGAGCATGCAATGTTCCTGTGCACCAGGGCCGGCCCGAGGTCGAAGCTGCCATACTGATCCCTTTGATCCTTGCTTCAATCTTCTTCTTTAACCGAATGGCCGCGAAATCCATGGGCCTGGCTGGTGGTTGGGGCTCCGATGACTACACCATTATTGGTGCTTATGTACGATATCTCTTGGATACGCTGAGCAGGACCAAACTGAACTGACCATCTACAGATGCTAGCGGTGGCCATATTTGCCGTCAACATCACCAGTAAGCTATACCAAGGATTGAGCGACCTCAAAAGGCTAATTCTAGCTTCAGTGATCCAAGTCGGCTTCGGCAAGAACATGTGGGATGTTATTCCCATGGACAACATCACAGACGTGTACAAGGTAAGTCTGTGCTGTTTGTCCCTTAGTCCAACTGCCAGCAAACTCACATATCCTCTCAGCGCTTCTTCGCCTTCGTAGTCTTATACAAGACGCAGATCTCGCTGGCCAAGATATCCGTCTGCCTCTTCCTCCTCCGAATCTTCCAGACTCCCACGTTCCGATACACGACGTACACGATCATCGGACTCAATGCTGCCATTGGAGTTACGTGGGTGCTTGTCGACTCGTTGCGGTGCAACCCAGTCCATCTCGCATGGGACGGCTGGGCAGGAGATACACCAGGAACATGCATCAACTTCACCAGCGCGACGTTCGCCAACGCCTTTGTCAACATCGCCGTGGACACTGTCATGGTTCTGATGCCTGTCTATGAAATCACGAAGCTGAACCTCTCTGGAAGGAAGAAGCTTGGTGTAGGCGTCATGTTCGCCATGGGTCTCGTGTATGTGTTCTCTTGACTTCTCATGAATATTAACTAATTGAGATGCAGCTTGACCGTCGTCGCGATTCTCCGCGTCGTTGTCTTCTACCTCAATCGATGGGGGAAGAATCCTACCGGTTAGTCCGCCTGATCCTATTATTCTCTCCCACTGATATTAACTCATATACTACAGTCGAACTACAGCCAATCGTCCACTGGTCCGTCATCGAAGTCAACATCGCCGTTCTCTGTGCCTGCCTGCCCACCGGCCGCGCCATGCTCGCCCACTTTTTCCCCAGTCTGCTGGGTGCTTCCTCCGATAAGTCGTACCCGCAGCCCACCACGCCCTCTGGGAGGGCACTGGGTCCCAGTCGCCAAGGACAGAGGAGTCAGATTGCCAAGACCATGTCGTACTCCGTCGATTATCAGACCAAGCCTCAAAAGAGGGACTCCAACAGCTTTGTGCGGCTGGTGGAGCTGGATCCTTTGAAGGAGGGAGGTGCACCTTAGCTCGTCAAGAGCCATATCAGGCTTAATTCATAGGGCTCTCATTTACTTGAAGTTTTCAATTGATCGAATTTATGTAACACAAGGCTATCCCTTAATGCATACGAATGAGATACCTCCTCATCCAAGGGCACCGCTTGTATATCGTTAAGTGTCCCTAGCACGTAAACAGAACTACTACACTCTCCCGGGTTTAAATGGAAGCTCTTGTCATCTGCATCATCATTCTGGATTTCGGACCGAGTTATCTGTTCGGTATGGAAAGCATGAGCAAGAGCAATTCGCGCTGTCGTCGGTGGGAAATAGACTATGGGAAGGAAATCGGCAGGGCAAAGGTGGACTTCGGGACGACCCTGTCTCTCAGCGCGGCCTGTTGAACGATCAACGCCTCAGAACCTGTAATTATTTGTACTATTAAAACCTGGAAAAGAGTCACACCTGGATGGAGACCGTTAGCGTACGCTGTCGAGAATGGGAAAGAGGATGTGGTGAGGACGCTCCTCTCACAGCACAATATCAATGTGAATCCTCGAGACGCGACGGGATGCACGCCTTTGGTCTACGCAGCGCACCACGGGTACGAAGGCATAGCGCGATTGCTCCTCCGCTGCAAGGACATCGATGTCAACAGCCGGAATTGCTATGGTCGCACACCACTGTCCTATGCTGCAGCAAGTGGACATGTGGGAGTAGTCAAACTACTCCTGGCGGCGGGCTGTGACCCATCAGTAGTTTCGCTTGATGGGAGGACAGCGCTATCATATGCCATGGAAAATAATCAAACAGACGCGGAAAAGGTGTTGAGGGAGTTCACCAAATAGTTATTGCCAGCAGAGAGAACGGTGACATACTAAGCACTTTTAAGGGGGGTTCTATCCATAGCGAAGGCTACTAGGTTTTGACTTCCTCCCACAGCTTCGGCATGCTGTTCTGCTACAAAGTGCTGTTTATCATCTACAGATTATTGAGGCGGATATTCCGGCATGTTGTCTTAATCAAGCAATCAAACAGTCCCAGTTGAAAGCTTGGAGTGGTCTAGTCCATAGGACGAACCACTGTCGTTCAGCCATGTCATCGCAAACTAGGCGATCACAGCCGAGAAATGCAATGCACCTATTGGACAGTATTAGCTCTGTCAAAGTATGAACTCCGCATCACAAGATACTAATGTTCTTTTCATTGACCTGTCAGGCTCGAAGGTGGAGGCTGATATTCGAGGCCCTGATTGCCGGGTAAGAGACCACCAGGTACGCCATGCATCTCTCAGCGTCCGCTCATTTGCCAGGTCCAGCCACAAACATGTTGTTTCTCGTATATGCGGTAACCTATTTGACAGCCGGTACCAGCTGAGAGAGTGAGCAAGATTTAAATAATGGCCCCGTTCTCTGTGTTCGAGCTGACTGGAAACAGCTCCCCTGGGTTCTCGGTCATAGCTTGTTGGCTGCGGGCCCTTTATATGAACATTATCTCTCAGAATGGCAGCGGCAAAGGGTCCATCAGATTATGTTCGAGTCCAAATTCAAAATCCCGAAGCGGTGCATGGACTTTCGTACCAGCCGACCACCATGCACCACTACGGACCACCGAGTGGCCGAGAGAAGATAAGATGGTCACTATGGGATTGGTCCTGGGAGCTTGCAGCATGCCTGGTTGCGATCCTCACGCTAGCCAGCATTATCGTGGTCCTGCGCATGTACGACGGCAAGACGCAGCCAAACTGGCCAGCGGGGATCAACCTCAACGCCATCATCGCCCTGCTGACGACTCTCATGAAAGCTGCCATGGCCACGTATATCGCAGAAGCTCTGTCGCAACTCAAATGGACTTGGTTCAAGGAAACGCGCAAATTGAGTGATCTTTCTGCCCTTGATTCAGCCAGTCGTGGTGCTTGGGGTTCAGCACAGCTCCTTGTTCAATACGTGCCTCGGTGCGCAATCCTTCTCATTTATTTATCTCCAGGCTAATAACTGACAGTCACCTTGTTTCTCTCGGGGCCTTTGTTCTAGTCTTCGCTGTGGCCATTGGTCCCTTTACCCAGCAGGTCATCGATGTCAGATCCCGCTCCATTGCGCGCGAGGGAGGCGCCGCCATCCGGGTCTGCAACACAAGCATGTATGGAGACTGGGGGGAGGGCCAATCGCCAGGGATGAATCTAGTACCGTTGGGCACAACAGGAGCGATATACAATGGCATCATGCAGACGTCGCTCAATGATCAATCCTCGGTGACTTGTCCAACAGGCAATTGCACGTTTGCGCCGTATCAATCGCTCGGCTTCTGCAGTAAATGCGGCGATTTGACCAGTGCGCTCACACTGGCTAGCTCTGACGACAGCACGTACTCATACAACTACACGCTTCCGAATGCCCTTTTCTTCAATACCACCGGGGCGTCGCCGTATACCATCAAGGCAACAACGAACGTCAACCTCCTCCGCCTGGATACATCCGGCTTGCCTCTCATTCTCAATTTCTCGGCTATCACTACTTCGCGAATGACAATGCCACCTAAGGTGGCAGCCATGGAATGTGCATTCTACTTCTGCGTCTCGACATACCAAGCAATTGTCAGGCGAGGCGATCTGACGGAGGACAGCTTTCCGACCACGACTATATCCAACTATTCCACCAATGATGTAACTTTGAATACCGTAACATCGGCACAGCCTTGTCTGAACGAGGGCCAGTGCAACTACGCCATCAGTTGGTTGAGCATCCTTGCAATGAGAAATACTCTCAGTCCCCTTGTTTCAGGGTTCGGCACTTTGCCCGTGTCGAACAGACCATACTTCACGTCTGATACCCTGCGCGCACTGTACGGCGCGTCCGGCAACCTGACACAGATCAATGGGACATTCACCTCCATCGCCGCGGCGCTCACCGCAAATGCCAGGAATCGGGTCTGCCAGGGAACGGTGTCCGGCGACGCGTGGACGAATGTATCGTACATCCGCATCCGGTGGCTGTGGATGTTGCTCCCCGTTGTATTGGTCGTCCTGAGCATATTGTTCTTCATCATCACGGTCATTCATACCCGGAACCAGTACATTTGGAAGTCCTCTCCGCTGGCGCTGCTGTGCGCCGACCTGCAGATTGATGGCTCGGTGCAGCCATTGAAGTCGGGGAAGATAGATCCAGACCAGAAGAGGTTGGATGAGATGGCGAAATTGTCCAAAGTTCGAATGGAGGCTGGTTCTTGGGGGTCACTGATGCATGGTCACGTAGTTCATCGAGCCTGAGTAAAGAGGTCTTTTGGCTATAATACTCTCCAACGGGCAGGCGCAAGCCCTTTTCCAATATCCAATAATAATATTGTTGATTCTGTCACAAAGGATGCAATAATCAATCTGAATCCTAGATTAATGATACCTCGTGGATAATAGCAACATCAACAAATGGCCGACTCTACCATAAACGAACACGAGATACGCGTATAGCTGATGCCAGTCTGCTAGGCACAGAATCCCGCTGTCTAGCTGCTGCGCTAACGGGCGCTATGGAGATTAGAGTCTGCAACTTGATTCTTTATTGGTTGCTATGTATGGATACATCATGGTACTCGTTCCAGAAGGGCCATCGCGTACACTCGTCCCTTGCCCTCAGCTCAAATGAGGCTGAATTGCTGTGAGGGCGCATTAAAGTAATATTAACGGGGCGAAGATGAAACTCCTGTTGCTATAATAAGAGTCGTCTGGATGCAGTGGGTTGATTTATAGACTGGTGGTGCCTAAATCCACGGTCTGGCAAGGGCTCACTCAAAGTCATATAGTCATGCATATCGACGCCTGATTGAAGTCAACCACAGCTACTTCTTTTATAGTCAAACCCAAATGGAGCGGCGCAATGGAACGACAGATGCGGCATCAGATGCCAGGATTGATTTTGCCTTTTACCAATATGATCCTAGCATGGCCGGAGCCGTGATCTTCGTCATCCTATTCTCCATAACCACCTTCTGGCATGCTTTTCAACTTATTCGCACGAGAACTTGGTTTTTTATTCCATTTCTCATAGGGGGGATTCGTTAGTACATTCCTGAAATGTATCCAAACTATATCCAAATCTAATGATACAGTCGAAACAATCGGATATGCCGGACGAGCCATGTCGAGCAGCCAGTCCCCCAATTGGACTCTCGGTCCCTACCTCATTCAGACGATGTTTCTACTCCTCGCTCCGGCCCTTCTGGCGGCGTCGGTGTACATGTTGCTCGGACGGATAATTCTCGTTCTACGCGCGGAATCGCATGCGATGCTGAAGAAGAAGTTGTTAACCAAGGTCTTTGTGACTGGTGATGTCCTCTCGTTCTTGCTGCAAGGCACAGGTAACAGCCTTACATAACCTAGTCCAAAGTTCAGTCTGACGCAAACACTAGGTGGTGGCATTCAGAGCAGCGGCAGTCTCGACAGTATGAAGTTCGGGGAGCACATTATCGTGGCCGGTCTTTTCGTTCAAATACTGTTTTTCGGATTCTTCATCATAACCGCCGGCAGTTTCGACTTGAAGCTCAGGAGGTATCCGATCCCGCGCTGCTTCGAGGGCAATATTCCATGGAGGAAGCGTCTCAATATATTGTATGGGACTAGTGTTTTGATTCTCATCCGGTCCGTCTTTCGCCTGGTAGAGTACCTTCAGGGCAATGATGGGTTCCTCTTACACCATGAGATCTTTCTATACGTTTTCGATGCGGTGTTGATCTTCATCGCCATGGCTGTTTTCAATATTGCTCATCCCAGTGAGATTGCCAAGTATATGGAGTCGAAAGAGGAGCTCGAACTATCGGAGGGTTATACCAACTTTGTCAGGTAATAGGAGATGTGTCGCCAGCTCATCTTCCGATCTGAGCAGCAGTGTGTATCATTGAAAAGACGGTCCCAGCAGTTATCCGAACAACTGCCCGCTCAAACACATGTTGTACATAGAGGCTGGATTGTAATTTTCGTGCATGGTGTGTTTAATAGGCTGCTTAATGCGCCTAAGCTCTACGAGTGCCCAGATGTTCGGTACTATTAGCGTGAAGGCCAGTAGCACAGCAATAGTTCTTCTTGTTAGGATGACAGTGAGATACCAGCCGTTCTACAAGATACCAGTGATTCTTGGGTACGGATATGCATTAAAGGTCCGATGGCTTAGGATCCACCACGCGTCTAGACCTCGGACTGTAGAAAAATCATCATATTCTTTCCCTGTGCTTCTTAATATTCTTAGGTTCCATTTGCCGGCTGGGAATAGACAATCCCATCCACGGTAGTTGTCAACGTGCCATTCGCCTCGAAGATATTTTTCATGGCATCGATAGACAAGTGGAATCCACCAGGGCCTGTGCGCTTGGTGGCCTGCACAGCGCCTGTTTGCGTTAGATCCGAGTACCAGTCCAGATGATTCCACCAGGGATTCGATTCGGACAAAGTCAGAGTCACTGTTTCCCGGCCATTGATAAAATGCCGGCCGTCGTCGCTGTAGTTGGTGTAGTTTACAGCTACAGTCTTGAAACCTTCAGAACCTGGATACGCCGTGAGATGCACTTGAGATATGCCATGTGCTTTCCTTGAAGGGTATAATACCCGGGTGGCAATTGAGATGGTGAAGGGATGTTAGCACCATGAGGAAATGCCGTCGCCCAGGGGATCATATCTGGTACTTTATAGACAGGCGCAGGAGCGGCCGGTCGTCGACTGGTGAGATGGGCCAGCATCACGCGGTATGTACGACCACCTGGGGCGGTGGAGGCGGGGCAAGGAAGACGATTCTCGCCACCGCATGCGGGGGAAAGTACCAGAGACTGCCAGAAGACAATTTTCGTACCATCCGCGGAGAAAGCTGGGTCTGCGCGCCAGTTCCAGTCGGGATCGTTGACGCTGCCACTTGTGCCGTTGCCAGCAGCGTTGACCTGTTGGCCAAAATATGATCCTCGGTCTCCATATCTATCAATCAGGATAGGCTGGAAGAAGCGACGAGCGCCGTTGTTACGGGTAGACGAAGCTGCAGTCATGGTGACCAGGTCGATCAGCGGCGGAATGTATCGCATGCCTGACATCCACATCTGGCGGTTCGATCCCCGCGTATCCATAACCACGAACCATTGATTGTCGTGGAAAAATGCAATGGGATCTGCGTACTCTGGGTGGCTAGTCAACCGACGGACAGCGCCTGATGTGACGTGTACCGCAAAGAGGTCAACATTGTTTGCCTCTCTTGTGGGACCAATATATAGAATCTCGTCCCCTGCACCACTGAAGCCGCGCAGCTCGCCAACAACAATTGCCTCGTCATGTAATTTGAGCTCCGTTCCCTCCGCCATGATTGAGGAGCGTCCTTTTGGATCGACCAGAATGCTCACATTCACCAAGTCATACCGAGGAGCGACAGGATTTCCGGTCGTTGGGTTTGGGTTGAACTGCAAACGCCCAAAGAAGGCATTCTGGCCTCCCTTGGTGAAAGAGCTCCAACCCATGTGAACGTCTTCTGGATGCATGCGCAGTTCTCGCATAATTCCACTCGGCCAGTAGATGGGGTAGATATATGTTGTGTTCGGGGTACATTCGTCGCTCACAAGGAGAGCGTCGCCACAGTCGAGTATGTTGTGGCCCCATTCAGCTTGACGGCCATTTCGAGCGGCGTGAGGATAATCCCTTGCGGGGTCAAGGCTCTGTGCTTGTTTGGCAGGGATGCCACAGCTTAGGCACTTCCATGGATCCCCGTTAGGGAAGAGTGACCCATCCGTCTTGACAGCAATCAATTGCTGGCCGGTGTAGATGCTGGCCGGGTCCGGGGCCACTGGTGCACCGATGAATTCGACATTGACAAGCACATGGTTCCCATCGGGTGTAAAATCTCCAGCTTGAAAGGTGTCAGAGATAGTCCCTATGCAACCGGTCCCGTGTGGGTTAATACTCTTCGTACAGGCGCCTTTGCGGTTGCTGGGGGCCACTGGTGGCAAAGGCAACTCAATCACTTCAATCGGTTCTGGTTGAGGGGCTGGAAGTGCCTGAACTTGTAAGATAGCTATGGACGCTGCCAAAGCAGATGCAATCCACTTCATTTTCCGCCGGTTCTGGTTTGAGGCGACGGTAGTGTCGGAGATGCCTGTGCTGGAATAATCATGGCGAGCGCGGAAATGGCCCTTTTGTAGTTCTGCTGATTATGCCCAGGCAGCCAGACACCATCCGATCCTCATCAAGCATCATAATCGAATGACGACACCTTTGTTGTCGCTGCAGGAAATGTCATCAAGTATGGGAGATCGTCCTCGTAATCGTATAGTTTACCGGTTTGAGGAAGAAAGACGAGTACGATATGTGGGTATCTCTGATTTGCCTCATGGTCTGGAGGATACGCGTTTTGATACGTCGCAATTTCCATCCGACTGGTCTATAGCGGTTTCTTGTGACGGTAACTGCTCTGGTCAAAGGTCAGCAATTTCTTATTGATTGAGGCTTGATAAAAACTGTGCATTCGCTCGTAACCTTCGGAAGTAGAAGAGGCAGTACCTTGAGTCTACTGCTGGGTCCTTATTAAATTGCATCGCTTGCAGACATGCAGCATCATCTGCGTGGTATCAAGCATTTCCCAAAGGCTGGAAGCTGTGCTGTTATGAGTAACAATGTCAAGCTTGGATGACGCCGGGGTTGCTTTCGTGGCAGTCCGCGGTTCTTTTCTCAGGTGTTTCTCTCCTTTCGTAGGAAACATTTTGCCATGAAGAAAACAAACAGAGACATTGAAGAAACAGAGCTTCAAGGATTCAGTATCAGAGCATCTGTCATCCGGATGTCTCAGTCGGAATGGACTTTCCTCCCTGATAGTTCACCTAGTTATGAGATGAAAATACAATGTCCCAGAAAGTGATTCATTCTTTGCTTTCATTGTCATTCTTTGGGTTGACCATGACCAATGCGTATGAGAGGTCCATATCTGCTCCCCCTTGCCTTAGGTTACTCCCATCAACTATTCACGTTCTTTGCATACTCAATTGATCTCAATTCAAGGGATTATCGTGCTTCTAAAAGCAAAATGCCCACTCTAATGGTTCTTCGAGGATGGTCTGACTGATTCTGTATGAAATGTGTAGAACAACTCTGATCACAAAGATACCCACACAAAACATAGTAGAATATACCTGGTAAACCACTATCACATAGCCCAAGATGCAAAACTAATAGGTAGAGAATAAAAGAAATTGCTCATTGGCTGGTTGACAGTCTGTCTGCTGGCAATTAGATGAGCAGAGTCTGGGCTCAACACTCAGAGCTATTGTCACATCAAAGCAGCAAATGGTATAGAAAACAATGGAAGAACCACAATTGCTAGCTCTTCTATCCTAATGTATTATGGCAGTTATGTTAAGCAATCTTGACACCAAATTGGTATCAATTGGTGGTTGAGTAGTCAGAGAACATGTTGGTCAACAAGATATATTTTCCCACTTCACATACCCCTACCATATCCATCGAAATGTGATATATTCTTTTCTACACATGTGTCATTCTCACAGAGTGATATTTGTGTCCTTGATAAGATTATGCAATACATCCCATCCAATAATAAGACGCACATTGTGACAGTTATGAGCATGAGATTGAGGATTTAGGAATATTTACTGCATGTCTACAGTGGCTCAGGAAGAACAACCAAACGCAGAGTATTACACCCCAAAACTCTAGGGATTGTTTAAGATACTTGCATACTGCGTAGCAAGTCTGGATGTTTTCTATAACAATGTCTTCAGCCACTGATTTCAGGCTGTCTGTCAGCTGGGGATGTTGGCTGCTTGAATCGCAACACTATGGGACTGGAGTGCCTCTATCACTTCCATTGAATCTATATAACATAATACTCATATCAAGCAAAGGCATGCATTGGATAGTGAGCAAGTGCAGGAAAGGCATTCATTAATCTTAGACAGTAGGAGAATGAAAATCCCGGCGTCACCACACGCAGACATACAACGGAGGCACTTCACGCATCCTTTGGCCAGGCACAATGATGGGATTGTTGTCATTCTCCAGGCATAGATAGATAGAATAGCTGACGTAATTCTGTTTACTCTCAAGGTCTGAATGTGTCTAGAGCCTCGAGGCATTCCTCGCGGCATCCAACGAGCCCCTGCCAATATCCCTTGAAAGTGAGTGCAAACAACGCCAACCACCACAGCGCCCCAAAACAAGGTCAGTCGAGCAAGAAGAGAATATTCAAAGATGACAAGTTTGGTCCTGTGTTGATTGTATCTATATCCTTCCACACTGACTAATGAGTAGGCGGTTCACCGGACTCTATCATCGCCACGCACTGTGGCCTGACAGGTATCTCTAAGTAGAATTGGCGACCATCATTCTAGGACTTTGTTAAAGTCATGTCACCACTGCATAGGACAATTAGTCTCGACATTGGTATTTCACGAACAAGTAATAGTGGTTGAGTGAGTGATTTGCACATTCTGCGAACAAGGGGCCATGATAGGAGTGTTAAGATGAGAACAGGAACACCCCGTGGAAAAGAACAACAAATAAACAACCTATCCAGCAAATATGGGTAATGTTGCCGCAAACGCAGGGGCAAAAATGGGGGTATCCCGATCTCCGAGCCCTAGGAATGCCGAATCTTGTTTACATGACGTCTGGTACCTGTACCTGCGGGGAGTGTTGATCCTCCTGGAATTGGTTGAGCGCGACTATTTGTTTACTTTGATCGACAAGTTGACCACTACATCTCATCCGAAGAATGTGAGAGCACAAACGTCCACGAATCAACTACAGGATATGCTCAGACTCCTAGAAAAGGAGTCGGATTGTTCAATGCTTTGTTTGGAGCTCGAAAAGGGTATAAAGCCAGCTTCAATCTCTGGCAATCCATCCTCGAAATCAACAACTCAACAGACGACAACTCGCCAACAACCGCCACCTTCCAAGCCGACATCGATTCAGCCGAATAACCTTCAGTCTTCACGGTGTCCATATTTCTACTTTTGTGATTATATTCTAATCCACACATCAATGTACGTCCACCCACTGATACTGGGCTATCACCCGTACTAATGTCCACCCAGTATCAAGATGCAGTTCACTCTCCAGGCTCTATCCGTCCTCGCGGCCTCTCTCCTCTTCTCCGCTGTCTTAGCTGCTCCTCAATGCCAGCCTGGAAACGCCTGGCCTGACGTCCACGACTGCCACAACTTCTTCGAATGTGCCGCTGGCGGCATCCCAGTCCTCAAGTCCTGCGGTCCCGGCACGGCTTACTGCCCCGTCACCGGTGTCTGCGACTACGAATTCAAGATCCCCTCTTGCCACCCCCGCGGCGCCATCCCCAAGGGTCCTGAGCATCCCGAGATCCCTGAGGGCTGGGGCTTCCCTGGTGCCCACGGCCGCATGGGTCACTAAGTGTTGAGGAGCTGTTGTTCGAAGCTTGACCCCTCTATTGAGGGGTTGAGGATGTGTATTTCTTTCATACTTGTTGTTCTTACCTAAGGTTTTAATTAGTTCGGCTTGGATGGTGTGGTGTCTGGCCATGGATTATAGTTGTCTATGTCGATACCCTGGGAGGATCTGCCATCATGACTAGCAGATCGTGGCATAATTGAACATTTCTATGATTCCAAATTTATACTGGACATTATCCCCGTCAATACATTATGGCTATCTCGTTGTATTCATCGATGTGAATGAGAGCTAAGGTGTGTCCAAAAATTCGTGTTGACATCGTCAAAATGCATTGCAGAACGATCTAATTACAGTCAAAGCAAATCATCAATGTGTATTCGCCGGACTCAGCGCCCCGGCAAAAAGCAGCGCAAAGAAAACGCTCACTGCGGTCTTGCGCTTCTGCCACTCGCCTATGATCATGCACACAGCAGTGGCCATGATTGTATCATGGACCCTTGCCGGCCTCGCTCCCTTCGCGCGAGCCAATGCCATGTCTTCTGGCATCTCGTCGATCCCAAACACCTCGCAGATTCTCGAGTCTTCTACGACGAGAGTCCCGTACTCGTCTTCCTCGGCACTGCAAACAAAATACGCCACGACCACCTCCTGCGTCTCATCGGCCACCTTGGCCGGCAAGATCGCCACCAATTTCAGATGGTGCACCGGCATCCACCGTATTGCCGATTTGCAGTCCGCTGGCAAGTCCTTGGTACCTTTCCACACAAAGTCAACCCCTTCGTAGCTGAATGCATATTCTCTCGTGCGTTTCGAGAACGGCGCACTCCATGTCAACTGACACGCCTCCGTAGCTCTTAGAGGTTGATGAGCAGTAGGATCATCTTCAGTCCGCCCCCCCTGCTTCCGCTTGCTGTTGACCTCGCGATGGTACGCCTTCCCGGACTCGCCCCATAATCGCCAACTGCGCACCCGATACCCTTTTAGGTCAGCATCAGTCTTGACACTGTTATCGGCATTGGTCCGTCGTTGCCACTGCACGACTCCCCGGGGATCGATCGCGTCCCCGAGGTCCCTGCCAAATTGCAATTGCCACCGCCGCCAGCCACCGTAACTGTGGATGAGGCAGATGGTCCGTCCGTCCTTGGAGCCCCCGGAGCGAAGGGTCCGGGGCGGGCGGGCGAAACTGCGGTACGGCCTGTGGACAAAGTAGCCGTTTGGGTCTTGGATGCTGGACGGGTCTTCTTTTTGCTTCTTGCGGCGCTCCTTTTGGGTCTTTGGTTGTTGGGTGGTGGTGATGAGCATGTGATCGTTGCGTTCGCGATAGATGTAGTAGGTTGAGGCGTGGTCGTCAGCGGAGTCCATGGCGTTGAGAGCGATTTGTTGTAAAGGGTCAGTCGGTAAGAGGGAACGATCGTCGTTGTGGAAGGTCATTGTAGACAAAACTGGCTCAAGATGAGAGACTGACCCGAATATCCACGCCTACTTATACATCGACGAGAACATACACCATTGCTAGTGGACAGGGCGAAGCAACAACTTGCGCCAGCCAATACGAGAACTTGCCCAAACTGGAGAGACGAGGATCAATTCTAGGCTTCTTTAGGCAAGTCCCGTATTCGTCTCCAATCATCGGTGTGGCTTAGGCTGCTTAGCCCAGGATGCCCCGTATATGAAGGCTTGGCTCGCCGGATACTATCGTGTTGATCGCAACCAGAGTCCAGAAACGGAGTATGATGCTACCCTGCCCTATTCTGTCCCTATATTTCACGCAAGAGTAATTTGCAACGCAAAGGTCGCCTTCAACACGGCAGTTTGTGGAGAACTCGGCCCTGTCAAGATGTTGGGAAGTGAATCGAAAATAGTGGTCTGTCAAAATATGTCTTCACTCTATAAATAATTACATCAATCGTCTATATCGACAAATCTAAGAAACGGGACACAACCGCCCATTATTATTCCACGAGTAAGGCACTGGATCCGTGACCTGGACCTCCCAATCCTCCGCGCCGACAGCTGTCAGAGCAAAGAACAATCCCCACGGATCATACCGCTGCTTGAGACTGTAGAGGCGGTCGTAGTTGGCGCCGTAGAACGCCTCCTGCAGGTTCGGTTCGACCAGGTCTGCCTCGCTCATGTATGCGCCCGAGTCGGGGGCAATGTCGCGCAGGACGTCCATCCAGCTCGTCACGAACAGAGACTTGTCTTTGACGGTTTCCCAACTGGCGTCGGACGTCCATTCGGTGCCGACGATGACGTGTGCGAGGGCATCGCGCCAGGCGGGGAGGACGGAGGTGTCGGTGGGCGGGGTGACGGCTTTGCCGGTGCCAGTGATGTGGAAGCCAGCAACGAAGAGGCCCTAGAGATGGTCAGCGAGAGTCAAGACAACTGCCGGGAAGGCTTACCTTTTCGATGGCGTCCTGGTGGGCAAGGAAGATCCGGTCACGCAGACTGTCGTCCTGGAAGACGCTTCGGGGCATCAGTCGGGAGGCCGTCTTGACTAGTGCTGTTCCAACGTATTCCTGAGGAAAGGCAACCGCCCAGGCGTCATGGCTTCATATCAGTTAGTCATAATTCTCGGACGGGTATGGCAAGCTCACAAGTTGTCGGCATGGTTGTACCACGGTGTGTAGGTAATGTTCTGAGCGTCCAGCACATCGAACCACGGAGCGAGCAGAGCCTTTGTCTCGTCGATAGTCATGTTGGGGGCGACAAACGACTCCATGCGGAAATAGTAATCGGTCGACCCGGCATAATCAGTACCAAACTCAAAGGCGGACGCGCCGAGGTAGTAGTAGCCATAGGTACCGGCATCGACAAAGCTCTCAAAGTTGTCAAGGTACGACTTGACACCCTTCCAAAAGGCGTCGGCACTAGGGGCGTCGTTGATGGTGAAGTTAAAGGTCACCGTCGTCGTTGGCAGCTTAGGGAATGCCTTGACTGTCAGCGAAGTGACGACGCCGATGGTGCTGCCGCCACCACCACGAAGCATCCAGAAGACGTCCGAGTTCTGCGTGGATGTGGCCGTGATGAAACGGCCATCGGCAAGAACCACTATCAAGCCAAGTTAGCCGGCGCGACTTGGGCTGACAGCGAGATACAACCTACCCTCCATCGCAAGGACCTGGTCGGCGGCCATGCCATACAGACTGCTCAAGGGCGAATGACCACCGCCGGCGGTATAACCACCTCCCAGACCAACGGTGACGGCTTCACCACCGATAACAGTAACACCGTTGGCCTTGGCATATTCATACGCCTCCCACACCTGCACACCAGAGCCGAACTTGATGGCCGGGCCGACGTAGCCATTGGCGGCCTTGTACTGGGGGTAGAATGCCTTGTCCTTCAGCCAGTGCGTCCAGATCGACAGAGCGCCCTTGCCGGCCGCCTTGCCGTTGAAGTCATGGCCGGTGTTCTTGACGACCAAGCGCAGGTTGAGATTGCGGGCGAAGTTGACAGCCAGCTGGATCTGAGCCACGTTTGTGGCATTAACAACGTAGGTGGGATACCCGCCAATCTCACAGGTGTCCGTGTAGTTGAAGCCAGGGGGCATGCATGTGCGGCCTTCGTACAGGGGCAGCATAATTGAAGCCGGGTCGGCCATGCTATTCCACGTTAGCCGCGATCCAGGGAAACATGTGAAGCACTTACTGGAGATCAGAACTGATCCACTGCGACGTGATCGTGGCACATTTAGCCGCATCATACTCAGGCCAGTCGGGGTAACAGTATGCTGCCAGCGGTGTTGTCTTCACGAGACGGTTTCCGAGAAGAAGATTGAAGATGCCCCAGATCAGATCGTTTGGCCAGGCACCATCTCCAGGCATTACCTTGCATTGGTGCAAGCTCCTCTTCGATACGGAAGTGGAGTTGGTGCTGGCAAAGGTGAGCATGCTGGAGATGGTCTCATTCTGAATGGTGTCAGCCACATCGGCGAGAACGCCATCAGTCAGTTGGATCGTTTCGGATGGGAACAGTGTGGCCGATGGTGCGACAGTAGTTGCGGCAGGTGTAAGCGATGCCGTGACACTGGCCTCTTGCGCTGCGACCGCAGAGGCCACGGCCAGGATAGCCAGGACACTGTTCTTCATTCTCTAGGTCCTAGTACAGGGGTCAAGGACGGAGGTAGCCTGTCCATGTCAACACAGTGCATGCCATGTGGGCGATATTTAAACACTTTCTGAATGAAAATTAGGAGACAATGGATGTCGAGTCCTGGCTCTCGAAGCGAACGCAAACCAGGTGGATCCTCATCTCGGAGAATTGGATGGATTCTGACTTGGTGCGCAGAGCTAAACAAGTAGCGGCACGGCCATGGGCTTTTAGCGCATGAACTACTGCATAAAAATATACGTGCTCCACGCTTAGTGTCTACGGACTGACTCGCTGCGAAGAAGATGAGAGTTCTCGTACACACATTCGCCATTATCCATCATATCGTGAACCCAGTCAGGCCACGTTTTGTGGCGCCGTCTAACAAGGACTATCGATATGGCTGCAAGACAAGACTCCAGCTCCTGCGGCGGCGCCGAATATCGGTAATTGGCTTCAAAGCGAGGAACGAGCGAAGAAAGAAGGAACAAAATAATGAGAAAGAAGGCCAAAGGATTAAATAGAGACTGAGGACCGACCTGTTGATTGAGTTGTTATGCAGTCACTGTGCACCAGGAGTTGGCCGTCGAACATGTACCCAGAAAGATTACCAACAATAGCAATGAGAGACAGGCCAGGACGGAGGTTGTCCTCCGAAACCCTTAGTCTAGACTCTAGACTAGTCTATGTCGCGAATAGTTGAATTGTCCCAGGAGACTTGCCGACTTGGCTCGCTTACACCAAAGGAGACGGATTTTGGCCCCAGTCGGCTGAGGACTATGACTGCACTAGCATGCGGGGCAATTTAGTTGACATTTCAACCGACGAGCCTTTGTTCTAAGTGGTGAATGAGTGACTTCTTTTGAGAAGAACCGAGTCTAAGACGGATGAGCGCCGAGCCGGTTGTCCGGCAATGTGTCGGCGTCTCACCAGGACAGTCTGGATTTAGTCCCTTGGGTCCTTTAGCATGGACTATTTGACCAAATGTGACGAGTGGCCGGAATGCTTGCCAACTCCATACGATGCCCGAAGGAGGCACAGCAGCTACAGGGAGCCTCTAGCTGGCTAACAGCATGGCTCTTTACAAATACACTTTGGCATTGCGTCAGCACCTGGTAAACTAGCAGAAATAGCACATGTATCCATCAGCAGAAGATTCGAATGGAGGCAAAAGGTTGCATTTGAGGAAATCGACCAGAAAAGCCAGCATGAGCCTCCGAAACCCTAATGTACGACTCTTGTCTCCTTCGACCTGTGGCAATTTCCGCTGCTCTCATAAGGATCTAACTGCCGCTTTCTAATCTATTTCTCTTTCCTTTCTTTTCTTGTCATCTTCGTCCGATGGACTGCGAATCCCCACGATGACTGCCCCAAGCGATACTCTGCAGCCCCAGGCGATTGCGCTGATCTTTGCATTTCCCGCCGCGGCAACGATCGTGGTGGGCCTTCGAATCTACAGTCGATTATTGACACGGACGTTTGCAGCGGGTATGTTCCCAAATCGTACTATATTGGGTTGACGTATGCTGATCACGGCATATAGACGACTGGGTGATTTGTCTAGCAGAGGTGGGTGACATACGTTTGTCAAATATTTTCATGCTGACCTGAAAAAAGGTCCTTTACTGGGCTGAGACGATCACTTCTTACTATGGTATTATCAATAACAGGGCCTTTTTTCTGCATTAATTAACATAGTCCAGTCATCAAGTGCATGTATATCGGCTACCATGTCTGGGACGTTCCGAAGGACTTTCCCGCCGCGCTGGGAGCAAAGTACTCCTACGCAGTAGGTTGGACTCTGTTGCTGTTAACTACAGACTAACTGTCTTTCAGACATTACTCCTATACAATCCCATTCTGGCCCTCATCAAAACCTCCATCCTCCTCTTCCTGTTACGCTTGACCGGTCAGAAGGTGAACGTGCGCAGAGCGATATACGGACTGTTGATCCTCAACGGGATCGCCATGGTGGCCACCTTCCTCATCACCATGTTCCATTGCGTCCCAATTGCGTCCAACTGGGATCCTACGTCCTACCCAGATGCGAAATGTATCAATTTCGCCAACTTTGTCACTGGAACCGCCTGTGCCGCCATCTTCACCGACGTGCTGGTGCTGATCCTTCCAACCTGGATTGTGTATAACCTGAAAATCGCGCGGCGTCAGAAGCTGATGTTGATCGGGATTCTGTCCTTGGGTTTCATGTGAGTGATCATTGTCTTTTCGGAATGATTGATGACTGATGTGATTAGATCGGTTATCTCTGGAATTGTACGGGTCATCCTCCTCGACAACTACGACCGCCACTTCCCAGCAGACTACACCTACACTGTCCTCTTCTGTATTTCCACTATCGAAGTAGGACTCTCCATTATTGCAGCATGCGCACCGGCTCTGAAACCTCTCTTTGTCATGGTCATTCCCAAAGTATTCAGCAGCAGCAAGAGCCGGAGTGCTCAGCAGTATAACAGGTACGGAGCCAGCCGCAGCGGGGCAATGGGCTATGATCTCGAGCACATCTCGCGGGCAAGCAGGCGAGAACACGGAGAGACCATGATCGGAGCGGCGGACGATGAAAGGGGAGACCGGCATTCTAAGAATGGGATTGTCCTGACGACGGAGATGGAGGTCCACTGGCATGAGTCTGGATCCGGACGGGCGATAACTCAGGGCAGTAGTACGGAGAGTCTAGTGCAGCCGAGAAAATCATGAAAAGGGACATGTATTGGTAATGTATTGTTGGAGTACTGTCGATTCTATATACATAGCAACCCGATAATCCCTCTTCTCATCATAGTCTCCTATTTACTCATTGCCACTGGTCCATGTACGGACCACGAGCTCAAATCCTGAAGCAGTTGGTCGAGTAGGAGCTCACATCGTTGTCATGACCAATGTCGGCGAAATTGAGGAACTGATTGCGGCAGAACTCATAGCCAAAGTCGCCGCTGCAGCCGGGGCTGTCGTAGACTTTGATACAGCAGCGGGTGGTGCCCTCCGGATTGTCCGAGTAGTACCTCATCGACGAAATCTTCTGGTTGAGAGGGTCGACGTTGGGGAAGCACTTGAAGCCGGGATTTCCAGGTCCGCTATTAGTGATAGATGGACCCTATTCCTCCTTGAGCTGGTAAAAGTACACGCGCCAGGCGGACGCGCTGGGGACAAGGGCCAGGGCGAAGGTGGCGGCGAGAGCTGCGATCTTCATGGTGCCTGTGCAATCATCAGTTCTGGTTTTTATGTGGTGAGGGGATTGCATACTTTATGAAAGTGATATGCTTGATTTTGTTAGAATATTGTTGATGCGGTTGAGCTGGCTTGAGGATGTCACCTTGACGGGGAGAGGAGAGGCTTTTATAGATTCCTTCTCACGGATTCTTTCGCTGAAGCTCAACATGAACCGGTGCTGCATCTCCGTGCCATTTGATGCTGTTTTCATAGTTAATATGATGCCAAGAGTAGATGCAGATTCCAAATGTCAATTAGATTGGCCAAGCCATTAAGATCTCGTATAGACAGCGAGGCCCTTTTCCAGATGTATATTTACCGCGACAGAAGGACCGTAGCTGCTTGGTACTCGCTCGTATTCGGTTGATACTTTGATGCATCTCCTCCAGTCTTAAGCCGAGCATTCTGCATGAGTATAATATTCACCACTGTATGGATCAGAATTGTCCATGTTGTCCAGTCCTCTCTCGTATTTCTGCTGACTTCATGCAGACCACCAAGTCTGGACCTCTGTTAGAACGGCCAAAACGGCCGACACTCACCATATGCATTTGTCGTTTGGTCTTGTTTTCCGGCAAAAGACGAAAGCAGACGAACATTTAGGTCTCTCGGATGATCGAGCTCCCTTGCAGCGAGATGACGGTATGAATCCCGTGAAGTGAATCCTGTGTCAGCCAGTTACTTGTCACCGTGACGGGCATTGACATGACTCAATTCGTCTAACGATCCAAGCGACAAGCATTTTCTGCACTCATATCACAATTAGAACAAGAGGCAACGTACACGTCGACTGGCCCGAGATTTTCCATTCAGGTCCAGCATAATAAGAGTCGTGACGCCGGATGAGCACTCTGCCTCGATTCCTCGCCACAGCCGTGGTCGTTTCTAATGGGCTCAAGGAAGGTGTCGTTCTCTGGGTCTGAGGAGAGCTCGCTCCATCGCTAAGTAGGATGAGATGAGTGCACATTCTAAAATCGCAGTATCAACTGCGACCTTGACAGAATTCATGGCACAGGGCCCCGAAGACGAGGAACGGTGGACAATGTTCCGAGCTGATGCTGCCGACAGTGTGTAGATAGAAGGTCAATAGGCCACACTAGAGTCGCCACTCAAACCCATTCCAGATAACTTGGATGAAACTACTTACACAAAGCTTTCGAGGTCACTTCCCGAGCATCTTACTAACGATCACCTTACAATTTTTCCCCAGGCCTTTGCGGAACCCTATCCCGTTAAAGAAACAGAGCCGCTACGCATACTACCACCCAAGTGCGGAGGCTGTATCCTCCTTCATCATGAGTCTTCCATACAAGTTCATGAATTCGTTCTTGGTCAATCTCATGCTGTACTTCATGTCGAACCTGCGACGAGAGCCGGGCCCGTTTTTCTTCTTCCTGTTGATTTCCATGTCGATGATGCTTGCCATGTCAATGTTCTTCCGCTGGTTTGCATCCTTGACCAAGAAAATCGACCAGGCCCTTGCTCCTTCAGCTATCATTCTGCTGGCCCTTGTTCTATATACTGGCTTTGCCATTCCTGTCTCGTACATGCGCGGCTGGGCTTCATGGATTCGATGGCTCAACCCCGTGTCCTATGGCTTTGAAGCTGTCATGGTCAACGAGTTCCACGGACGGGAATTCCCGTGTTCATCCTTTGTACCAGCCGGACCAGGCTACGAGGCTGTATCCAGCACGCAACGAGTATGCTCGACTGTCGGAGCGGTTCCTGGCTCGGACGTGGTTTCCGGCGACGCGTTTGTCCGCTCCTCGTACGGCTACATCAACAGCCACCGCTGGCGGAACTTTGGGATCATCATCGCGATGACCGTCTTCCTTGCGATGTGCCATTTTGTGACGACCGAGCTTGTTGCTTCAAAACGATCAAAAGGCGAGGTGCTTGTATTCCGACGTGGTAGCGCTCATATCGCACGTGCAAAGCAAGCGCAGTGTGATGAGGAACGACCCACTGCCTCTGCTGTGCAGAATGAAAAGTACAGTGAGGCCCCGACCCCTGTTGCTGGTGTTGAGGAGCAGACATCTATTTTTCACTGGGAAGATGTGTGCTACGATGTGAAGATCAAAAGCGAGACTAGGCGGATCCTCGATCACGTCGATGGATGGATCAAACCTGGTACGCTGACTGCTCTGATGGTAAGTACTTTTCCTGCCCGTCTGTGACACCGAGGGGGCTAAGAATGCTGTACATAGGGCGTCTCTGGGGCTGGCAAGACTACCTTACTTGATGTACTGGCCAGCCGAACGACCGTCGGAGTCGTCATCCAACTCATCTTCCAAATCATCCCATCATTCGTCACACAACGAACTCTATACGAGTCCCGCGAGCGCCAGTCCAAGGCCTACTCCTGGCAAGCGTTCGTTCTCTCCAATATTGTCGTGGAGTTCGCATGGAACACGGTAAGTCATTGCCATATATGCCCAGCCACAGACTAACATGGCTCAGATCGCGGCCGTTCTGTGTTTCCTAGCGTGGTTCTACCCCGTCGGCCTCTACCGCAACGCAGAATACACCGACACGGTCCATTCCCGGAGCACCCTCGCCTTCCTCATCCTCTGGGCCACATTCCTCTTTGCCAGCTCTTTTGCACACCTCCGCGCTCGCAAACATCATGGGCATCATGATGTACGCCTTCTGCGGGATCCTCGCCGGCCCGCATGCTCTCCCCCGTTTCTGGATCTTCATGTATCGCGTCAACCCGTTCACGTACCTGGTTTCGGGCCTGTTGTCGAAGAGTCTGGGTGATGCGCCGATGCATTGCGCCGACAATGAGTTCCTGGCCTTCTCTCCTCCTGCGAACCGGACTTGTGGCGAGTACATGGAGAGGTACATTGCGGCGGCTGGGGGGTACTTGCTGGATTCAGGGGCGCAGGGCGATGACCAATGCCGGTATTGTCGTATTGTCGTGTTGATAACACGAACCAGTACTTGGGGAATTTTAGCATCGACTTTGGGACTCGGTGGAGGGATTTTGGGCTTCTTTGGGTCTATGTTGCCTTTAACACCTTCGGGGCAGTGTTTCTCTACTGGCTTTGTCGGGTCCCGAAGGGGAAGAAGAGACTGTGATTCGCAGTCGAGGATATAGAATATAGATTATAGATTAGATGACACGAGACTGTTACTAACTGAATAGAGGGCTTGCTCTGTGGGATCTGAAGCTGGTTGAGTAGGAGCTGGACACGTTCCTACTGGCTATGGATGCATATGTTTAATAGAAGAGAAGTATCTACAGGATGGTAGCTCCTGCAAAAGAGTTCATTATTTACAAAGTTCTATATAAGAGGGGAACCACGAAATGGATCACATTGTGGCTTAATCCATCCATATGGCGAAGATGTTTGTATGTGGTCGAGATGGGAGTTAAGTAGAAGATAAAATGATTATATCGAAGTGAAAAGGAAAGGAATCAACGTAGCAATTGCTACGAATACGAGACCGAAGAAAGATCCTATTGCCGGTCCAGGGGATGCAGAGCCGGTAAAGAGTGCTGACGCAGCGGTACCCGTCATAGTGCGGGAACCACTTGCTTGAGAAGACGTAGAGAGAGTGGCGGCGCTGGAACCTGCGGTCAAAGTCAGACTAGAGGGCCTGGGGGACGGGATTCTGGATGCAGTCGATGTCCGAAGGCTCGTTGGAGTGCTTGCAGGAATGGTCTGGTTGTAGTTGGGGATATCACCATGAGCCTCCAAAGCGGCGACATCCTTTGCACCGGATGATGCAGAGCCGACAGCGTTGTGTGCGCTAGCTCCGGTGCCATGGCTTGATTGAACTGTATCAAGGCTGGAGCCTGAGCTTGACCCACGGCCTGTACCTTGGTCATTGATAGAGCCAGACTCAGAAGTCGAACCATGAGCCCCAGATGCAGGAACCGTGGGAATAGCGGTAGGAGTTGCTGCCCTCTCGACTGTGAGCACAACAGTAGACGCTACTATAGTTTCGGTAGTGACGAATGTGCTCTTTGCCGTGGCGAGACAATTGGCGACTGTTGACGGGCACGCTGTGACAGTGGCAGTGCGGGTGGTCAAGACGGTAGAGGTTATCACATCAACAGAATCACCTCCTGACGGGGCGTGTGAGCCGGCGCTTGCGGCGGATCCAGGGACTCCGGTGACTGCAGGTCGCTCGGTAGCGGTAACTGGACAAATGGTGGTGGAGACCACGACTGTTTCCGTGGTGGTATATGTGCTCTTATGGGACGCGGGACAATCGGTCACACTGGATGGACACGCGGTGATGGTAGCAGTCCGAGTGCTGAAGATAGTAGAGGTAGTAGATTTACCAACAGATGATGGGGCAATATCAGCCGTAGGGGTGGCGGACGTGGTGGCCTCGGTGACTGGGCAAATGGTTGTTGCAACCACAATGGTCTCAGTGGTTACAAAAGTACTCCTGGCTGACGCAGGGCAGTCGGGGACTGAGGACGGGCAAGCGGTCACGGTAGCAGTTCGGGTTGTCAGGATAGTCGATGTGGTGAACTGTGGCGCGGAAGTAGGAATTGCAGACGACTGACCCGATGCCACGATGGACGATATGGGAACGACACTGGGAGCGGATGAAGGATTCGATGGCGTTAGGAGCCCACTCGACAATGAGACTTGAGAGGATGCTGCGCCGGATGAGGGCGGAACCTGAGGAACGCTCGACGAGGGTGAGCTCGGGGCGGGCAGCACGGAGGAGCCCAAGGAAGTCACAGCGGCAATGGAGGAAGCGCTGTCACTTGATGAGGCTGAGGAGGTGGCCACCAACGCGGCGGAAGAAGTTGGGGATGTCACAGCAGGGACGGAGGAAGCCGGTGATGTGGGTGAGAGACTGGCGGACGGATCAGGTGAGGAGGACGGTGACGCTGGCCCAGGACTGAAAGAACTCGGTGCGGCGTTGCTCGACGGTGGAGCAGATGATGATGGAGTTGATGTCGGTACCGAGACCGGGATAATAGAGAATGACACCACAGGAGATGAGCTTCCAAGTGAAGGCAGAGGGATCGAAGAACACGACGGGATGACCGCGGAGGAAGTGATCAGAGCAGCCGACGAGGACGGAGACGCCACCGGAGAGGAAACCATCGGAGAGGAGACCACAGGAGAAGAGACCACAGGAGAAGACACCACTGGAGAAGAGACCGGGGACGCTGGCGTGGGCGAGGTTGAAGGTGTTGCACTTGGCGTCCGCACTGGTACGGACAGTGAAGCGACCACTATGCTGGACGGAATTGCCGACGATGAAAGAATGGCCTCACTCGAAGGCGACGCCGTGATCACCGCACTGCTGGAAGGGGTTGGGGTAAAGACCGGCGTCGAGCTGGGCGTGAGTGTGACTGTCGAGCTGACGGTCACTGTCGAGCAGGTCTCCTGCGCAGGGCCCAGGAGCTTGGCGTTGTCAAACTCGACATACGTTTGGTAGACATTGTAGAGATTACAGAACGCCCACATGGTAAACGTGTGCGAGGTCGAGGTGGCAGTAAGCGTCGCTGACAGGGTCTGCCAGGTAGCGGTGGATGGCGAATATGATCCAGTTGCCCGTGTCAGGATGACGGTGGTATCGTGCGCAGCGTAAAACGTACAGGTAGTGTATCCCTGAAATCCGGTCGACTTGCCGAGTTTGTAGTCATACGAGAAGGTATATGTCGTGCCCACTTGGAGCCCCGTCACCGTCTGCGACATGGCATAGTTGGGTCCTCCAACCCAGCTGACCTGCGCGGCATACTGCCCGTCGTCCGAGCTGTCGCTGATGACCGAGATGGCACCGGTCAACCTAGTCCACGGACTGGTTGAGCCCGTCTCGAAGGACGGATTGATGAACAGATTGACCGACTCGGTTGTACAGGAGACTTCGGTGCTGGTGATGACCTCGGTGTCTGCCTGGGAAAGCTGACCAAGGAGCACTAGGGGCAGCACAATGGCCGCAGCAAGGGACCGCATATTGACTATTGCAGTTGATCGCCGTAAAGAAAGGACGAGGTATGGACAACCTCACGAAAGGACGGAATATCTACCATGGATCTAACTGACATGCCGCGGGGATGGGGTTATATATGGAGAGAGGCTGTTCCTTTCTGCTGTCGTGCGAGATCTGGACCCATCTTGCTGAGGCGATTCTGTCTGCCAGGGAAATGTAGGGCGACGCCCAATCGTCGGCCATATCCGAGTGGGTTTTCTGATGGAATCGTGCCCGATATCTCGTCTAGAAAGACTCTAATCATGTGTCCAAGAGCAAGGGCTGCGCTAAGCCTTCTGGTCAGGAACATTGGGACCAATCTGGGTTCTTTTAACGATATAGCAAGAGTCAAAAGTCAATAGTTTATTTTCCGGCGAAATCCCTGCGCTTTGTTTGGATCTTTTCGACTTGGTTCCTCTTAGCGTCGGTAATAGCGTGCTCTCATCCTGCTGTCCACACCCAAGACCTGGTATTTTTGCCGACGGAGTCTCGCTAGAAAAGACCTAAATACTGTTACTTGCCACTGGATGGAGACCATCTATCTTGGTTGTGTTTTCCACTTACCGTGGAATCCATTCGCAATGCGCTCAGGAGCTATATAGCGGATGTACTGACACTTACTGACTATCTAGGTAAAGATGTTGGTCAAGAGAGTTAAAAGGCTGACAAGGCTGCCTGGAGCCAAGACAATGTCAGCCTTGTTGACACGAATCAATATTAATAGATGATTCCTCGGTCTTCAACCTCCCAAAACTATCTATCCGGACTATCAAGTATCTCATTCCTGTCAAACCACCATGTCTCAATCATCGTATATCTCACTCCTCACCACCGTCATGGGAATCATCCCCATCGGGCTTGGTATCAACGCCATCCTGCGTCCCGCCCATGCCTTGACCTTCTTCGAGTTTGAACCACCAGTCGCTCCCCGAGACCGAAGCCTCGTCGACAGCCTGATGATTGTATATGGCGCGAGGGATATTTTCATGGGCCTCGCCGTCTACGCGGCCGGCTTTCTCGGCACTCGCAAGTCCCTCGGCTGGACTTTGATCGCAACCAGCGGTGTCGCCTTTGCCGACGGGGCTGTGTGCTGGAGCCAGGGCCATGGACAATGGAATCACTGGGTATTTGTTCCTGTCCTTGCCATTATCGGAGGTCTTCTGGTCCGTCAGTCCGACAGCAAAGAGGGATTGTAGTATTAGGAAACTACGATTATTCGAAGAGGAATACGGACGAAACCAATGGAATGTCAGCTGTTATGCGTCTCTACAGTGAGGCATGCTCGTGGTATGAAGCTCGGAGGCTTATCCGGGCAGTCTGAAGGATTAGGCATGCAATTCATTAATTTTCCCATTTCCTTCTCTATCACAATGCATATAACCTCCGAATCACCGACGCGCTACGCAACACAAGATTCCCGACTTGCCTAAGAAGTAGACAGACCCAATGAATCGAAAGATAGACAGTCCAGCTGTTGCCCACAGAATCACTTGGAAATAATACTGCGTTCGCGTCGTGGACGTGTTCTGTCTCAAGGTCAGCAACTACCTCATGCGCATCCAAGGCATTCCAGGGCTTACCGTCAGACACATCTTCCTGATGCCGTCGCTCGTGATGAGCAGCGAGACCAGCAGATTACTCAGGATCCAGAGCAGCACCAGATTGGTCCGAAAGTTACGGTAGGAATCATCCATACTGATAGTCGAGTCTTCGTTTGGTTCCTGATGCGGAGCCAGCGCCCGCTTGACGGTCGCCTCGAACTGGCTGTCGATATCCGCCTGCGGTTTATCGACCTCCTCGATGAAGTTGTTCTTGCTGCCGTCGGCCTTCTTCGTCTGCGCCGAGGGCAGGGCGTCCGCCTTATCGGATCCTTTCGTACCCCACGAGACATCGTGCCAGTTACAGAACGCATACACCATGAGAATATTGATCGACGTGGTCATGCCCAGGAAGTACGCCCAGGAACTGGTCAGGATGTGCCAAGGGTCCATGTAAAGGATGCTGGCGACAATGTAGATGCCGTAAGTGGACACCAAAGCGATCAAGACGATCCCTCCACCGCTGGAGCTGAAGAAGGAGGACAGGAAGTGGCCCACGCCTTGGTCGAAATTGAAGTCCATCATGCCACCCATGAAGGCATTGGCGACCAGATAAAAGGACAGGATCAGCACGTAAAACTGCACCAGAGAAAACCAAAGGAAGGACATGGTGTAGGCGAATTTGGTTCTGTCCGTGTCAGCAGATTCTTATCCGCACGGGGATTCCGGGAACTTACCCTTTGGGTCGGTTTCCCAGAGCCAGCACAAATTGGAGCATCAGGGCCAAAAGATAACCATATTTGACGAAAAAGTTGAAAATGGGAGAGGCGTCGTTGCCGAATGGCCACGCCTTGTACTTGTTATGCGAGCTGGGGGTGCCGACGAGATCCATGATGACCGAGCTGGTCAGCCAGTAGGATGCCAGCGAGAACCAGGTCATGATGAGCTGGCAGCAGTTGTAGATCATCTGGATATGCAAAAAGAACATTCGAAGCAAGCTATGACCACTCTTATAGATGCGTCCGAAATGCATGATGGCATACAGACTGGCAGCGAAGGAGCCGTTGAGCCATCGTCGCCGCTGACTGATGAATTCCGGCGCCGCCTCGGGGACATCCGTCTCTCCTTTGGATGCTTTGACGTACGTGAGATGCCATTTGAATCCAGCTTTGGCCACGAGTTCAAAGCACAGGATGCGATCCTCCGCAAGAAACATGTTCTTCTTGAAGATATTCATCCCCTCAATACCCTTCTTTCCCAGCCGCTTGGACAGAGTATGATCTCCGTGGAAGTATTGCTCCAACGGTCGGCCCATGATCGCACGGTAGCGATATGCTGAGAAGGCGCCTGGTAGCACACTCACGTAGCCAAAGGCGCTTTCCAGCGGTTTGTCGAGGATATTGGAAATTTTATACTCAAAATTCTGTGCTGCGACCAGAGGGTTCAGCACATTGCGCCATCCCTTGCCCAACATCGCATGGATTTCGCCACACGCTCCTCCCAGTGTTTTGTCATTATAGAATGCTTCCCATAGGGCAAGCAAGGATTTGCTGCCGGGCTTCGTGCCGGCATCGAGTAGGATGCATATTTCCGGATTCAGGATCCGACTAAAAGCGTTGAATAGCCATCGGTGGGAGTTGATTTTCTTGCTGTTCTTCTGCTTGAGGCAGAAGATCATCTGGACAGGGGGTAGATTGCGAGGATCATTGGGCTGTGGTCTGACCAGCTGCTGCGTCGCGGTGACTGACAATTGTGTCGTATATTCGAACTGAGCGATCGTCAGTGATGTTTCTGAGACGGAAAGCGCTGCTTTGCAGGACTCACAATATGTGCAACTGTCTCGCGCCCGTCCACATCCTTTTTCATCACCCCATCCTGATACACACCTATCGTGGCGAGGACATCCAGAGTATTCTTATCGCAAGGTTCAATCCCGTCGAACACGAGACACACCACAATCTTCTGCCACGCCGGCCCTCCCTTGTTCCAGAATTCCGATTTCTTCAGGTTGACGATGTCTCGGACGTTCTGCATCACACCATGCAGAGTTCGGGCGGTCAGGACTTTATCCTCGTTATAATAGGTGATGGCGATGAGCAATTCCGTATGACGGTTATACATGGCGGGACGAAGGTTGTAGCCATTGCGCAGGGTAAACTCATCCGGGTCGCAGGTGGCGGCCGTATCTAGACCTTCTCAGTCGACTGTGAGCGATCGTGTTTCGGCACAAATACTTACACCGCATATGCGTGAACTCTTCATGAAACGCTTCCTCCGCATCCCGATACTCCGACTGGATCGCGTTCTGAATCGCACTCGGAACCGGGTAGTCCACGCTGAGCACGGAACCCTGGACGAGGTTGATCTTTCTTGTCCCATATCGCCGTAGCGCACTCGATTTCACCCCTTGTCGCCTTTGCCAGGCATCCATCTCGATTCCACTGTAATCCGACATCCGTGCGCTGTGAACGTCGGCGGCTTCGGACTCCTGATACGGGGGAGCAAATGCGGTTATCCCGGGGTCATGCAATGTGTATCGGCGCAGGGAGTCGGTCGATATGTTGGGATCATCATACGATGAGCCATTAGGGCTGCGTCGAAGGAGGGTCTGTTGTTGATCTTCCGCGTCATCGCGACCGTAGGTAGGCTGCTCACAGTAAGGTCAACTTTTGCGCCGTTCTTCACCATACTACTCTGGTCAAAAACTCACGGTTGGAGATGAAGACGGTTGAGAGTAGAAGCTGCTTCGGCTTTGTTGCGGTGAATGCGCCGAATAGGGCGTTGGAGTGCCCATTTTGGCAGAGGGCGCTGGAATTTGACAGGTTGGATGTCCGGATAATCGGTCGGGGAGGATGAATATCTGAAAGACTGAAGAATTGTACCTGACTAAGAAACCAAGGGTCGCAATTATATGCCGCGCGTGGAACTGGCCTTACCACGGATCAGAGACAGATGGTTCTATTGATAGATGAGACCTCAAAGAAGTCTGACTGGAGTGTTGTCGATAAGAGACACTGCCTTTTGTCCAGGCATCATCGCAGACAGATATTTCATTATGATGGGCCGGTTGACCCGTCCCACCTCTGTCATTGTCCAATCTTGATGGATGACAGTTATTATTAGGATTTGATTAGTGAGAGCAGCGCTGCCTGCTCGATGATGACAGAATTTGGCATATTTTGATCCCTGGTTCTGGGTCCAGTGGAGCAACGCACATCCGGCAACTTCTCACACATCGCTATTGTCTCCGAGATGAGTTCGCTATTTGTCGATATCAAAGCTTGGGGTCGCTTCCACACCCAGGCCATGCTCCTCTGCCTGCCCCTTGCACTCTTGAGGACGGTCATTCCTGGATTTCGAAGTCCGAACTGAGCTCGAGGCGGCGATCATCCACTAGGCTGGGGAACAATCGTCAGCCAAGAACCGACCAGGAATTTTCTATTGCTTGTCGCCGCCAGTGGCTGACGACACTCGGTGTAAGGCTTGGCCCGTGCCATATGGTCTCAATTTCGTAAGGGTCAAGTGTGTTTTGATAGGACGCTTTGCGGCCCACGCCACGGTTACTGCAGGTCGGAGAGTTCTGGACGACGCGTGGTGGTGGAAGGACAGTTTGGCCACGATGATTTGTGGCTTGTTCTCGGCTGTGCTGCGGCCACTCCACTGAGAGTGGGACACTGGGAATACAAGATCAACAAATGAGCAATCTCATCCAGAATCAGGTCACACAATTCATTCAGACAGATCGAGGACGTAGATATTCCGAGGTATGACTCCAGGTGTTGTATCTACCTATATCTTGGGTGATGAGATCGAGAGAAATCTTTTCGGAGAGACCACGAGAAAGTCGGCTAGTGTGTGGTCACGTGCCTCTGCTCGGCAGTGATGACACTGATGACACTGATGTCATTATAAATTTCTTTACATAGTTTTTTAACGACAAAGAAGGGTGGACACTAGGATGAATCAAGGACCAGCAATGTAAGAGCATCGACTCCATCGAGCCTCGAATATGCTGGCTGAAACAATCCCACATCACAACAGGGGAACAACCTGAGCCGCTGTCCTCTAGGGGATAAGTTCCAGCAGATAGGTAATAGATTGACACAACATAGGCCCTCGAGACAGAGTGTAACCTACCGTATATCGCGCATAGAAAATTCTACTCTGTGGGGGGCGGCAATCTGGTTGGTAGTTAAAGCCTCAAGCATGGACGACTCGATCAATAATCTTGCATCTTCCACCAGAAAGAAAAACAAGGTTGCAGATAAGGTCATGTCGCAGCTTAACGATTGGTTGGAAATTGCCTTGCACATCACGAAGAGCGATTTATCGACGTCTCAAGAAGCTCGGACTGATAGCGTAGCCACCACCGACGCAGCTGCTCGGCCAAAGAGCTATGGCCATCATTAATCGCGCAGCTTTCTATGCCACGAGGTGTCACGCTGCTATACTTCTCACGGACAGATGCACATATTACCACATGGGTTATAACCCAGCCTGCAAGCTATAAAGAGAACGGAATGCTCATTCGACTCTGGAGGACCATATCACGATCCTTGGTTTCCTCTCTTGCCGCAACTTGTTCTGAGAAGATCGCTTTGGGCAAGAAATGGAGCCGACTGAGCACAAGTCTGCCGATGAGGAGGTTACACGTCTGCGATGGCGGGCTGAAGACGAAGAATCGGGCTATCAGACAAGGAGCAGTCGTCCTGAGCTGATCCGGACCGCTTCCGCTGCGTCCAGCGCGCATGTCTCCGTCCACAGTCGTCATAGGAGAACGATTGTCGACCCTTCGGTCTCGTTGCCAATCCACTATCGAACTATGTATCTACAACCTCTCCCTGCTGCAAGGCCTGAGGAATGAAAGTATCTAATGCGGACCAAACAGCTCATTTGATATTGACGAAGCCAAGGAACGGGAGGAGCGTGAAAAAGCAAAAGCACAAAGTGGTGTCGCAGCAGGTATGGAACACTCAAAGCCGCTTGTCACTGCAAGAAGCGCACTATGTTAATGAGAATCAATCTCAGAGCTTTCCCATCTCGACTGGCATACAACCTCCGTCGAAGAGCTCCAGAAACGATGGCAGGTGGACATCTCTCAGGGTCTCTCCCCGAACCAGGTCCAGGAACGGCTCCATCAATACGGCAAAAATGCGCTGTCACCTTTGCCGCATCAATGGTTCTGGCAGATATTCGGCTACTTCTTCAAGGGATTTGGTGCCATTCTGCTGGTCGGATGCATTCTCGTGTTTATTTCCTGGAAACCCCTCGGTCAACCCCCAGCTCTGGCAAATCTTGCCTTAGCGATCGTGCTTCTCGCCGTCTTTTTCATCCAGGCAGCCTTCAAGGCATGGCAAGACTGGTCCTCATCTCGAGTCATGGCATCCATTACGGCCATGCTGCCAGAAAGCTGTCTGGTCATGCGTGGTGGTTCACTCGTCGTAGTCTCAGCTCCAGATATTGTGCCGGGTGATGTTGTGCATCTCAAGGCGGGCAATAAACTCCCAGCAGATACCCGTTTTGTCGAGGTCTCGAATGATGCATGCTTCGACCAATCGATACTCACCGGTTAGTGTTGTCTGGTTAGGCGTGCCTCGGGTGTGTTGCTTACGAACGGCAGGCGAATCGCTTCCCATCAACGGGACGGTGGACTCGACTGATGAAAACTACCTCGAGACTCATAACGTCGGTCTCCAAGGCACGCATTGCGTCTCGGGAAGTGTTACGGGGATTGTCGTGTCGACTGGAGACGTAACGGTGTTTGGTCGAATCGCAAAGCTCACCAGTGAGCCGAAGAAGGGCTTGACCACCTTGGAGAAGGAAGTCTTACGTTTTGTCGCGCTCATCGTGTTGATCATGCTGACCATGATTGCCGTCATCATTATTGTCTGGTAATGATAAAAGACCATCACGGCCAAGGCGCACGGATCGTTGACTTGTCAATAGGGCTACCTGGCTGCGACGAGATCACCCGGACTGGATCAACGTTCCAACGCTAATAGTGGACTGCGTCAGCGTCGCCATCGCGTTTATCCCTGAAGGCTTGCCGATTGCCTTGACTGCCAACTTGACCATCACTGCCAATCTGATGAGCAAGAACAAGATTCTCTGCAAGTCGCTCAAGACGGTTGAGACCCTTGGCTCGGTATCAGTGATCTGTTCTGACAAGACCGGTACTTTGACCAAGGTAATTACGCAATATAGCCCATAAAAGCACTCCGATCCTATTCTCGGATCTTCCGCTGACCGTACTGCAGAACAGAATGTTCGTCACTGACTGTGCGGTGTCTATCTCCACGTTCACCTCGGACGGAGCAAGAGACGAAATGGTCCTCAAAGGAAAGGCATCGGCGATCCATCAACTTCGAGCAGTTGCTGGTCTCTGCAACGCCGCCGAGTTTGACGCGGCCACCATGAATCTGCCCGTCCACGAGAGAAAGGTTATCGGCGATGCCACCGACCAGGCGATTCTACGGTTCTCCGAAGGATTGGGCCCCGTATCCGAGCTGCGTAGCATGTGGAAGAAGACATATGATCTTGCCTTCAACAGCAAGAACAAGTTCATGGTGCGGACATTCAGTCAGGTGGACAGCGCAGGACTCGGCGACGTCATGTCGCCCGCTGAGTCGACCCAATTTGGTCATGATGATACGTGAGTATTCGATCTCCCTCGATTCTGCTCTGTGAGCCTTTCTGACCACTGGCACAATTGTAGATTGCTTACGATCAAGGGCGCTCCGGACATCCTCATCGACCGCTGCACGCATGTCGTGAGTGTTGATGGCAGTGTGCAGGCTCTGAACGCCAGTACGCTCAACCGCTTGAAGCAGATTAAAGACCAGTGGTCAAGTGAAGGCAAACGCGTGATCCTCCTGGCCAGGAAAACCTTCTCAGCGGGCCAAATACAGAGTTCGCCCTTCTCCCACTTCTTCGAAGCCGAAGTGATGAACCAGATCAAGAGCGGTCTTGTCTTAGTGGGCCTGGTCGGTATTGTTGATCCTCCTCGAGACGAGATTCCGGACGTGATCAGAACACTGAGGCGGGCGGGGATCAGAAGCTTCATGGTAGGAGTGGTCTCAACCCATTCGTTTGATATGTCGGCGGTGGGCTAAAGTAAATGGTGCTAGGTAACGGGTGACTTCGGCTTGACAGCTCTTGAGATCGCGCGGCAGTGCGGTATCGTTACCGCAGGAGTGCCTGTTGACGATGCAACAGCCCTGGGGAGATTTCCTTCAGTCAATGACAAATTCAACGAGAAGACCCAGTCGCCTGCAATCACCCTCAGCGGGAGTGAACTCATGGCTCTGAACGAACATCAATAAAATCAGCTCTGCCAGTACAAGGAAATCGTGTTCTGGAGAACCACCCCGGAGCAGAAATTGCGGATTGTTCGCGAGTTCCAAGCGCGAGAGGAGATTGTAGGAATGACAGGAGACGGCGTGAACGATGCTCCGTCGCTCAAGGCGGCTGATATCGGCATCGCGCCGGGAAGCGGGTCAGATATCGCCATCGAGGCGTCTGACATGGTTCTTCTGGATTCTTTCTCGGCTATTGTGGAGGCCGTGCAGTACGGACGAGTTGTTTTTGATAACTTGAAGAAGACAATCATCTACCTGCTTCCAGCTGGCTCCTGGTCCGAGTTCTGGCCGGTTATGACCAGTGTGGTTTTTGGCCTTCCGCAGGTCTTGTCCTCTTTTCTGATGATCATCATCTGGTATTTCTGACGCGCTGCTCCCGTTATGGATGTGCCTGACTAACCGATACAGCTGCTTTACCGACTGCGCGGCGGCCACTGTTCTGGCGTACGAAGCTCCCGAAGCCGACGTGCTGCTTCGCCCGCCCCGTAAACCCAAGAAGGAACGCCTGGTAAACTGGAAGCTTATCCTTCAGGCATATGGAGTCATCGGCATGCTGGAGACCCTGGCATCGTTTGCCATGGTCTACTGGTACCTGCAGCGCAATGGCATTCCATTTTCCGCTCTCTGGTTCAAGTTCGGCGCGGTCCCAGCCAACGTCGATCCTGACTGGTACACCGCACGACTGAACGAGGCCAGCTCGGTATATTTTATCAACCTGGTTGTAATGTATGCTGCGCCCATGATGCGTTCCCGAGACCAGAAAGGCTAACGCTCACAGGCAATGGTTCAATCTGATGGCCATCCGAACCCGCCGATTGTCCATCTTCTCGCACCCACCCGCCTTTAATAAGAAAACACAAAATCTGCTCTTGTTTCCGGCAATCATCTTTGCCTTGGGGATTGCTGTGATCTGGCTGTACATTCCGCCCTTACAACGGGTGCTGGACACGACCAGCGTTCCAGTCGAGCACTACTTCCTGCCGGCTGCCTTTGGTCTGGGAATCCTTGGCTTGGACGAGCTGCGCAAAGCCGCTGTGAGGAGATGGCCACATGGCATTTTGGCCAAGATGGCTTGGTAGAAGTCCAGCAAGCGCCAGCATCAGCTATACCTGTTTATCGGCTCCAACTGGTTGTCGGAAGATGAAGATGCGTACAAGCATTTCTCATACGGATTAAAACTTTTGTGTGTCAATCAGAATGAGATCTTCAACTTTATATACGATACAACAGTTGATTTCAAGGAGTCAAGTCTTACAAGAATGGATGGTGTTTTAAGATGTCGACTCCTGGGTATCCCTGCCCCACAGCTGATCAGCTTAACATCGCTGGATGGATTTAATTTCTCACTGTGGGATGTTGATAACTCATTTCCTCCTTTAAGATATGCGCCTTAATCAAACGAATCATCTGTTGGTACGCATATACCCATGCCGCTGTGGCGTTCCGACTAGACCAGGGTATATTAAAAAGACCACGTATGCCACCTGCTCGGCTTGACACGAGTTGGAGCAAGACAGAATTAATAGCATAATACCACTAGCTACTCCGTAGACTATTCCGGTATGACCCGATAGGCAATAGTCTACTATCTGATGTAACCTGAAGCCATACATAAGCCAATGGTGTGACTTTACATCCCGTACCCGTTAAACTTCTTACGGTATACTCATAGCCACATACCCATGCTGCCCAAATTCCGCGTAGAGACCGTCAGCGACGACGACTTCCCCGAGCTCTACCGGGCGCTCTGGGAGTCCTTTGAGAATCCCTACCAGGGCGTCGTCCGCTTATTCTTCCCCATCCACAACAATGATCGCGAGGGCAGTCTGAAGGCGTGCGTCCAGGCTCAACTGGAGGAGTACCACCAGCAGCAGCCGCATGTAACCTGGATCAAAGTCGTGGATACGGAAGCCAACAAGATCGCCGCCGCGGCCAAATGGTACTTTTACCCGGAGGACCCCTTCGCGAAACAGGAGGGGCCAATCGTGGCGGACTGGTTCCCCGAGGGACTGACGAGGGAGTGGGCGACGCAGGCAGTCAGGCAGTTTGAGCATCCGCGGGAGAGCATGGCCCGACGACCCCATGCTTGTAAGTTTGCCAGCTAAACCCATGTATATGGAGAGACTAATGATATCCTTACAGTTCTACACATTGCATTCGCCCTCCCCGAGTATCGCGGAATGGGACTGAGCCATCTGTTCATGAGATGGGGCGTTGAAAAGGCCGACGCGCAGGGCTTGGAAGCTTGGCTGGACGCCTCGGAGTTTGGCGCGCCCCTTTACAAGAAGTATGGCTTTCGCGAGGTCGTCTTCAATTGCTTGAAGCCGGTTCCAATGCGCCAGTTGTCCGACGAGGAGCAAAAGGAATGGACACAGTGCGAGGAGACTTTCTTACCCATCAATGGGACGGTGATGTGGCGCCCTGTTTTAGGCAAATATGTCGAGGGAGAGACGCCATTGGCACGGTGCGATGAGACAGACCAGGTCTAGGAGGCAAAAGAATTGAAATGGAAGGCAAAAGAATTGAAATGGATGTAGTAAATATTAGAGATGCGCCTAAGTTACATAGTTTTCAGGTTTGTACAGAATCACAGCGGAACGAATGCATCGCTTTTTGTTAACCCCGCCACAAAGTGTCTACTGGGGCACTGTCTCAACAATTGGCCCTTCATAAACATGACGGGCGCGGAGGACATAGTAGACAACGCTCAGGAGAATCACACCGGCGGTACCGACCGAGCTGAAGTTCATTGTCTGCACCGTGACATTGCTGAATGTGGGCCACATGCTGAAGAAGATGGCGATGAGCGAGTAGATAATAGCAAAGACATTGATCATCACTCCCCAGATACCAGGAACGCGAAAGGGACCCCAGACCAGCCTGGCTCCGATTGTGTTGACGGTCTCGCCAGCGCAAGCAGTCAGCGAGATCGCCCCAGTCACACGTCGCCAGAGGAGAAGGACGGCGACCATGATGTAGGAGAGGAAGAGGCCGGTAATGGACATGGCGCAGAGGTCATTGAAGGCGACGGCGGATCCAATGGGGATCAAGGCCAACAGGGCCGACACAACGGTGGTGACTGCGACGGACCATACGGGAATAGCGGTAGTTGGAGAAACCTAGGCAGAGCATATTAGCGCGAACAATGGGTTTACAAACAAGGATAGCCGTACCCGACTCCATATTCTCCAACCGGGAACACCGCGATCGCGCGAGAACGACCAGAACTGGCGAGAAGTCGCAGCCATCATGCCGGTGGCCGAGCAGATACAGACGACAATGACGATGGAGACCATGGTGGCCGCACCTCCGACGGAGCCGGTTCCCTTGTAGAAGATGTGCATGAAAGGGTATCCCGTGGGAGATGCGAGGGCTTCATCGATGTCCCCCAAGCAGAAGAGAAGGGCGAGGAGCATGCCAAATCCCAACAGACCGTTGATCAACACGCTGAGCAGGATAGAGCGAGGGACCACCACGGGGGCATTTTGGATTTCCTCCGACATCTGCAGATATGAGGATGAGGCGCTGGCTTTTGGTGGGAGAGGAGCGGTGGACTTACGTGGACTGCGGCATCACCTCCAACAAAGGCAAACACAGAGCCGATCAAGCCAACAAAGAACGACAGTCCGTCGGTCGGCCAGCCACCTTCATTGATAAACTCAGTGAAGACGTCCTTGGCGGAGCCAATGTCGGCCAACGCGACGAGCGGGATGAGGATGGCGAAAAAGCCGAGAATGTGGACCACAAGAATAAGTCCCTCGAACTTGGGAAGGACACTGCGACCGACCACGTTAATACTGACGGCGAAGGCGACGATGGCCCAGAAGTACAAGGTAGGATGCCATGATTGGGGTGTGTAGTTGGGACGCGTGAGGATGGCGACACCCTGGACCATAGTACCGCAGAGGTAGCACGCTGTGGCAAAGGTGGCCTGCCATCCGATGACGGTGAGCCATCCAGACATGTAACTGAGGAATTTCACAGTCGATCGCGGCGCCAACATGGAGATCCAATGGTACTGTCCACCGGATGTCGGAGCCCTAAGTGGTTGTCAGCAATCACGTTCGATATGAGATACAACATCTGAAAGACATACATGGATGCTAATTCAGAGAGCACGACAAAGACGCAGGCAGTACCTGCCCAAACAAAGAGGAAACCATAAACAGCTCCAGCTGGACCACCACTGTCGTTGATCGTCAGTGTTGAAAGCGATTAGATCGACAGGGGAGCGTACTTTGTTAGTGGCTGGAGGAACAGTCTGTCGATCATGTATTAGCAAGATCATTCGGAAATTTGTTATCAGATGGATGCATACACCGTGAATCCTTCCCAGGTCACTAGAATCGTACAGCTGAAGCCAAGCATGGACAGCATTCCAAAATTGCGCTGCAACGGTTGCGCGTCAGTGGCGAGTCACAAATCCTATGCAATCGATCGAAATCAGATCACCTCACCTTCAAAACGGGTCTCTTCCCCAGACGAGCCAAGTGGACTTCATCCATGTCTTTGCTCGAGCGTGGGCCGCCGAGCTCTTGAGGACTCGACGGCTCCAGCGTCTTCATCTCGTGCGTCGACATTTCTCGAGAGATTGATTGACTCTCAGGAGGGGACGACAGAGAAGATTGGATACGAGGATGCAAAAGCTAGATTCCCCAGATCGAGGGACAATATAAGAAAGGAGAGGGTGGGGGATTGAAAAGTCAGAGTCCGCCTGGTCGTTCAGGGACCTTGACTTGGCCACTTCGGCTAGTTCTTGGTAGTTAAAGCGACGAATGTGATTCTATCTGTTTTGAGAAGGTCGTAGGGTAGTGAATTATCGAAGAGCATGGATGTTATTCACTAATGCACCGCCGGGTCTAGTCCAGTCGAAGGCACCGCATCCACCATACGACTTGGTTAAAAATTAGCGGCTTGCCAGTTCCCAGAACGAACCGAAACGAAGGATGAAACAATGCTACGAATGCGATAAGGAATGCGCTTGGTCGGTACCAGCCTCTCTGCTTCCGAAGCCTCGTGGGAGGTAACCCGTATGTACTCTCTCCTGTACAAGTGTAACCCCTGAGCGACAACCCCTCTCAGAGACTTCTCAATTGCGACTGAGAGAATTAAGGATGCGCAACGTCTCCGCGTATCGTTGCATTCATTTGTCACTTCCCTGCAGATGTTTCGATACGCTACTGCTTGGCGCCGCAGGGATGGCGATGATAGAAACAGTCTACGGCCGAAAGGAATCGGAGCGACGTCTCGATTGGGGCTAGACTTGCCCTAATAAATGAAAACCAATCCAACCATTTTCTGCGAACAATATCACTGCCAATGCGAACCGCTGAAGCGGCATCGTATCCTTGCAAGGGGCGTCGTTAGTGGTGACCTCCAGACATGGATGAACAGGAATCTGCATATATCCCACTGTTTCTTGGTAATTGGATAGTCCTGAGAAAAGAATGTCCGAAAGTCTATTGTTCCAGTCTAAGAACGAAGACTGCACAACTATCTAGGCAATATTCCAGTGGAGGACGATGTGCTGGTCCACGGACCACGGCGATCGAGGGTGTTTGCGCGGTGGAATATCCACTCCCCCAGAGTCTATTTCATGTTTATCTACGGAGAATAGATACGGCCACAGAATATAACCTCCTTAGACACGGCTGGATCACTAGACGGGGACCCGGAAGAGAAGCCTGTTGATCCGATCAGGCCCGGCCCAGTTTTAGCGGGACGCCAGGATCAGGGCTTGTCTCAGAAATAACACGGCCCAGGTCTTCGTCTTATTCTGCTGGTGTAACCTTGTCCAGGATATAGACAGACTAGGTCATCATTGGTTAATTGATTGCGATTCCTCGTCCGTCAACTACAGGAATCTAGTGGCGTAGTGTTCATCACATCCGACTGGTGCAGTCATATCAATCAATATTGTCGACTCGATATCCTGGTCCCTTCTCTCACCCTGCGACCCATCTTGGCTGAAGGATGATAGGATCAGACAATGGATGCATAATCCACTTCATTTATTGCGAGTCTATGAGCAACTCCACCCAGGCAATCAATAACACGAGCCCTGCTCTCTAGTAAAAGTCAATATGCAACGTTATCCATTTGTTTGAGACAAATCGGGACTTTCTCAGGACAAATGGACCCTCGGCAAGGATCCCATCACATAGATGCACCCGAGATAATCCTTCTCCGTGGGGTGTGCACTTGGTCCCTGCCCTTGGACTCGGTCTTATACACGCCCTGCACTCCTTTACTTCAGTCTGACGTTCAAGTCTGTCTTTTCCCTGGGCCTTTTCGGACAGATTTGCTGTGGATCATGTCCTAGGTTCATGTTCGTGATCTCCCCTTCAGCCTGCTGGTCACCTCGCCATCATGACCAGGTATTCCCCCGATAGTGAGGCGCCAGCGGTCATCGTCTTGACTTTGTTCTTGATGGTGACTTCCGTCCTGGGCTCGCTGGCGAGACTCGGGACCAAATGGTGGAAATTTGGCAGTCTGTTTCTGGATGACTACTACATACTCCTTGCCCTGGTGGGTGAAATCGCAGAGATACGCTGTTCCAGAGTCTGACTGGTGTAGCTCATGTCAATCGCTCAATCAGTGGCCGTTTCAATGGCCGTCAAGAATGGCTACGGAGATCATTTGACAACGTTGAGTGATTCAAAAGTTGACAGTATCATGAAGGTATGTCCTTAGTGTACTGGATTGCAAGTCGATGTCAATAATTTATAACACCTGCCTCCTAGTGGCAATACGCCGCTACATTCCTTTACATCCTCGCCATCGCTTTTTCTCAGCTCGCCTTTCTCTGCTTTGTCCAACACCTGACGCCAGCCTGTCAGAGCCGGGTGGTGTTTGTCGCTCTGCAGATCATCATCGCTGCCTGGGCAATATCAGCGGTCGTTGCATCTGCGTTCCAGTGTCATCCCCATCAATGGGACTATCTACATGGTAGTTGTTATGATCGAGTAGGAGAACCCGATGGATACATGGACTCTTCAGAGGCTAAATCTAGCATAGAAAGCATTCTTCATCTACCTGGGGGTTTCGAACATCTTCACCGACGTGGCCAACATTGCGCAGGCCGTCCAGGTGATTGGCACTGTACAGACAACCTGGAAGAGAAAAGCCAATATCATGGCTGTCTTTTTGTTTCGCGTGATGTAAGTGCTTCTCATTCGAACCAGAAACGTGCCAAACTGATCAAACCAGCGTCCCTGGAGCATTGATGGCCCAAGTCTATTTCATACATCGCACCATCAACTCGTCCGATGCCACGTCCGAGACCTGGTCCGTCACCGTTGCTTCCCAGTTGGTGCAGTGCCTGAGCATAATGACGACCAGCGCACCGCAGTTTATCCCCTTTCTCAGGCAACTCCAGTCCACTGGCATGAGACTCGACGGCCTCACTCGCTACACGATTTCCAGCCATCATAAATCATCCCGCAGCAGGTACTATCTCTCAACCGATCGAAGACGTACTGGCAATGAGTCCAGTCATGAACTTGATAATATCCCCTTGGCGACAACCAAAACAGTCGTCACCTCAAATTTGAATGGCTCAGAAGATGACCATGATAATGAGAGTCAGTCAAGCCAGACAGGCATCATCCGCGAGATTCGGACATGGACGGTGACAGAGGAGCACACATGTCTGCCCGGTCACAACGGATGATCTACAGGAGAGGTGATGTCCGGTTCCATTCAATTGAAAATATTCCTTTGTATTGTCTCTGTACAGTAGATGTCACGAATATAAGATTTCTTCTGTTTTGGTGCAGTTTGTAACTCCAATCTGTCTATAGGGGAACTCCGGTATGAAGATGATACATGATATGGATTACTGCGCTAATGATACAGATCTGCGCCAACGAACTAGGCATTTACACCGGATGATGTTATCCCATCGTGGTGGTGATCATTGCATGCCGATCCACGGGGCTCCACCAGTTCGTGGCGAGCAAAACATCCTTTTGGCTGGGTCGATCCGGTATCAGCACAGGCCACAGATGCACCCTGAAAGCACATGGCCCACTGTCGCATGGATGTCATTCAGAGCACAGTTGAATTAAGGTATTGATACTTGGAATTCCTCTGTTGTGTCCCTGATGATGTGTAGTTGCATATTGACAAGAAATGATTGATTTGAACAATGAGCAGAGCAAGGACAGGTTTCTGTCGTTTGATCAAGTCAAATGCCAGCCATGTTATGCTGGATGGCTCTAGATCTTCGAATAACTTTGGCATAATATTGCAAGGGCCTGGAGGCGTGATATATGTGCAGATACTCTTCCCGATCCGGCATGATCGTTGTTGTAGACGCATTGGGAGCCTGCCGCATCAGGCAACCCCGCCTTTGCAGCTTTTATTACTATTAACGGACTGATCCTCCAGGAGTCAACCTTGGACGACAGTATAAAATAAAATTACCATTGAAATGACTGCCCACGAGTCAGCACTATTCGCCCAGTTCTCCAGGCTGTGTGCCGAGAGGGGTCTATTGCTGGGTCGCGACGAAGTGAAAGAGGGTGATTGCCTGGATGGCGTCGCCGACGAGACAACTCTGCTGTAAGTGACTGGTCAATCCCTGAATCCTAGTGGGAATCATGGTCGAACTAAGCAGGCGCTTTCTGAAGGCCAGAGGAATGGACCTCTCGAGCGCCCTCTGTCAGTTAGAAGAAGCAACCCAATTCCACCGTGAGAAGGATGCGCTCCGGGCATATGACTGGATCAGTGTTGATGATTCTGAAGACACTCGCAGACTGGTCAGGCAATCCATAGTTCTGCTCAGATGTCGCAACTGATGGCCTACCACATAGTATTCGCACTGGACGGGTCGTTGAGACAACCAGGGACTGCCCATCATAATGATTGAAATGGCCCATCTGGACCAAAAGGCGATTGCGCACTGGCATCAGACATGGGAGCTATCTGGCCATAGCAGTTCACCGGACATGGCGCAGTGATCTCTGGTGCATTTCAATTATCTAACTCAGTTTATCCTTCCACTGTGCTCCGCAATGCGAGATCGACCGCTGCCATTGGAGCCAGTCACCAAGGCGATCTGCCTGGTCGATACATCATCTATCTATCTGCACCAGGTGTGGAATCTCCGAGATCTCGCGCAGGATATTAGCGGGATGGTAGCCACCTGCTATCCCGAAACAATCGATCGGATACTCGTAAGTGAGAAAAGGCAGGGGACCATGGGCCCTTCTGACTGACTCGCGTACAGGTCTGTAATCCTCCGTTGTACTTTGCCAAGATCTGGAGTCTCCTGAAGAACTTTGTCGACCCGGTGACTGCAGAGAAGATTGTCATGCTAAACTCAACGGATGCCTATAGCACCCTTAACAAATACATCCATCATGATGATATTCCTGCCCAGTTTGGCGGCGCATTTTAGTTCACCAACAGGATGCTGCTAAACCTGTGCCCCATCGCTCGTCAGGCGTTATGCTGGGCCCCTCTGTTCAATAGGACGTTGCCGCCGGGCCTGATCAAGTGGACGCAGGATGCTCCTGGCCAGATAAAAGCAGTGGCTACTGGAATGGCCGACGGTGTAGAGAGGGAATTGCATGTTGCCACTTTGGACATTGAGGAAGAGAAATGAGAACATTCAAATGGCATTTCTATAACTACCGGATCGCAAGAATATCATTGACGATCTTCTTAAACTTCGCTTTCATCCAACGAGTAAAACTCCAATTCCGCAATCATTGTCTTGGCAGGAATGGTGATAGCGATAGGGAACCCACCGTAGTCCGGGTCTTCGTTGGGCATGATGGCGAACTGGCCGCTACGTGTTTCGTCTCCATTGAGCACGCGCCGAGTCCTGAGCTCCCCTGTCACCTTGTTCGCCACGACCTTCTCTTCGAATCGGAGGATCCCAGTATACGCAGCGGTCGGAGACAAGGAGGTTGCGCGGACCTGGAATCCCCACCCGATCAAGAGGAATTTGCCTTCTCCACGATGGATGACCATGCCACAGCCGGGACCTGGCTTGCCAAGGACGAAAGCGCGTTCGATGGTAATCTCATAACCCCCCTGTTGCCGTGTGATCGGTTTGGACGGGTCGGAGCCGTCGGCCGCCAGCTCGTCGAAGAAGAACCCCACAGACGAACCAGGGCGTTGCTGTGCCTCAAGCACTATCTGAGAGACTGATTCTAGTAGGGCATAATGCTTGATGTATGGATTTGACTCCGGCTCCAGGGTATCGAGAGCAAACGGAGCGACACCGATGGCCTGGTAGGACCCCACTGCTGTCCAGCTGCGGCGTGCCCCATACTCGTCTCGGCGTTGTTAGGGAATGAACAAGGGCTGGCCGCGATGGCGGTACTTGGAGCAGCAGCTAGTATAATCATTCAGATAGATATCGGGAGTGAAAAAGTCCACGGATGGTGCAAAACGCTGCCAGATGTCCAGGACGTTTGGTGTGCAGCCACCGGAGGGATAATCCCCTGGCATGCCGCCGCCGCCAACGATAACCGGGAAGTCATTATCGCTGTCTTCGCCAGCAAAGTTTTGCCACGCGTTTGCGTACAGCGGAAGCGATACTCTGCTCTGCCTGCTGCGGCAACCTGGTTGACATATAAAGCGTAGTGATAGGCCATGAAGAGCTTGTTGGTGTGTGGCCCTTTGCCAAACACTTCCGCCCATGACCCTTGACGGGGAGTCTGGGCTTTGAAGTGAATCAAGTTGCGTTTGAGGTCTTGATGAAGATAGTCCCAGTCATGGGCGAGAAAGCTGACGAGATCATTGGGCACTGGTTGGGAGAATCGCTCCTCTCCGGCGGCAGAGCCATCGCGAGAGTCACCCAGTAAGCCAGTTTCGTTCTCAACCTGGACCATCACGACGGTTGAGTGATCCTGGTCAAATTGCTTCAGGTGGCGCATCAACTGCGCAAAGGCCCTGGCGTCGCTCTTCTGAGCTTCCTCGTGAAAGATCGACAGGATCTCGGTAGTCTGTAACACACCTCCTGCCTTTCGCAATTTCATCCGAGGGAAGCGCTTGGGGTTCTTCTTGACCCACGCGGGAGCGTACGTTGACATTCCTGTAGGCGATTATTAGCTTCTTTCTCGAACTGCAGAGCGTAAGCGATCGGCATCGCATGGTGGTGGAAGGCTACCATTTTTGTAAGAGCCGAACCACAGTAATACAAGATGAAGTCCGTGCTTGCGCGCTCCCAGAATGATCTTGTCCAGTTCCTTGAAGTCGAATTGGCCTTCTACGGGCTCAATCATTTCCCAAGTGACGCATCCTAGCACAGTGTTGACCACCAGATTCGGCCAGACCGTGTCCATATGCTCGGCCGAGGTAAGCGACGAGTTCTGCAGCTCTGCACCCAATATCAGGATTGGGCGACCGTGAACGATCAACTGCTTTCCCCCCTCGATGGAGCGGAGATGAGGGATCTCGATGTTTTGCGGAGGCATGGTGAAAGAGTAGCAGGATGTTAAGGGTCACTTGACTAGCTTTGACGGCGATTTGGAGGTTCTGCTCGTCTTCAAAGGCTGGGAGGGGTCGAGGCCTCTCTGGTTCTCATGCTTAAATTCCGGCTAAATAGGTAGTCGTCTCAGATTCGAACCAATAGAAGTGTCCGTATCCATCGTGTCCCAGCTGGCTAGATCACTTTACCCACGATGGATCGATCAGACGATTATCTGGATACCTTCTGCTCCCCAGATTTTCAGAGACTCGAGCTTTACAGTACCACAACAATGCGTATCACGAGTCATTGTTAAACGGCTGAAGACCATGACACCCTATGTGGCCCACTACGTGCTTATAGGGTCCCATGCATGTGGACACCAATAAGGCTTTGGCAATCCACCGGATCTACACTGGGCCTCTTAACAGCCTTTTAATCATAGGCAGTGTCCGTGCTTAAGGTTTCTAGTGCGTCTCTGGTTTCATGATTCTTCGAGTCTGGTGGAGTGCACCCGGCGCTGACCATCCCAGCTCCAATTTGGGTCCATCATTGCAGCTTGGACTATTTTTGGGAACGATCAAATACACCTCAGCGGCAAACATGGGGAACACCAGTTGAACACAAGCGGCCACGCCAGCTATTCAGTTTGATGGTATCTGGTTCTTCCCCAAAAGCCATCGTTGGCTGTGCGCCAGAGATCGAAAGGATGAGGCCTTCAAACGCACTGGTCAGGTGAGTAGAACATACCATCGCTGGACGCGCTGGGCTGACATTGAAATCAGTACCATGGCAATATGCATCAATCAACGGCTTCTCTGATTTTGAGTTCCATTCCATTCCACGAAGTTGAGAATCCCGTCCGTCTAGGGAAAGGGATTCCCGTTTGTGATGGTGCCTTCTTCTTCGGATGATCTGAGAACGGACTTGTCTCTTGTTACCTTCTTGTGTCCCTTACGACCAGGCCGTCATCAACGGTTGTCTGCAGGTGCGGTCGTTCCTCGTTGCCATTGGATTTCGTCTTCCCAGTGGATGATTTCTGGGCCGACTGAAGCTCTTCACGATTACTACCGTAGGAATGCTGGTCAGTTTCAGTACCTGAATGGGGTATGAACCGTGACGAAGATCGAACGAGTGCTAACATACCCTCAGACGCTCCACTGCTTACGCCGGGAGAGGTGATACTGGGACCGCAGGCGCAATAATTTCCGTATGGGGTTGCCACCTCGCATGGCCTACTGCTCTTCCGAGAGAGGTCAACAAGCTGATGCCGGACACCATCCTTCACGTCGGCACTATTATCTGTGGTTGAGATATCATGATAATTGAAGGCAAAGAAAATAGCTGAAGCCAAAGACCTAAAGTCGAGTCCAATCTTGCCGACAGGGAACAATCTTGCCGTCTTCGGAGCAAGGAGTATGAGGGAGAGGACCAGCGTGTCATTCCCGCTGGGCGGCCCGACGTTGACGGCAAGATGTAGCCACTTTCATGGTGTGTATGGATTTATCGAGCTCACATAAAAGTGCGACGCATCCTTCTCGGTGGGATTCAGTGTTTGAAATACATTTCGATGGACATGGACTCGTGGGGGATGAGTTTGTCTGCGTTTCGTCGGTTGATTTGATCTTCTCCCTGGAGTCACGAGACCATTATCACGTGAACGGCCTATACTGCCCCAATTCTCCAGCATCCATTTAAGAACGAAGGGCCTGAGATGGTAGCACATCATCCTGTGATGCTTTTATTGAGAAATTGACATTATTATTAGTAGTAATGGTCGTTTGCCATGGAATTTGTAGGCTCATCGGAGTTCATGGTCTGGAGAGATGTTGCGTCTTTGTGGATATTCTTAGGAGCTTCGTAAATATATATCTGCTCCAACTGAATGATCACGCTGCATACACAGAGTTCAATTCCTGTATATGATAGCCTTCTAACAACAGGACCTCACACAGGTTTATTAAGTTATATTCGCCCAGAAGTGTCCATATCCGATGGAAAATGGAACATGTTGATAAATCCAAAGTCGCGCGAAGCTCGGTCTACAACGCGTCCCGAAATGCCTCGGCAACCCCGCATAAACACCACATACATAAAGAGCCATCGTCATCCCCCTTACATCAATCACTGCATTTTCATCGATTGCAGACCAAAAGAAATCTAATTAATCAGAGCGAAAATGTCCGGACCCGGAGCAGGCTACGAATTCCCCGCCCAGGAAGTCTCCTGGCTCAAGCGGGATGTGTTGCTCTTTGCCAACAGCGTCGGGGCGACCGCTGATGAACTGCACTTTCTCTACGTATGAAGTCTCCTACTGTCATGACTCCAAGATTACTATTAACAATTTGATATAGGAGCTCCATCCCAATTTTGCCGTCTTTCCGACTTATCCCATTATCCTGTGTAAGTGCACGCCGACAGAGGGAGACCACTGCGTGATCAATCTGGCTGACGTGTCTCGCAACATAGCATTCAAGCTCACAGACTCCGAGGTGACCGACTTCTATGCTCGTCAAAAAGCCAATGCGGTTCCTGGTGTCCCCAAATTCGATCCCAAACGGTCGGTCGATGGCCAGCGGAAATTGACCGTCCTCAAGCCCCTGCCACCGACCAGTGCTGGAAAGCAGTTTGAATTGCGCAACAAGGTCATCGGTGTCTACGACAAGGGCAAGGCCGGTTCAGTGATGGAGACAGAACAAACCCTCGTGGACAAATCAACGGGGGAGATCTACACCAAGATAGTGAGCAGTGGGTTCTTTGTCGGCCAGGGTAACTGGGGAGGTCCTAAGGGTCGGTTACTTGCCTCCTTTCTCCCTCTCGAATTGCAGACCTTAACTTGTGTTTCTAGGCCCCAGCACTCCCAACTATCCTCCCCCAGAAGGCCGTAAACCCGATGCCACACATGACGTGCAAACCACACCCGAAACTCCCCTTCTGTATCGGTAAGTCGTTGCGACGCGGGCGCTGGTCGATAAGAACTTTGACTGATCAGTGCTCCGTAAAGACTGAACGGCGACTATAACCCTCTTCATGCTACACCCGAGCCAGGTCAGCAGATGGGCTTCGGAGGCACCATCATCCACGGTCTCTTCAGCTGGAACAGTGCTGCTCACGCCATTCTCGAGGCGTTTGGTGGCAGCAATCCCAACAACTTTCGCGAATTCCAGACACGGTTTGCATCTCCGGTGCGGCCAGGTGACCGTCTTACCACGGAAATGTGGAGGGTCGGCGATGCCACGGATGGGTTCGAAGAGATCCGATTTGTGACCAAGAATGACAAGGGCAAGGTTGTCCTCAGCAACGGTCGGGCTTTGATTAAAATAGTCAAGTCAGGATCGAAATTGTAAGACTCTAGAATTAAGAGCACACCAAAGTACAATGTCTACCGGAGATGCTCGTGCACAACTCGACTGATTAAGATTATGGCTGAAGGTAGTGTAACATACAGCGGTCCTCTACAGCAGCGCTCCGAAAAGAACAGGGCATTGTATATACATTAATGAGAGAAGATCTACGCAGCATCGGCAATAATGACGTCGGCCGCCTTCTCGCTGATCATATAAGTGGGAAGCGCAATGTACCATCCCGGGATCTTGGGGAACACCGAAGCATCCACGACGCGCAGGCCATCCACACCACGCACTCGAAAGTCCGAGTCAAGGACAACGTTTGGATCCTCGTCGGCTCCAATCGCGGCGGTGCAGCAGGCATGATGGCCCCATGCCTCCCGCTTGATAAAGTCCTTCAGGTCCGTCTCGGTGGTCACGTTGGGCCCGGGCCATACTTCTTCAAATTTGCCGTCCAAAGGCACCAGATCATTAAAGATCTTGCGGGAGAACTGCATGGACTCATAGACGGCCTGAAGGTCCTTCTCGTCTGCCCCGTTCTCCGTCACACCACTATCGAAGGAGTTGAAGTTGATGATCGGGGTATCTCTAGGGTCCGCCGAGCGCAGTTCGATCGTGCCGGCATTGTTCCGGCTCTGGGCCTTCAGGGTAATCCAGGTCCAGTGTTGCGCATCCTTCAGGCCCTCGTACGAGTAGTTGGGATAGTAGCCTGGAAAGTTGGCTGGAGCTCCTGAAATGAGCACATCGGGCTTTCCTTCGGCCGTGGATGTCTTACGGACGATAGCAATGGCGATGCCGTTGGTTGTATAGGTACCCTTGCTGAGGGCGTTGTTCTGCCACTGGTCCAGGCAGGGATCAGGCATGCTGTACATGAATGTGCACTTGCTTGTGAGGACAAAGTCCGTGGGGGCCTTGCCCACAACGCCGGTCTCATATCGGTCCTGCAGGTTCTTGCCCACGCCAGGCAAGTCCACCAGGGTGCTGATGTTCCACTTGCTCAACTCTTCCTTCGGCCCAATACCACTAAGCTTGAGCAGCTGGGGTGTGTTGAAGGCGCCTGCCGAAAGGATCACCTCCTTGGCAGCATTGACACTGCCCGGAGTTCCTGCGGATGCGTTGCTTGCACGGGGGTCGGCGCGGTACAGGCTCTGTCCCCGGAGATAATCGACACCGATGGCTCTGGGTCTGCCACCGGTCGTATCAAAACGAACATTTGTTACCAACGTATTCAACTGGATGTCCAGGTGATATTTGCGAGATCCGTCCTTGTTGACACTGTTGACTGTCTGCATGAGAAAGTCTCGAGGACCGGTGCGTTTGTACTCGGGCACATCTACCGCGATGGGGACCTGAAAGAGTCCAGTCTCCTGGTCGCGGGTGGGCAGCGGGTTGTTGATGTCGCGCAGCAAGATTTCCCCCAGCCCAGTGACGCTAGTGATTAACATGCCCAGCAGTGACTTTCCCGCTGCGGTAGCTGCCGCAAGGACCAAGGACAACAGCTTCTGATCCTCCAGCACTAGCGTCAACTGGGTCAGACTGGTGGTCAGCCAGCCGTCAAAGCCATGACCTACCAGGCTGCTGGGAAGGTATCGGTTGCGCTCGAGACGTTCGAAGTAGCCGCGCATCTTATCTGGGGCCCAGGAGTCATTGCCAGTAAGCGTGGCGAGATCTTGCCAGTCGCTCTCATACGGGTAGATGGTGCTGCAGAAGTCAGCATACGCCAGGACATCTAATGCAATTAAGGAAACTCACATCATGGCGTTGTGCGCCGAGCAACCACCCAGTGTGCCTGCACGGGGATACAATATGCCCAGGGGCTCCGAGTTCGCTGGTGGGTTCTGGCCAACATACAACTCCCCGGCAGGAGTCCGGTAGGTCATCTTAGAGTCTTTCTTCTGACGCTCGAGATCCGAGTAGTGATTCACAAAATAGTCCCATCTCATCGGTTCATACTCGGTTGCTTGCAGCTGAAGAGCGGGAACTTGTTGCCGGAGTGCATCTCCTTGATCATCTCCGGCATCGAGCAAGAGCACCTTGTACCCGGCAATGGCCAGCCGGGCCGCAAGGGGACCTCCTCCTGGTCCAGAGCCGATCACGATATAGTCATACTGAGCGGTCTCATTGGTCGCTAGTGGTGCACTGTACGTTGACCGAGCCTGCGGTTGGTGATACGCGTGGTGCCTTGCATTATAACCACTGAAAGCATAGGATGAGGGTGTCAGATTTCATTTGCTGGACGATCCGCAAGAGGTATAGAATCAGGCTGCTCACCTGACCAAAGTCCCAAAGAAGAGTGAAAATATCGAGAAACCCTTATTGATGTGCATGTTGGGCCAATGACTTTGTGCTCAAGGGATTTGCGATGCTGCCGGGCAAAGGGACCCTAACAGGAAGCAAAGCTCTGATTCAAGAGAAGTTTATATCTACGGAGTATCAGCACCAGAATCTCCTGAAATTACAGCTGTCGCAACGTTTGCGATCATACAGCCTACGTGCGTATTGATCGACATTCGCAAACGGACGGTCGATGGGCCGCTGTTTTCTCGGTTTAGCGATGGCCTGAGGTTTTAGGCATGGCGCACATAGGCGTACCTGACTAGGAGCAATGACTAGCGGACTGGCTCGAGCTTGAGGAATATTGAATCCTTCTACGACGGTATGTACCCCAAAGGACACTAGCCCCAGTTTGCATGATCAAAATACGTCCGCACGGGATGTTTTGCGAGGACCCAATCAAGTTGTCAAAACACGCCAGGATGCGCTTAGTGTATCGTTAGCGGAGAGTCATACACCGGATCAACTCCTCTCAATCCATGTTCGCATTGCTATTTTCCTATCCTACTGCTATTGTTGTATACTATGTTCAAGTGTGGGTCATTGCCCAGTCCATGACATTCCCGTCAAACATATCCTTGGAGTGATCATTACCCAATATGGATACTACGCAGTGTCGGATTCTTTCCCCGGAGGGCCTAGCCTTGGACGATCTTTTATTTCTCCGACGTTCCCATTCCACCAATGGAGGCCGTAGCTCGTGTAGCCAAGAAGGCACTGTTGTGGAGCACTGCATAAAGGTGGCGCTCAGCAAAGTTGGCGCCGTTTTGACGGACAGTTTTAGAGTTGATGGGTTGTCAGTGCCTAACCTAAAGGACAATAAACGGCTCGTTTTGGGGTACAAGTTTTTTCCGAGAGACTATCAGCAGACCCACGTTCTCTTGACATCAGACATGCCGTCGCGCACCTTACTGAATGGGGGAAATGCAAAAGTTGAGTCGTGTCGGACTGGAACTAGCGTATCTGCCTCGAAGCCATGCTTAAGTGCCATTAAGCTGCTTTCAGTTGGCGAGTTGAGACATTCAGGGTGGCTGAGACCTTGCTGCTGTTTGAGCTTCATTGGAAACGCCACAACGTAGATTATCGACGAGAAGCCAGTGGATACTACCGTTCGGTTTCGATTAATCTCCAACGCTGATTATTATGAACATATTGGTATTCTGTAGGTAGAACACGGCCGAGGCTGACATCAAAGGAGCGATGCGGAACCAAAACCCTTAGAATATAAGAACGATATATCTTGACAAAGGCAATGAATGAATGTAAACAAGGCAATCATTTGCAATGCAAAGAGCGGGAGTCCCATACAGACGCCTTCGATATCATGCTGGACGACCGGCGTCTTTTGGGGCATGTTCCAAGTCCACCAAGTCCACCAACGGCACAAACTTTCCTTCTGACCAAGCATTGAGGCTCGGACGACTCAGAATATTTGCCTCCCCTGCAGAAGCAGCTCTTCCTGATCGCGTCGCGCTCTGCTTGGAAGCTGCGCGAGTGGTGTCTCCAAACATGGTCGGACATAGACGACGCATCAAGGCACGCAGGGCCGGCAGACAGGCGCAAATGATGCCCACATGGACCTCGATCGTACTCCAGTATCCGACTTCGACATAGTCCCCTGTGGCACAGAACAATCGTCAGACAGACTCAGTGCAATGCACATGCTAGGATTGGACTTACAGGTAACATTATCGGTCGCGGCAAAATGGACGAGTGAGTTGAGTCGGACGATACTGACCAAAGTGACACTGTACTGCATCAGCTGCGAGAAAATATCATATGCAAGCAGAAGACTTACAAGAGTCCCAAGCTGAACATGAACATGACAAAAAGCTTCTTTCGTAGCGAGAGATTCAGCTGATACAGCTCGCGCAATGGCAGGGCCATAACAGTCAGATCCAGAACCATGTTGATCGCGGCTGCAGACCACCCTTGGGCATTGATGTTGTTGCACGTGTAGTGGCCTTCCCCGTCCCAGCGCAGCCAGGCGCCCTTGATGGGACTGCATTGGAAGACCGAGATCAAGACAAAAGCTATCAGGTAGCCCGCATTCAGCCCGATTACGACATATGTCATGATCCGAAAGGGACGTGCAGGAAACACACGCAGGTAGAATAGGCAGATGGAGATCTTGGTCAGTGGGATGATACTGAGATAAACTAACTCGTCGTAGAAGTAGATCTTGGGATCCTGGTCAAAACTGCCCATGACACTGCCCTCTGAGGAAACTCACATAGAGGATATGCGTGATATTGTCTGGCGGCACCGTCCACATGTCTTTTCCCAGACCCAAATCGGCCACTGCGACGAGGGTCAGTATAGCACAACATTGTTGAAGAGGCGAAATAAGGGTTACACACAGACAGGCGACAAGGCAGAAAGAGGAATGACCAGTGCCTGAGCGAATTAGCGCGCCTCAACTGCGCAAAGCCAAAGTTTCTCACCATCGTTACGATCATTGCTAAATCATCCATTCCAAATTGACCACCACAGCATGGCAGCCTCGCGATCATGCGCAAAGCAAAGGCAACGAGTGCCAAAACGCCTCCAGCAACCCCGGCAATGGAGACCACACGGGTCCGGTCCCGAATCGGCAGTCCACAAGCTGATGAAGTCACATTCTTCGTAGCTGATCCGGTCAGTTATTCAGACGATTTGAGCCTACTGACATGGACTTACCTAAAGACTCGCGAATGGTACAATTTGCTTGCACACATGTTTCGAGTGTGCTGGCGAAGACCGGATCCGTACACATACACGTTTGGTTTGTGATGGTGCAGTGTGAATGGGGCAGTGTCGACACAATGCATGCCACCTAGATATATCAGTATGCTCCCTCCAGCACCGATGACATATCGGTGTCGACCTACTGCGCATGAGGGCAAAGCTGCCGCCAGCTCCTCCAAGTTGGCAGTGACATAGCCAGCCCATGAAAGAAGGACAAGGAGAATTCCGAGCACCTTCATTCTGCTGAATGCGTATGTTTGGGCTAAACACCTGGAGGTGAATCGAACAACATGCGAGTCTTCCAACTACAACGAGATGATAGAAAAAAACCCAAAAAATAAAGAGAATTCCCCTTGATGCATTCCTGCTGTGATTCCTACTGGCAAGCGTGGCGAGCGTCAATCGGTGACAGCCCGACAACCACAAAGCGAAAGGTATGGATCACCCCGCGATCTCTTTTCCCCCCTGCTCCTATGCAGCACACTAGTTCGGCATATCGCCGTGGCTTTGTCATGGCGGAAGTCCTAACAAATCGTCCAACATCCTGGTGACCAGGAGGATTTGCCAAAGCTCTGGAGGCTGTGCTGATTGGGCGTCTCACCTGCTGATCCGGAGTTCTGGATCCCCCTAAATGCCGCAGATCCCTTGGCCATGCAAATAGGGAGACACCTTAACGGCTTCTAGGTCGAGGATACACAATGCTGTGGAACCGTACTGTTACACGACATGAACTTTAAACAAAGCACAAACCAGCTTTTCCGTGTTATCAAAGGGTAAGCATTGAACGGGCACGGCCATTGTATCTTGCCCCTTTCGGCTTCCACTTTCCAGATGTCTGAATTGCCAGGACTCCAACTCGAGGACAAGCAATAATGGATCGTCTAATGGAGTCGAGTCAGGGTAGATTGCTTGTCGCTTATGTACTATTACGATCGAGACCATGCAAGGCAATTACCCCCGAGGGGTGTTACTGCAAAGACTTCACCGTTAGCTTCTTCGAGCTCATCTGAGAAATAAGCTGTTTCACTGAGGCCCTGCCCAGCACGTGAGGCCCAACCCATTTAGGTATTTTGATGTTTGTCTTAATCGGAAAATGAGGGAGATGCGAATGTCAGGCTAGATGAACTCTATTGCTAGCAAGCTAGACGCACACTCCACATCATGCACACTTTCGCGAGCAAATGGTCATGGCATGCATACGGCCTGAATCCAGAGCAAATTTTAACTCTGTACTAAAGCCCTACCACGTACGACGTATCTTTGTCAGTGTGGTACTTTTGGGCCCCAGCTTCGATAGCACACCGTTCTGGATACGACCAAGCCGTCCACTACCAGAACTGATTTCTTCTCCGTGCTGTCATTTCTTGCCAAAAGTCATGATTGGGTCGTCTAACTGTTGCTAGATGCCACGATGGAGCCCGAAAGGATGCAGCCAAGACTAGGCGCGAGCCTGGCTCGTATTCGGTTCGGACTTACTTCGGAAATTCAGGATACGCCTTTGTGCAAGGTATCTATATGCTGATGTTTGGCAGGAACCTAAGCCAAGAGGTTCGGTTTCTTGAACGGGTCTGATCGACGTTGGCCGGTTGTTGTCGTGGGATATCTGAGACACCTGGCGGTTGGCCTACCGCCGCTTTAGGTAACGGCAAATGAGACTAAAGACGAATCGTGCCGTTTCTTGGGACCAGATTGGAAAGGCGGGACTCGAGTGTAAATTAGGCCCAAGGGAGATGTTTCCGGGGTTGGTTTCTTGTCTGTTGTTGTTCTAGTCTTCGTTCGGTTACCGTGATGAAATTGGCATGAGACTAGACTGGCTTACCCACCCCACCAATCCACACCCACCCCACCCAATCCACGCTTTGGGTTGGATAAGGGTTGGCCCTAACCCACCCCATGTGGATATGGGTTGAACCTGCCTTATCCACGTGGATATGGGTTAAACCATTGGGTGCATATGACCTAGGGCTACTAAGAGCTGATAAGCTTATCTAACTAGATCTAGGCCTAGATAGGGGGATATTTTTATATATATAGATAGAGAATAGTCATATCTATATATATAAAAAATAAATATTAGGTCTACTAAGAAAGGCTAGAGTTATAGTAATTTTTAGATTTTAGAGGATAGTAGTTAGGATAGTGATGGTAAGATATATATATCTCCACACCATCTTTCAACCTAAGCTTAGGGGGGACCCCTACTCCCCTATATAAGCCTATTTTAGCTTATATAATAGGTAATATATAATATTTATACTAATCTATTCTTATATTACTTATTAAATATATAGATATCCTAGTGGTGTGGCTAGAATACTAAAAAAATAGGGGGTAATCTAAATACTAGAGGTCACCTGACTAGATAGTATGGATATCCATGGGTATCCACAGTTGAACCCCATGGATATAGGGGGTGGGTGAGATACCTGGTGGTTTACCCAAAATCCACATGGGTGGATCAGACATGCTGTGGATCAACCCATATCCACCCCACAGCCAGTCTACATGAGACCCGCATGTCATTTTAGACTATGAACTTATTCTGTTGGCATGTGGAACCCTGTACGTTTACAATGCCGACCCCTTGTCCCGGGTTTTTGCTAGTTACTAGTCTGTTTATGTCGTTTAGGACCGTCAGGCTCAGATTTGCCGTGTAGTAGCACTTCATATTCAGCTCGACTCAGGGCAAGGTGATTAGTAAAGGGTATAGCGATCGCCGTCACAAATACTGGATCCCCAGGGGCATACCCTCGGTTATGTCACTGAATCCGAACCGTTGTGCTTCTCATCGTCTATTTTTATAGAGGCGTTTCCGGTTTCCTTGACGAGAGCGGTATAGCCGTTGCTTTACTGTCACTTCCCTCGGAGAGCCTTTTCACTTGACGCTGCTAATACTCCTTGTGGCCGTCAGACCTATTTTCCAGGATGAAGGCGATTATTTCCTTGGCCATTCTGGGTCTGGGTTCCCTCGCCTCAGGATTTCCTGATCGTATGGGAGGACCTGCTCATAAGAACTGCCCATACGCCGCGCTGAAAGCGAAAGAAGATCCAGAGCTGGGAAGACGATTCCTGGTGGACCCGGTGTCCAAGCCCATTGATGGTATACTCCGTTCTCATCCCGTCGGACTGTGAGGGTGTAAAATGGAGTTAATAGAGGAACAGTGACCGGCGTACACACGTTCCAGCCCCCGAATTTCAAGAATGAGGACCAACGGGGTCCTTGTCCTGCGTTGAATGCACTGGCCAATCACGGTTATATCCCACGCAGCGGTGTTGTGTCGGTACGTTATTTTACCAGAAGCAAGAAGCTCTGGCCCTGACATGAAAGCAGTTTGTGGAGGTCATTGCGGCCGTCAACCAAGGTAAGGATATCTATAGGACATGTGTTGCTTGGGCCTAGGCCGTTGACCTGTGCAGTGTATGGAATGGGAGTGGACCTGACGACCATCCTCGCACTGATGGGACTCGTGTGGACGGGCAATCCACTTGCTCTCGTCCCCAGTTTCTCTATCGGAGGTCGCGATACTGGAGTGAACAATCTACTGGACAATCTGGGGGGTCTTCTAGGTGTGCTCCCACTTCCACCGCGAACGAGTATTCCACAACTAATTCATGCCAGGTGAACCCCAGGGCCTTATTGGTTCGCACAACTTTATCGAGGCCGATTCCTCCAACACGCGGGACGATCTGTATGTCACTGGGAACAACTACGCACTGAACATGGACAAGTTCATGGAATGGTACAACATGTCAACGGACGGGACTTTTAGCATGGATCTGATGGCTGAGCGGGCCAAAATCCGCTTTGAACAAAGCATTCAGACAAACCCGGAATTCTATTACGGGCCATTCACGGGTCTTATTGGTCGGAATGCTGGTCATTTTTTTTCTGGACGACTGTTCCGCAATCATTCGCGCGAGAACCCAGAGGGTGTATTGAGTAAGGATTAAGCGTCCAGAGGGTGGTGAATGCAAAACTGACAAGCAAGTAGCCAAGGAGATTGTTCGCAGCTTTTATGGCATTTATGGAGAGGAAGGAAACCTGACGTACCGCGAAGGATGGGAAAGGATCCCTGAGAATTGGTACAAGACACCGTTAGATTATGGCCTGGTGCAGCTGAATCTCGACTTAGTGGACTGGATACTCAAATATCCGGAACTTGCAAGGTCAGTCTCTTGCTCCTGCCAACCTCGTCGCTTCCAACGCCGCTCATCGTGAATCATCTAGTATCGGAGGAAATACCGGCACGGTCAACAGCTTCGCCGGGGTGAATTTCGCCGATGTGACGGGAGGCGTCCTGAACCTCACCACCCTCTTGGAGGGGAATAATCTGCTGTGCTTTGTCTTTGAAGTGCTCAAGTTTGCCAGTCCTAATGCTTTGGCTGGACTTTACAAGACCCTGGCAGTCCCGTTGGACATGATCAACAAGATCATTGCCGTCCCGCTCCTGAACATGTCGTGTCCGGCGTTCAAAGACCTGCAGATGGGCGGTAGGCCACTCTGGGATGCCATCAAGGATGATTTCCCCGGTGCCATGAAGAGTGGTGGTGCCTTATGATGGTGGGTATTTCTTCATCCGCCCTACTATCCTGTGCTGTTCAATGTATTCGTCAGCTCATTTGTGCATTAACCTGAAGCCAACGATTGATTCGATCATAATACAGAGCTGTTGTCAATATTCATACGCATTAAATTGGATCAAGAGTGAATCAGAAGAAAGCATAGCTGCACATGTTGATCCGGCAAGAGCCCTAATATAGTCTCATGCTGCAGTCCATCCCGACCTCTTGCGATTGGCGGAAATATCATGGATTCGTCATGATCTCCGCTATGGAGATGCCACAAGCCTCGTTGAGTAGATGGTGTGTTTCTTATAGACCAGCCACGGAGAAAGCCTTGGCCACTGATCGTTACTGGATTCGTCACGTTCCTCGGCTTCAGATCTGCTAGGAATAAACACCAACGAACCGGGTGCGGGCATGGCGGAGAATTAATATCCGGCCAGGAGGCTTATGAATATACTTTCCCCTGTGTTATACCTTATTGACAAAGCTTATGACTACAAAAGGCCGAGATTCCTCGTCCTTGTCCGTCGCGTGGCTATTGTGCAGCTCATCGCTCGGACTCGCGCAACATGGCCTTTATTCTCACTCTCGCCACTCTCGGAGGCTTCACACAGGCAGCCGTACTTCCACGAGCGAGCATCGACAGTGATGCGGTGGTAGGATTCCCCCAGACGGTTCCCAGCGGTACTACCGGGGAGGTCTATCTTGCCTATCAGCCGTACCTCAAGGTGGTGAACGGTTGCGTTCCCTTCCCAGCGGTCGATGCAGAGGGCAACACCAAGTAGGCTCTCCTATGGTACGACTCAATGTTTTGTTGAAGCTAATATCAACAGCGCTGGCCTGGCCCCGACAGGATCATCCAACGGCGACTGCGCCAGCAGCACCGGCCAGATCTACGTGCGCGGGGCTACGTATGGCGATTACTACGCCCTCATGTACTCGTGGTATTTCCCCAAGGACGAGCCCTCGACTGGGCTCGGACATCGCCATGACTGGGAGGGAGTCATTGTGTGTCTCTCATCGTCCACGTCCACCTCGGCTGACAATATTGTCGCCGTGTGTCCGTCCGCCCATGGTGGCTGGGACTGCTCGACAGACGGATTCACCCTCAGCGGCACCAAGCCTCTCATCGACTACTACAGCGTCTGGCCGGTCGATCACCAGTGTGGCCTCACCTCGACTGTGGGAGGCACACAGCCGTTGATCGCGTGGGAGAGTCTGCCAACCGTGGCCCAGACGGCACTGGAGGACACAGACTTTGGTGATGCCAATGTGCCTTTCAAGAATGCTAACTTTGACTCCAACCTGGCCAAGGCGACCTTTTGAGGGGAAATGGCCGGGGATTCCGCCTCTGTTTTGCCGCCTAATGTCTGCATACAAGTACGCCGTTGATTTCCCACCTTTACTAAGCGGAAGTTGCAAGCACCGGTAATGTTTGCGTCCATATTATCCTCAAATCAGATAGAAGCACACCTTCATCATCGCGCATTCTTCATGTAGGGGTTTCTGGCTTTAATCCCTGTGTACCACAACTTCTCGGACTTTGTAGTAGCCAAAAGCCGAGTGGGATCATGCGACACACGATGAGATGCGTCAGATCGCTCCCTGCTTGGTCATGTTTCTGCTCCTCACCGGGGTGATCGACACTTCATCAGTCCAATAATATGCCACCGTTGAAGGCAAGCCCTATTAATTACTCCATCGGAGATAGAAGCCCCCACTGCTCGGGCGCGGAGGATCATCAGCTTCGTCCGAACCCCGAGAGCAAAGAGCAACAGTCTTCTGGGCCGGGCATGAAGAGTGAAGAAGAGACGACCGACCTATAAATACCCGTGAGCTCGATCACGCCATCAACCAGCTCGATGTAGCCATCATCTTGATCTCTCATTGATCCTTTTCCACGACTGCTATACTGCCAATCGTCAATTTACCCATCATGGCTGACGTCAACAAACCGCCGTCTCAGTCCCGCCTGCTCCTCATCAGTGTCCCTCGCACGGCATCGAATCTCATGCTCAAAATCCTCAACATCCCTGGTCAGAAGTTGGTCACCAACGAGAAAGGAGGCTATTTCTTTTTCAACGCCTTTATCAAGGTCGAATTTAATGACCGCCAAGCTCTACCCGTAGAAGAGCGGAGCGAAGCCCAGAAGCAGGAGATCCGCGATGCCTTCCAGGAAGCTGTCGTTAGTCTCGAGGACTGTGCTCAGCGAGCAGAGCAAGAGGGGAAGATTGCATTCGCCAAAGAGCACGCCTTCTGGCTCACTAATCCAGCCGTGCTGGGGAACGGGGCCGAGCATGCCGCCAGCTTCCGACCGCGCATTCCCGGCAAGTACGGTCCTTCGCAAACCTTCTCCCCTTTCAATCATACTGTGCTGCCCGACGAATACCTGCGGACCTGGAGATTGACCTTCATCATTCGTCACCCAGCCTTGGCTTTCCCATCTCTGTGCCGCGCCATGCAAAAGTTCCGGCAAAGCGGCGTTTCGCAGAGGGAGGACATTGTCGGGTCAATGGAAACCAAACTGACGTTGAAATGGACGCGAATGCTCTACGACTGGTGCCTGGAGCAGCCGGATCTCCCCGGAAAGCCCCTGGTAGTAGATGCGCAGGATGTCATCCACGATCCGCAGGTGATGGTCCGGTACTGCGAAGAGACCGGCCTTGACCCAAGTGCGTTGCAGTTTGAATGGGAGAGCAAACAAGAAGTCCTGGAGCAAACATTGGGATCTGAGTCCCAAAGTCAGAAAAAGCCCGACGTGGATTTTGACAAGGCTGAGGCGGTCATGCTCTCGACCCTGTTGAGGTCCACGGGGATCATCAAGGACAAGACGCCGACCGTGGTAGATATAACAGCCGAGGTCAAACAGTGGAAAGAGGAATTTGGAGAGGAGCTGGCCTCTATGCTAGAGACGACGGTGAGCGATGGCATGCCCGACTATGAATATCTCCGAAGTCGACGCATTACTGTCTGATCGAGGGCTCGGCAAGAGCTGGTTGGATTGTTTGCTGTGCCTACCGTGAAGCTTGTATCAGGAGAAACTGGCATTCTTCTAGAATCTGTGCATATGTAACCAAGTAATTTTGACTTGTTGCAATACCCCCAATGAGCCTATATTGAACATCGACTTAAAAGAGATACTTCTAACCACTTTGAGCGCGGAGATGATGCCGGGTAAATGAAACACCCCGCAGAGACACAGTACGGACTAGACGAGTCGAAAACAGCTGGCCTAAGCTGATCGATATGAGAGTTCGACGACACGAGGATATGAGGATTTGCATTCGTACATGCTTGGTTGGCCCAATAGCGTAAGCAGAATCATGAGACCACTGCAGCGGATTGTCTTCATTCTCAGTAGTTTGTTCCTTATATGTCTGGTTCTAAGGCTTCGAATCGGGGGAAATACCCCTGGCAGCCCCGCGCCTCAATCTTTTCCTCGATTGAATGAGTCAGAGCGGCATTCATTCAGCAATCGGTCATTGTCTCACGCCCAATGTGCTGCTGCTTTTCCTGGTCTATTCAATGAAATCGAGGATGCTGTTTCTCGCGGACCTTTCACTCTCACATGGTCACGATTAGGAGAGCCGTTGCAGGGAAGCATCAAGGACAATCAGGTAGGCTTGCATGTCACACGCAGTTGGATTTTACTGACCGCAGGGCAACAGCTGTACATCTTAAACTGGCAGAAGAAGGCATTTCTCTCAGAGCAGATGCTCAATGTAACTCCTCGTCCTGGCCAATTGAATAAACATGCACATAACGCTTTCCCAGGAACGGACAGCAGCTCTGAACCAGCTCTATCGCGCAATCGTCACTTCTCCAGAGCCGCTGCCAGACACTCTTTTCGCCTTGAATATCCAGGATCGGCCGATGGCACAATCATGGTCATATGCGCGTCCAGCCGATCCCACAGCCACCAAGGCGGGGGACTTTCTCATGCCGCACTTTGCCTTTTGGGCATGGCCGCTTAAGTATATCGGATCTGTGGACCGGGCACTGACTGCGATCACCGAGATCGAAGCGAATCGGACATTCCACGCTAAGATTCCACAAGCTGTCTGGCGCGGCACACCTTGGTTCAACAACGTGCAAAACCATGATCTCCGCAAGCGACTAATTCAGGTTACCACGGGCAAACCGTGGGCGGACGTACAAGCCTTGAGATGGGAAACCAACGGCCAGACGGCCAGTAACGTGAGGACTTTTGTCGGTACAAGTACATCATTTACACAGAGGGGGTAACCTACTCTGGACGGCTGCCCTTCCATCAGGCTTGCCGCTCCATCATTCTCACGCCGCCCATGGCATGGATGCTGCACACCACACATCTCGTACGACCAGTTTTTTCGAGCACATTATTGCAGACAGAGCCCAAGCTGGGCCCTCCCCATCAGTCGGATCGCATCAAGCGATCCTGGCCAACTGATATTGATGCCAGGGATGCCAACCTGGTGATGGTCTCACCGGACTGGTCCGACCTCGAAACTACCATCGCATGGTTGGAGAATCATCCAACAATAGCGCAAGGCATCGCTGATCGACAGCGTGAGCTGTTCTACGACGGAGGATATCTGAGTCCTGCCGCTGAGACGTGCTACTGGAGAGCATTGATCAGGGGCTGGAGCAAGGTTGCAGAGCCCGAGGGCAGGGAGTGGACTGAACACAAGGGTGTCAGATGGGAGCTCTTTAGTCTGGGAGAATTCCAATAGAAGGGGCTGCGAGAGGCATTCTGGACGCCACGAAATGACCGTATCCAGGCCTGACCTGTCAACGTCGTCGGTGCGAGAAAGGACAGATAGTCCAGGCTCACGTTAATGATGTGGCAAATCTCGCCTTCATTGTCGATAAGCCGACTGCACTTAGCAAGAATATTTTCATCAGTGGTGGAATCTTATATGTTATTGACAAGTATATGTCTGGAACAATTGGTGACTTGAGGGCTTGGGGTTATTGCTATTGCTGTGATACGGTACCTGACCAGATACGACTACGGCTCGAGAGGTTGGTGTATCATATGAAATAAAGTCTCTATCAGCAAGAATGGGCTCTGATAAGGCAGAACAGCCCGACGATTTATTACCAGTAAGAACCATTCCCCGCGACAGAATACTAATGATAAGTGCCGTGGGACTTTGCAAGCACAAACCACTCCCAGAAACTCTGCTCCAGGCCTCGCGACAAGGTTTAAATGACATAATCTTCTTTCTTCACTTTGCCGGCTCTATTTTCACGTACCAAGCGTTCCAACTGGGGAGATCCAGGGAGAATTGTGGGAACGATATGGTCCTGGAGAAGGCGCGCCTGGTCTGGCGTGAGTACTTGGTACCGAATCACTAGGTCATCTAGTTCCTGAAGAATGATACCCAAGATGCGCTTGTCGCCCAGTAGCAAGATTCCTCGCATGTCGTTCATGCTGTGTATAGCCAAGTGTTGAAGCATTTCAGCTGACAGCGAGCCGAACTCATCCTGGTAGAGTCAAAGTCCAACTTGGTAAATTTCCTCGAGCTCCTCGAAACCTCCATGAGACGAAGATCCGCGACAGCAACAATCCTGGGTCGAATACCGGTACATCGTTCAATCAAGGGGCACAATGCTCCCATGTGAGAAGGGTTATCCCTGCCAAATACAGGATGAATTGGGCGGCTTGGATCGAACAATTGACAAAACGTTTCAAGCAATGCGTCAGATTCAATTGGCGGCCGTAGGACGGTCACACCCGTCGTTATCCTTGAGACGGCCCGGTACACCTGGAAAGGCTGGCTAATACTCATGGAAAAGAAGCGAGCGTTGATCTCGCAGATGTCAAAGAACAGATCCCCGGTTGCATTCCTGGATAGGGGTATGTCCGGTCTCCAGTGGCCCCCAGGGGCGTGAAAATTTTGAATTGGCCCTTTTGAGTTCTCAGGTACACCCACTACGTGGCTTCAAGATCAGAAAGAACAATACAGTTGAATTGTGAGGATTATATAATATACCTGTAGCAGGGCCTCCTCATGAGGAAAAAGTGGCATACGCCGACTTAGAGCATCATCACTGTCGCTCGTCGGGTCAGCAAGCCAGAAGAGGTAGTTGATTACCTGGAGTGGCTCATCAACACGGACGGGGCCGCCTTACTAGAGGTTATTACAGACAAGAAAGTGTCCATTCTTCCAATGGTTCCAGCAGGCTGTGCGCTACATGAGTTCATTACATGGAGTGCGGAAACGGGACAAGGAAAGAAGAAACCTGGTGCTTGAAAGAACAGGTGGCCTTTATGGATAGTTATTTTCAGTTGACACAGTAAATTAAGGATCATCAACAGCTTAGTCTGTCCATGAGTAAAAAGCAAGTCAATTCACTTGGCTGGTAACGAAAAGCAGCTAGAGAGACTTGAGGTAAACTTAGCCAAAGCTTCATTTCTGTGGCCGGCTGCTCACTCCTTAGTTACATAAGCATTCTGCAAGAGGATCTCAGGAATAGATGAAATGAAATGAAGTATATACATCTAAAGGTCAAAGCGGGAAAGTGGGTTGTTCTGCGCATTCTCCTTCACAGCAGACACCGCAGTGTTAACCACATGGTTCGCAGCCTCCTCGATGACCTTCTTGGCCCGAGGAGAGGGCGGGAGACTCTTTGTAGACTGTGCAATGTCCTCGACTCGCTCCTCCATTCCACCTTCTATTTCTTTGCGCTTTTCAGATGCGATGGTGACGATGTTGGCAGATGCATTCTGCGCCCAGCTGGAGAGCTGGGCCACCTTGTTTGCAATTTCGCCTTTGGTCGACTCCACGCTCAGACCGTCAATCATGTTCAGTCCGGGTATGATATTCTCCTCGGAAAGCTCTTTCCACATCGTGGCAATGTCTCCAAAGGTTTCAAAGTAAGCCCGCAAGATGACAGCGTACTTGTAGATCATCTGCATAACCATCGGTCAATGGAACTTGCCGCCAAGGTGGCTGATTGGTCTTTTGGACTCACCGATTTTTGCAGGGTACTGAGATTGAAGTCCCCGAGCTGAGCGTCGCCGGCTCCACTGCTGATCGTCTGGATAAAGTCGTTCACAGTGTGTTCCACAACAATATCAATGGTCGAGCTGATGGCGTTGAAAAACCGACAGAGCTGCATGATATTGTCCTTGACGACCATTACAAGTGAGATGCACTGACGAAGAACACTCTTGATTTCGGTCTGACATACCACAATGTCAGTTACCAACCGTATCGACGGATAGTACTTGACTACGCAAGGATGCGCTTACAAGTGATGCCTCTAACGTCGTCTGGCGCTGGAGGTCGGCTTGGATTGCTGTGAGTTTGTTCTCCTGTTCAACCAGCGTTGACGAGGCCTCCTGATAGATCTTTTGCGTAGAGAGGAAAGTCTGCTGGGTCGTGTGCAGTCGATCCTTAGCCGCATCCAGGACAGCCTGCGCCTGAGCGGATTTGGCATTAGTCTTTGCAATCTGGACGGCAGGGTCCTCGGTGGCGGCCATTAGAGGAGCCTAACAGGGCTTGTCAGAACAGCCGTGCTGACGTAGCATGTATCGGTCAAGGACTAGAAACTTACTCCACCAGAGCTTGCCCCAGGAAGGGTTTTGGCAGTAGCGGCCAGGCGAAGCGCCTCCAGATACTTCGGATGGAACTTCAGTTGCCAGCCTTTAACCAGCTCTGAGTCAGCCTTGGGCGGATTTTTGCTGATGTCCTTCAGCTTGGCGGCTTGTTGGGTGAGTTCGTCGGCAACCTGACCGTGACTGTTAGCCATCGGTTACGAGGGACGAGCATAGTTTCAGTCTCGGGACAGCTTTACCTCAGTAGCAGTCTGGAGAACTCCCAGGAATTTCTGACTGGGAGGATTCTCAGTGACTGACTGCTCGAACCGATCCAGGGTGTCTTTCAGCATTTGGTAGGTAAATGATGCAGTCTTGTCCGGCTTATCTGGCGAGTCAACAGCACTGTCCCAATTAACACCACCGTCTTTCCCCGAGGTCAACAGGGCATTCAAGACTGTAAGATACACCATGGCGGGCTTGACCTGAACATATGCCGGGTCATCGCTGAATTGGGGAAGTGGGCTCTTGGGCTTGGGTGGTGCTGGGGGAGGTGTCGGAGGCGCCTCTCCGTCCTTTGGGGCATTTTTGCCTCCGTTCACGACATCCTTAAACATTTCCACACCTTTCTCGGCTCGAGCGACCGGGTTAAGGTTGGAGGTATATGCAGTAATTGCCTGGCCTAAGGCAGTTGTCAAGGTGTCGGCAAGCTCACCAACAATTTGCTGGCCCAGAATATCCCAGCTTCAAATGTATCAGTAAAGCCGAAGCATCAGTTTGTTACTGTGGTTGCGTCACTTACCCTGAAGGGAAATTATCGGAAGCTTTTTTGTAGGCTTCGGAAGCGACATCCAGCTGCTTTCCTAGCTTTTCCGATATCTTCTTTGCTTCTTCGACGGTGTTCTTCTGGGAGTCGAACTGCCTTTGGGCTACAGACATGTTGACTTCTGTGGCCAAGCGTCTTTCTTCATTGCTGGACTCCTCTTGGACACAGTTCGAATGAAGATCAGCCGCGTGCCACAGCCACTCTTCGAACTTCTTGTCCATCTGGAGAGCACGGGCGTGACATTCTTCAGCGGCCTTTTGCACACTGCGCAGCTGAGGCACGAGCATTTTTTGGACATCCGCTGGATCAGGGCTCCCAATGATTTGTATAATAGTGGCGATCTGCAGTTATGGCTCGTTAGCGCTATTGTTCTTTCGTGTGCACACCTTGCGTTATCAGCTATATTGAGCGGCAACCACGTACCTTGTCGTAGATGATATGGGAGATATTATTTATCCTTAACATGCCATCCTCAGCATCCAGGAAGGCAAAGCGCCCCCTGTTGCTGCAATCAACCAGGTTCGCCCTTAGGGAGGTGAACCTGTATTGTCCATCAGCACCAGCCATTCTACCAGCCCTTGAACTTGCCAGGAACTTACTGCAAGAACTTGAAGCCGCCCTTTGGGGGCGTGAACTCGATCGTGGTGGCTGTCTCCGATGAGGAGGCCACAAGAGCCGCACCGAGTGCATTGATTGAAATCGGAGCTGACTTGAGAAGGTCTTCCCAGTTCACCTGAAAGATAGCCGAGCTTTTGATTTCAGCGACAGCCTCTTTGGTGATACCAGGTCGATTGTCTCGCTCATGTTGGACTTGTAAAGCAGCCAGCAATTCGGTCTGGTTCGCCATTTTCACGTCGTTTGATTCTCCAGTACTGATAAAGACAATGGAAAGTAATAGAGGAATGAATGCTTCGATTGATGGAAGTAATGTTCATACTACAAAACAAGTGCTGGAGACAAGGGGTTCTTATATCTTTGCGTTCGAGCTGTCTCCGCCATCAAAAACCGTGTTTTCAGCTTCCGTTTTTCCAGTATACGCAAGTCGCAGGAGGCAACTCTTCATAGAAACGAATAAGAAAAATGCCGCATATTCTTGCTGTCGCTGCGATGACGCATCATTCAACGTTGCTCATTCAAGGTGGAACGGGTATGGGCAGTACTCCAGGCCCATGAAGCGAGAGCGCATCACCAGTGACATCAGAGTATGCATGCCTTGCACACGACAGGTCATATTCAGGAGCTCGAGACCAGCAACCTCGATGGACCCCGCTGTGGGACACTACTGCATTCATGTGCAGTTCATGGATGAGGTCCGGTTTGGTCCGCTGCTGCAATAATGGCTTCAGCTCCTACAGGGATTCGACTGCAGATCGTTGCTCCATCACCCTACAGCCAATATACGCCATTGAACTCTATCTGCGATCCAGAGACCGTGCAATTCAGCTCACGGATATCCGATGCAATACAGCGTCATATGAAGTTTACCTAAGGTTCTACTGCGGGTGATGTGGCTGGCTGAATATGGGTCATTTGCTGCCTTCTCCCTCAGGTGGCACTTGCTACGCTGCCAGAGTAGGGTTATACAGCATGCCACTTAGCCGAAGGCAACTACCCCGCCCACTTGTTCCTTGCTATCTTGTTGTATCTAACAGGTTAAGATGTATGGTCGGAGGGGCAAGCGATCGCTCGATCCTTACATAGCTGCGCTCTTACTCTTCTCCAGATCCAGGTTATATTTAAGCCTAAGGGTTTCCTGGCTTTCATTATAGCAATGTCGTCGAACCTCGACAAATTCTGAGAATCACGCGCACAAATTCACACTGCTAAAGATGGTTGATGTTGACGCCCTGAACTCGGAACTGGATCAGATCTCTGGCCAGTACCAGTCTCTGTTTCGTCGCTTGAATAGCGAATCCCAACGGGATGTGCAAAACGTTGCTTTGTCTCTGAGTCTTGCACTGTCCCAGCTATACCAGCTGGCAATTTTCGTAAGAGGAGACTACAACCAGAGAGCATTCGATGTGTTGACCGAAAAAGATTCACTGGTGGCTAAAGTCAAGGAGGCGTTTGAGCGGTTGGCTCACGCTTCAACGACAGCCCTGGAGCACGTGTCAAGGCTTCATGCAGAGGTATGCCTACGCCAAACGTGCCATTTAACCAGATTCACTGACAAAACGGACCTAGAATGTCGACCTCTTGTCCTCAAAGATGCATGTATTTGAACAGAACGTCAAAGCAGCGCATGCGGAGACGGACGCAAAGGTTGCTGGTTACAAGACTGCAGTAAGTGAGGCCCGGAAGGCCGTCGAGAGGGAGGCAAATGCAGCTCAGACAGCCAAGAGTAGTCTGGAAACACTGCTGCAGAAGCTCGACGACGCTCGGAAAACCGGCGATGTGGTTGACGGTGTGGTGAGTATACCTTCTGTGTGATCAGGCCCAGTTCTTCGGACCAGCAATTAATGTCTTGACCAGGTCAGCGCGATAATCCCCATCTGGGGCCTAATTGGGCTCATCGACCATAAAAAGTCTCCCGGTAGCGTCATGCTGGAAGGCCAGATCGGCGCTGCAAGACAAGCGGTCGAGAGCGCGGAACATACCCTCGACTCCGCACTCCGGAGCGCTCAGATATCCCTAGATCTCCAGAACAGAGAGCAGCTCAAATTAGCCCAGCAAAGTGCCATCCTTGAGAGACTGGGACCCCTCCAAAGCGCTATCCAGTCCGCCATTACGAAAGCGGTTGAACTAGAAAATGGTTTAATTCAGATGAAGGACAGTGCTACCGAGATGGTCCGTCGAATGAACAAGCTTAGCGGCCGAGCGGAGAATGGTGCGGAGCTCTCCGTCACGAAGGAGGAGTTTGTGAGTGGCATTCTCGATGTTGTGGAGCTGGCCATCGTGGAGCCCAATACAGCCAAACAGATTGGAACGATTCTGGCTGAATTGCGGAATTCGTGGGGCCCTTCTCCCATGACTCCAGCAATCCAGTCCCGGTTTGATGAACTGGATGGCAAGGCGGCGAAGATTGCTGGTTGACATTGGGTTTCTCCTCTGCAGCCCAAACAAGGCGCATTTTGTCCCATCAAGATGTTTGGTAGTGTTTATTTACCAGTGCGCCATCCAAGTTAACAGTAGGTTTTGGTCCAATCTATCGTCTGATCACCTGCACGACGTAGATCTGGAAGTATGGAGTGGGGTTTTCTGTAGTCTGAAGAGCATGCTAGGCAAATATACTGAGGTTGGTGCGGGAGACTGCTTTGCAGTATGTCCTTTTCGTAGACATTGGAGTATTGTATTTCCTGCACTATCTGTGTAATGTGTTAGCAACTCGTACTTGGCAGCAGTGCATGGATCAGCTTCTTTATTTGTGCATTTAACAGTCTAAAATTCTGGCAGGGTCATAATTCCGTTGCCCCTCTCATTTCAACCCATGTATTCCACTGAGTTCCTCGCATTACTAGGTCTGATGGTTCCTCATTTCAGGGTCTTTTCCACGTATTTCAAGAGCCATTATTTTCTTTCACTAATAACCATAAGGATGTCCAAAGCCGCTCTACTTTCAAAACAAGCAGCATACTTTACATCACTCTTTCATGGTCAGCATCATTTTAGCATAAACACATCTGCAGAAAGACGGCCTCCTCAGTAAGTATATATAACTCAAAGAAGCCGCAAAGCTACAATTTGACAAGTGCAAAAAAGTGAAATTGGCCAATGCGGCACGACAAATCAGCATAATTTACCAATGAAGATCAGTAAACAACTATTTGCTCAAACTGGACACTTGCTCACGACCTCAAGTGGCCTGAGAGCGTACAAGCTGCTTAATCTAAGTGATGGCTTGTTAGAGAAGCACTCGTCTCTGGTACCAACACCGACAGATGTTCCGAACTGGTCAAGGAAGAAGAAACCATTGATGTGCAACTAGTTTCTGTTCACTAACCAATAGGTAACTGACAACAAGGACAACAAGCTGGATTCAAATGAGAATGCAACTCATGCGGACAATTAGTCCCAGAGCGCGAGATTGCAGTAAGATCTGAATGGGACTCTACTTCTCTCCAGGTTGGTGAAATTGATGGCAAGAACGATCTTTGACTTTCCTGGACTGATGAGTTCTAGCTAGATGTAACGTCGTCCAACTCGCACTGGCCTCGGTCTTTGCAGACTCCAGTGGCAATCACAGAGCCCACACTGACGTTGTTTGCATGGTACACTTTGAACTGCAGCAGTGATGCATAGATCAGCTCAGCCATGTTGCACAACATGTAAACAGCAAACAAATCCATCTCCACGAGAGCATAGCAAGTGGATAGATTCCGTCATAGTAAAATCATTGAGTACGAAAGGTATGAGTCATTTTTAACTTTGTGATGTGGACCAATAAAACTAGCGAGCACCCATACTATGTGATCCTGCGATGGGTTACCCAATCGCCACCACGTGAAACGCGCTGAATCTCTGAGTATTCATAACCCCATTCAGGTTTACTACTTTAAGCTGGGTCATTTCTGAAATGCCCCACATGTGGTGTTCAGCGTAACCTGTTCGTACTTCTGTTAGCTCTTAGCTTTCGGACCGTTCCGTCATTCCCGCACCTGAAATTTACCTATCTATCTGTAAGGACCAGTCTTCTCCATACATGAGCAGTAATACCAAACTAAACTGCTCAGGGTTGTAACTGTTACCACCAATAAAATCAGGCTACCACAAAAAAAAAGCAAAGAAAGCTGGCAGGCTATATGCACTGGAAGTAAAGAAATATAGGCACCAATATTTTATTAGATCCTCAGTTATTGTGGCTGGGGATTATGAGGTTTTGTCCGTTTGGCTTACAAGTTTATGCTTCATAATGAAAGGACTGCAATGTCGGCCCTTTCTTGTTACCAGACCAGGCGAGCTATTTCGTTTCGTACTAGTCGTGCACATAACCCAAGATATCCCTACTCACAACCTGTCTGAACAATCGTTTGGTACTAAGAAGCAGCCATTCAGAATAGTCAGGAACTGATCGACAAAGCAGGGCTTGGAATACGACAAGTTCGACAACCTAGTTGCTTTTTCTAGAAGTACAGTACGCCTGAATTCGAAATATTATACCAATGGAAACATGCAGTGAACCAATAGCAGGCATAAAAAGCCCATGTCTCTCGCCTCGCCTTGGCAGAACACGGCCATTGCTGAATATTGGCCCCATAGATGCACATTGAAACAACTATTGCCAATCATATCATTTAGCGGAGTCCAGACATTTTTGACTCTTGGTGGGGAATGCAATAATCTACAAATTTAGTGGCCGCAGTGGCTGCCTGAATTGATTCTCCCTGAGCAGCTCGTGCAGGCAACCAGTGGGAACAGTCTCTCCAACTGGCAGTAGTTATTGGTAGCACCCTACTGTTGTGGGGCCAAGCCATTCTCGTACCTTTGAAGTCCCAGGCCTCGACGCTAGGATTTAAGTGGTCCGCTCTCATCCCTTCAACTTCCGTATAAGATGGTGTCAGATTAACAACATAGAAGAGTCCGGTATAAAACAGTATAGGCTTGTATTTTTAAATGAAGTCAAGTAGTGCTTGATTACTGCAGTCTTTCCCACTGTCTATTAGGATAAAGGAGTACTCTTCGATGAGGAAATTCATTCATCAGAGGTAGATATATGTCCCTCCAGCAGGTGGAGAAGGTAGGATATTAGCGAATCCAACCACCAACCAAATACACTCAGGGCAAAACTATATGTACACCATGCAGGCTGGCATGGCAATGAGGAACTTACTCCAGCTCGAACAGCCTGCATACCCATATGTTTAGATATAATTGGGTAGTATCTGTATATCTAAGCTAGTGAGTTTGGAGATCAGCTATTATCTGGGGAATAATTGTATATACATACAGAACAAGTTGATAATATTCCCCACCTTTAAATTAGTTTATGAAGGATAATGCCAGATGTAAACTGTGTCTTTAATTAATTCTTTCCTTTCCCTTCTTTGTATCAAGGCATCATAGCTGTTAGAAATTTAGAATGCCCTGCCCTTCTAGGATTATTAACTAGTCCTCACATTTTTTAAAGTTTCTATTGGCATGAGCTTTGGCTGTATTGTGTAAGTTGCGGCCTCGTCTCGAGTAACCCATGTTTTCTAGTTTGCTACCCTTCTGTGGATACTTTTATTTGGGTCTCTGGTTGGTATTTCCAAATCGGCAACCATAGACAGATTATTAAGGATCTGCTTATACAGGCCAGAACACCTGTCAATTAGGGGAGAATCACTAACACCGAGCAGTTCAGATGATACAAGGCTGATCTTTGACGATCTTCTTGAGATACACTGGGATCCTGTACTTTATTGAACAGGAGCAGTAGGGTTACATTGAGTCAATCATGAAGTCATAGAGAGGCCCCCTCACTCGCTCCTGTATAGTGCCCAAATTGCTAGCTGCCTGGGAATTATCCTTTACGATGCCGATGTCTACAGATATATAAAACAGGTATTTCCTTCCTACCTAGTCTGATCCTTTTCTTTGCAGGATCCAAGACTCAAGCCTACAGAGTTGATTCTGATTCATATGTTCGGACTGTATTTAACATCTGTTTATTTGTTGCATCATATATTTTACCTACGGCTTTTTCCCATCGTACCCTTGTGAAGTCCTCCATTCTTGACTCAACGCACGAAACCATGTCTTCCAATTCCCCAGTCGGCTCATTCCAGTTTCTGCTCGAGAAGCTGGAGTTTGTTTTCAAAGACTCAACCGATGCTGAGCCCTTCGCCCTTAAGGCGGATGACATTAAGCAGTGCTATGACCGTGTTGAGCAGATCCTTGCGGGCCTCCTAATCCACTACAACATCCATTTTGATACTGAGAGGCGGGGCAGCACGCACCGATATCACGACAACCTTATCAGTGCGTTCCAATCACGGGACACTCCTCGAGAGATCAGAGAGCCGCTAGGGACCGGCCCAATCCAGGGAGTTCTTTTCGACGGCAAGTCATTCCGCAACAAGCACAAAGAATTCAAGGAACAACGTCTGGATGAGGGTGGATTACGCAGCTATTTGGCTACAATGGTAAATGGACTCCCTTTGGTCATTAAGGCGCTGAGGAAGGCATGTGAGAACGCCAAAGTCATGCTTGTGAGATGTCCAGCAAATGCGGAGGGATGATTTTATCGAGGCCGCCATCACGGTGGAAGACATGGCGGAGAATGTTTCCCAGACCTCTCCTTTTTAGTAGAACTGCTGAATGCAAAATCAGTATAAGCCAAGAATGGGACCCGAGAGACTGGCCTAATAGTATGGAGGACCACCGCACAGGTTTATTTGGATATTTGTACCAGCGTGACAAACCTGTTCCCCCGGAGGTTTGCCAGGTTGCCAATACTTCTCCTGACATCTTCCAGTAGATGGGTTAGGAATAATAGAGATAGACCCGCTAAAGTCAGGCCGAGGCGATTTTGCGACCAGGTCAAACGTGTATGAGGTGTTAGTTGCATCCAATGCATCATTCAGCGTCACCGGGTTCTGCGGAGGGCCACAGCCCTGACTGAATTCCACATCCACCCCACCCTTTTCACGGAGTCGTATTTTCATGAGTTCAAATGGCCCAAGACAAGAAGGGCCATCGCCCCCGCCCTGCCAAACTTCTGAGATGGATGCATCAAATGGGCAGTCGTTGTTGATGGAGATAGTACCTGGGTTGTCCAAATAAGGTCTCCAAATGAAATGCTGATGAGCGAGAGAAGGGAGCACGAGGGCAGCGATGATGGAAAATACGGAATCCTTCATATTGTCTGTCGGTACTGGGACCTGGATAGTAAAGGATTTTATTGTTGGAGTAATATAGTCTTAAGAATCAAGAATCCAAAGTTGGGAAAACAATTCCTTTTTATACAGGGAGGTTATCTTTAATCCGGCGGGTGGCAAATAGTTAATGATGACCTTGTACCTAAGTCCAGGCCCTATTTAGCTCATGTATTGTCACATCTTGAGCTATTCTGCCACCAATAGCACTGATTATACTGATAGGAAATTAGGAGTGATGGCTTCTGTAAGAATCAGACATCATTTCAGTCTACACCTTCCGTTTTCAAAGATTATACGGCTATAATAAGGGACGGTACCAGTTCCGACCTTGAGCTGGAAATTTCATAACAGTATTCAAAGGTAGCATATTTAACATACATTAGGTTTACTTTGACAATTTGTTTCCGCATTCTATATCGAGAACTTCGAAGATCAAGCTTTGTTTAGTTACAGCCTATGGGATGACTAACATGTGACGTACTCCATAAACGTCAATTGACCACTTAGACCCCCACAAATACAAAAAAGTAAACATGGAATAAGAGTCCATGGGACTCATATTCTAAACCCAACTTTGTCAGCATTAGAGTGCTATCAGTCAGCTCTTCACCACGGTTGCGTCCCCAACAGACACGAACACGTCATAGGAGGAGGAATTGCATCTTCAATGTGCTCTAGATCGTTCTCCTGGGGTTCAAGCAATAGCTCCACAGGGAGGAATTAGGTATATAAACGGCTGGCTTTTCTTCTGCTTCCAGTCTCATACATTAGCGTTAAGGACGACAACCCCATAACTGGACCGCCAACTCATAATCTGTTAATTGACTATACCCCAAGACGACTTGATCGACCATGTCATTCGAAGAAAATGAATTTGATAGAATCAGCGCTTTCTTCATCGGGCCCAAGGGTGCCAACCTGCCCGATTTCCGGGCTAACATTAATACTATCCTAGATGAGCTGCTAGAGACCAGGCTGGATTACATGCCAAAGGACACTGTATGTGAATAGCTAGCCTAAGTCATTGCGCTTGTTGTCGATATTTACATGCTTGCAGTTAAGTACCGAAATCCGATATGATCGGTAAACTAAATTTGAACAGAAATTTATTTCGAAAACTGTCCGGCGTTCAAAAAAGTTCCGAGAGGTTCGAGACATGGTCGGAAATGTAGTGAGGACGACTGCCCAGGTGCTCGGAGCACATTCAGTACCCTTCTGGACGCCGCGGTATGAAGGCCATATGTGTGCAGATTTGACTATGGCATCGCTGTTGGGGTATTTCATGACCATGCTGTATAATCCCAACAACGTGGCTCTCGAGGCAAGCCCTTTAACCACCGTGGCGGAGTATCAAGTCGGGCAGCAGCTATGCGATCTGTTCAGATACAACACCGATCCGGAAAAGCAAGACTTGCCATTGGCATGGGGTCACATCACTTGTGATGGTACTATTGCTAATTTGGAATCTATCTGGGTCGGTAAGTGTCATTAGCCCCAGCTATCGCGGATCTATTGCTGAGGGTGGGCCAGCGCGATATCTGAAGTTCTACACTTTGGCACTCCAATGGGCTATCAATGAGGGCACGCTACAGTTCATATGAGAGTCCAACTTCAAGGTTAACTCCTGGGACGATAAAGCCAACGAGGAAATCCTGAAAGACTTCAGGTCTCTGAATACATGGGAGTTGCTTAACCTACGGCCCGAGACAGTCCTTGACCTGCCAGACAGTCTGAGAAAGAGGTTTGGGATTACCAGTGATTTCCTGACAAAGGCTCTAAAGGAGTTCAATATTCAAACAACAGGTCATTACATTTACAGTGGACCCCCTATACTTAGGTACATATATATGCACATCAGACATGATCGGCAACGTAATTATGGGCGAAGGTGATGTACTACGGATAGTCAGTGACTCCTATGGCGTGGTTATCAGCATTAACTTGGTAACATCTAGTATTGCTTTATCAGACAGAAATGATGTTCATTATGAGAATATACTCTAAAATGGCGAAAGATCCTGGTGATTATAAAACATTCTGATCAATCATTGACTGCACAGCATCGGTGACACTCTGCTCCAACTAAATATACTTCCAATATCCAACTTCTCTCCCCTTGGACAAGACATCCAAGCTGATCCGCATATCCCAACCAGTGGGATGTACTCTGTCTGGCAAGATTTGTGAAGGGTTTCCTTCTGGAACACGATCCCTCAAGCTGGGAAAGTTCTGTCGAATGATATTCACTACCAACTGCAGCGTGATTAATCCAGAGATACGCAGAATCTGGGCGACATCCCGAACATCAACCTACACTTCATTAGGTACACCACCAACTTCTTGGATGAAAAATAGACGAGCAAAACGTACAAAGTGATCAAACGGAAATCGCACGTCCTCGACGGCATTGTGTGTCCCATCAATGAAACTCGCGATTGTAAAGTGGTTGGTCTCGTTGATAGAGCTTGGTCCCGAGATGGGATGACTCATAAGGCCTGTGATAATGTCCGGATTGATCGGGGCTAGATCGAAGTTGGGCCTGTTGTTTTTCATGAACTCCCACGCAGTTTTTTCACTCTGAGTCTTGGATACATTGTAGCCAAGCACTGTGTCTTTCTGGTTAATGGCTTGCTGAGTGGTCACCTGTTGTGTATTAATCAAAGTACTAGTTTCTTCCATTACAAGGAGAAACATACCGGGTTCCAATCATTTTTGTTGTAAGGGTGGCCCTCGTGGGTGATGTCCTCGAAGGAGTTGAGGACAGAAACAGCACTACCCAACAGTACGAACCGCCTCAAAGACGTGTCCCCATATTTATGAGCACTTTTGAGGATCTCCGTAGTCCTATAGCGGATTAGTTTTACTGTCCAATATGCATGTGCAAAGAGCTATATCTAACCCTTTAATAGCAGGCTTGATCATCTCTTTCTGGATATTATTGATATTGAACTTCATGGGGGATGCTGTATAATAACGTAGGTGAAGGGCACATTTTGGTTTTTAAATATTTCATCGAATGGTTGCTGAGAAGTGAAATCTGACACTATGGTAAAGCTGATTTTGTCCTTCCACGAGGGTTGTGTCTTGATGATATCGTCTGCCTTGGCGTGAGATCGTACAGTGGCCGTGACGGCGAATCCACGCTATACACACACTGTTAGTTCTGTCTCTAAGCCAAGAAGAATAATGGTACCTCTAGCAAGATGGATAAGATATGCGAGGCAACGAAGCCATTTGCGCCCGTTAGCAAAACATGCTGGCCACTAACACCGGAGGCCATTAAGGGTGTGAGATCTGATTGTACAATTCTACTAAGGATGGTACCAATAATGATCAAGAAAATTTCAAGCAAATTCCTGTCCAGTTGCAATATAAGTTGGTTGTCTGGGAGGCATGACGTGGTCATGCAATTATGGAACATATCTATGACGCGGTAAATAGCTGAGATTCATAATCCCACAACCCCACAATCCGCTAGGTATCATAATGTGCACCCCACTGCTAACAGGTGATCATACGGCGGACTATATCTACAACGTGGACTTTTGGTATTTTTACAAAGATTACATACTACCACTACCACTACCCTATGATTGCACACACTGCACATATAGTATTAATATTAAATCATCATATAGTATTTAATATCAAATCATCACCTAGTAGGAATATTAATACTATAGTATTAATATCCTTAGTATATGCTGCTATATGTGGAGGTAGTGGCAATATGTAATATATGTAGTGAACAGTAAAAAACTCCAAAAGTCCACATTGTAGCTATAGTCCGCCGTAGATCATCATTGATGACAAAATATACCCGCCCCTGCCTTAAATAGTCTGACGGCTGCAAAGATGCCATTAGTCCGTGCATACACAAAACAACACCTGCTTCTATGTTTCCAGCGGGCCATAGCTTAAAAGTTTTCGTAGGTGTGTTGGTGACCTTTATCCTAAGCAGCCTTTTCGTCGCCGCGCGCCTTGTGAGCCGATTTGGCATTGTCAGGCGCCATGGCTGGGACGATTACACTATTATAGTAGCGTGGGTGAGTGGATTCCTCCCCGAGACTGGAACTGAGATTGATGTATCTGTCAATCCAGGTCCTCGCCTTTGGCATGTCCTTTGCCGTCGCCTTTTGCACTTTTAAAGGCCTAGGGCGTCCTGAGGAGAACATCTCCCCAGCCTGGGTCGTCCCACTGCTCAAGGCGAGGTATGCTGCGATCGTGCTTTACAACCCCGCACTGAATGTCACCAAGGCCTCGATACTTTTTCTCTACATTGACATTGCACAACGCTCACAGAGGTTCTTATATTTTGGCTCCTGGGTGACCTTCGCTGTCGTCCTCACTGGTGGTGTTGCCTTCACGTTCCTCACTGCCTTGCAATGCCGCCCCGTACAGGCCGTCTATAATCTCACCATTAAGAATCCTACCTGCATACCAATTGAGACTATCGACCTGGCCATCGTCCCTGTCAATGTCGCCACGGGCCTTGCCATCCTAGTCCTACCGATTCCCGTGCTAACGACGTTGCACCTACCGCTTGGTCAAAAGACTTTACTGTTGCTGCTCTTCATACTGGGTGTCATCCTTATCATCGTTGCTGATGTCGTGCGTATCTATTACTTGCAACTGGCGGCCATCAATCTCCGGCAGTCAACCATCAGCCCTCCCGTCAATCTTAAGTTTCTCGCAACTGCGAGTTTGACAGCCCTGTGGTCGACAGTTGAGGTAAATGTGGCCATTGTCGGTGCTTGCATCCCCACCCTACTACCGTTGATCAAGCGGTTAATCCCGAAGTTGATTCCTTCTGCAAGAAGCAGCAACCGCCAGATGCTTCCTTCTCCTTCATCGCTGCCCGATAGAGCTGAAGCTGGTTCACCTCATTCTAATGAGCTCCATCGCCATCAATCGAGTCCCATATCACTGCAAGCTGACTACCAGGAGCAGCTACAGCGGCAGATATGTACGACGTCTGAGGACGCACAGTCGCCTTACCAACGCAGCGATGTGTCCACATTCTCTAGATCTGTTGGATTTGAGCGGTCCAGGTGCATGCTTGACCTGCGCGGCTCAGAATCCGTCAAGTATTGCGCGTTAGTTGCTTTTCTCCTCTTCCTGGAAGGATTCATCACTGTCTTGTTATCTTCCGTCAACAGAAACATGCCTGTCGTGGAAAATGAAACTCAGGCCATAGGTATCACCTCAGCCGCTTGGGCTAGCGGCGCCTGTATCGTGCCCTTTATTGGGTATTGGCTTCTACGTCATGTGGGATTTAAGGCCACGTTTGTGATAGCATTGGCTATAATCTGCATGGGGAACCTGATATTTTGGCCATCTGGGGCGTTGGGTTCTTATCCTGGATTTATCGTCGCCAACGTTGTCGTTGGGACAGCTGTGACTTTACTAGATATGTCGACGATCGCCTTCCTTACACTTTGCGGACCAACGCAGTATGCTGAAATCCGTGTACTCATGGGGTTAGGCGTTGGTTATAGTGGTTCGGCTATAAGTTTTCTGCTCTCAGAGAAGACCTTCTTTGCACATGTGGCTAACTACTATGGAGTGATTGCCATCCAGTGGACTTACCTAGCAGTTTCTCTTTCTATGGTCCTGTTAGGACTCTTTTACTACTACATGCCGCTTCCTGAAGCAACAGTCATGGATCTACAGAGCCGAGATAACAGGCTATGGATAGACCCTTCACAGAGATTCTTTGGCAAGGTTCCCGTCAATATCACAACGTTGGCTCTAGGTGTCCTTGCGGAGTTCTGTTCAACCTCTTCAGTATCAAGTTTCCGAACATTTCTTGGTACTCTCCTTAAAAGTGTTTCTAGAAGCACTCAGACATCTCCACACCTCTCAGAGGTAAATTTGAACATCGCTCTATCTGGCATATCCGCTGGGAGTCATTTTATCCTTTCCTGCTTGTGTCTTTTTGTCCAGCCACGCATTCTCCTGCTCTTGCTTTTTGCCTGTGGTATCACATTCTCTGCGCTGATTCTTTGGCTGGATTTCTCCTATACCCGAACAGTTGAATACTTAGTGTTTTTCTTTTCCATTCCATTGGCGCTCATTCCGACCTTAACATATGCCATGGGATTGCGTGGTATGGGCAGCTGGACCGTGTTTGGGGCTAGTGTACTCGAGGGTGGTGGCGACCTTGGACCTACCATCTACCCCTGGATCATGTGGGCATTAATACGGGCACCCAGCCATTCCGTCCAATTCTCTTTCTGTGCGATCTTTACTGCCTTGCTTGTTGGGATCGTTTTCCCGCTCTACCTCAACCTGGTACGCGCTGCGCTACCCTATGCTAGATCCCCTGTCTGCTCTAGGGGGATATTATTCGGTAGCCACTCTGCTCGCCTATAGTGATCCTGGGTTATTACCTTCTATACCAGTTTCTTTGGGTTCTTCTGCACTTGCAGTCTAGTGGCTATCCGCTCTGTACCTTTTTATCCTTTCCTTTTGTCCTTCGGTAGGTTCATTGTATTATAGCCAAGATTAAACACCTAAGTTTCTATAACAGCGACTGCGCCCCCTGCTGCAAATCTCTTGCTTATCCAGGTCGCCTTCCAAATTGGGGACGATGCCTTGGACCTGGCATACATTAACAGCATGACCTACACTGTATCTGACATTCCCACTCTGAATTCGATAGTTCCCCACCTGCGCGCTGGGAATAATACCTACAATCAGACCCGGGCAGGGGCATCATACGGATTACAGAATCAATATATTCTCGATATCCCTGACAATCAGGTCGTTGATATTCTCAGCCCGAACTTCGATGATGGGTCCCACCCATTCCACCTGCACGGATTTCAGTCTGGGTCATGGCGAGCTCGCAGAATCAGTACTTTTTGTGGGTGATTTATGACTCGTTGGACACGGCGAATCCTATGCCTATGCGCCGTGAAACCCTGATGGTGGACGCATATGGTTGGCTAATCCGGCCCCAGGCTGACAATCCTGGCTTGTGGCCATTTCATTGCCACATTTCCTCGCATGTTGCCGCGGGTCTTCTGATGCAGCTTCAAACGCGCGATGACTTGATGAAAGACTAGACAATTCTAAGTGATGTTCTAGGGTTATGCCGGGCCTAAAGCGTTGCTGTATAACATGGAGGGACTGTTTCAATATCCCTCATCAATATAGATGGGACTGGGACGGCAAACTCCACACAAGATACTTAATACAATCTATCTATCCATTACTTTCCTGCTTATAGAGAGGAAATCTTCAGCAGATTAGAAACAGCATCTTTTGCTCACAGAAGTAGAGAGAAATAACTCCACCACCCACAAAACCACGTAGACTACATTAGGCACATAATACAGAATTGCTAGAAGAAGGGTTATATCCTACACTCAGGAATTTAGTCTATCATCTTATACGCCGAGCTACCCATCCATAGGTCTTATCAAGAAACTCTCCTCCAAAGGACTCGGAGCATTTAAAAAAAGGAGTTAGAGCTATACTCTAAGGGAAGTGAATAAGGAATATGAGTACTAAGTAACATTACTATAATAAGGTTCCTTGCAATATGAAGAACAATTGAGTTAGGCATCTTTTATTGCTTCCCACTAAACATTACTATTAGGGCTCATTAAACGGGAACACTACAACATAAAAAAATATAGAGAAGAAGAGCCTATAGGAACCTCTCCAATTACATTACACTTCTTAAGCAGGAGTAGTAGAGGTAGATATATGCTCCACAGTATCAGGACAACATAATATTTCACAGGCCAGATTCTATCCCTGCCTATTATGCACCAGGAAATCCTTGCCCTTATCCCAGCAAACCTCAAGGCCGAACTAGGTGATGATTATTCATAGTCGTTGTAGCTAATAGTTGCGCTAGAGGTGCCAGGCTCATGAATGGTAGGCCAGATAGGTGATAAAGTAGACAAGTAGCCACTCTAAGTTACTAAAGCTCCTAGTTATGTGCGGCTAAAAGGAGTTTGCTATATCTTATAGAGTAGGGAGTGTTTGTAGCTTAAACTTACAGCAGATCGTTGGACTGCCACTTAGTTATTTGATCGTGATGGTGATATACTCAATTACTCATCTACATATGGCTCTAATTTATAATGTCCCGGCGACCAGAAACAGTTATTCAGCAGGTGATGAAAAAAGGCTTTGGATTGTAACTTCTCGAGAAGCTCATATGATGTGTCCTTGGTGGCTGGACCCCTACCCTATTTAGATTGGATTCGGAAGCGGGTTCGGTGATAGGATGGGGGCCAAGGCGGCATAGTAGCCTCGCATAGGAATTATTCTTCAAGCAAAGAAGTATTTGGGATGCATACAGTATCAAAATAATTCTCTCAGCAAAGAAGTGTCCTGGGTGTTGATACAGGAAATCGCTGGTATTGAGTGCAGCAAGTCGTTGGGATTAACAACAACCAACCTGGCTCAGGAAATCTCAGCCCAATATTGTGTGGTATTTCTCTGGTATTTTGGGGTTTCAATAATATTAGATTAGAAACACGCTATGGTTCACGGGAGAATGGGGTCGGGCTAGACTGGCTTACCCAACCCACAAATCCACACCCACCCCACCCAATCCACTGTTTGGGTGGATAAGGGCTGGCCCTAATCCAACCCACATGGATATGGGTTGAACCTGCTATATCCACATGGATATGGGTTAACCAATGGGTATAGCCTCTAGAAACTGATAAGCTTATCTAACTAGATCCAGGCCTAGATAGGGGGATATTTTTATATATATAGATAGAGAATAGTCATATCTATCTATATATAAAATAAATATTAGATCTACTAAGAAAGGCTAGAGTTATAGTAGTTTTTAGATTTTAGAGGATAGTATTAGGATAGTAAGGGTAAGATATATATCTCTCTGCACCACCTTTCAACCTAAGCTTAGGGGGGACCCCTACTCCCCTATATAAGTCTATTTTAGCTTATATAATAGGTAATATATAATATTTATACTAATCTATTCTTATATTACTTATTAAATATATAGATATCCTAGTGGTGTAGCTAGAATACTAAAAAAATAGGAGGTAATCTGAATACTAGAGGTCACCTGACTAGATAGTATGGACCACCCAACCCACGTGGATATAAGGGTGGGTAAGATACCTGGTGGTTTACCCATAATCCACATGGGTTGGATTAGACATGCTGTGGGTCAACCCATATCCACCCCACAGCCAGTCTAGGTCGGGCTGAGCCGGGAGGGAGGGCAGGGGACACGGTCACACGAGCACCATGCTTGAGCCTCCTAGTCAGCCTCATCAGAGATCCGCATGGGCATGCACTAACATCGGACAGAAGACTAGATCAAGATTAGATCTCAGTTGAAGGATTCCTGTTATGATGTGAAGGTATGTTAGCTGTCTTTTGGAGAGGGCGTCACAATCTTGACTATGGCTCCCGACAAAGTTAAATAAAAGCTATAAAGCTCCAACAGACATACCATGTTAACCAATGGTGGTGTATTGATAGTTGATCACTTACGTTTATCTCCCCCCTGCGACAAAAGAGCTGTCGGCTACCGGTAGTCCGCTACGTAGCAAGTATCCAAGTTGAGTGATGGAGCTTGCGGACAAAAGCTTGACTACAAACCTGCGGGACATGATCCTGTGTTCATGCCGCCACAGATGTTCCCAACGTATCCAAAAGAAATCAAGGCAAGATTCTCGGTACCCCCGGCATTCATAAAGATCAGCTTTGTAAGCCTCTTCGGTGGCTCGTGATTCCAGCCAGATTCCGAAACAAAACCTTACTGTTGAGCCTTGCGAATGACCTTGACCCCAGGAAGCACCGCTGCATTCAAGTAACTGTGAGATGCAGAAGGGAGAAGTTGCCATTTTGCCAGTTCAAATGTTGCTCTCATTGCGCTGTTTGGTTAAGTTTGCGTAGAACCTTCTAGGAATTCTAGGCTTCTAGGCTTCTAATTCTAGGCTCTTGTATCCGTCTTACAATTTATAAAAAGGAGCTGGTATTACCACAGGTAGGTACAAAATGTGCTATATTGCCGTATCATGTGATTACGGTTTGTAAAAGCATCTCTGTTTTCCGACATGGAAGGCGATCTTGGACTGTACTGTACTTCCTCCCATGATACAACTTCGAAGCCTGCCATGTTTCCAAGCTTACTGGCACGAAGGGTATGGTGGGAACTAACAGAAGGGCGATTCCAAAGCTAGTCAGTTATTGTTTGGAAGAGAGCAATTCTGTTCTTCTTCCTCGCCCAGCTCTCAAATATCCTCGTCTAAGGTTCTACGTTGCGTTCTGACGCACATGTCTCCTTCGCTCCATCGTCTGTTGGTAAAAATGTCAAGTGGATCTATAGCCTGAGCTTCAGAGAGTGCCACGACATACAGCCGCAAAGTAGGCACTAACCTTTAGATTGAAAACTTGAAGTTGGTTGATTACACATGGCAGTGCATTGCAGCCGCATAATTGTTATTATTATTACTATTATCATTATCATTGTTATCATCATTATTATTTTTTAGATGGTTGGATGTAGATTAGGCTGGAAAATTGCCGAAAAATATAGGAACATGAAAAGAAAATCAGTTATATTTTGTACTACTTTCATTATTGGTTCTATGGTTTTGCTCAGTCGCAAGAATGAGGGATTGACAGGATTCAAATGTTGTGTACTCCCCTGCTCTGAAGGCTGTCCTGCTAACTTTACTCCTGCTCTTCGTTGAATCAATGCTTCTCGGACATCTTACAGTTCAGAACACGTCAGATCACAATGGGTTCAATCGAGTACAGGGAGATCCCTCAGCTCACACCTCTTGAACGGATTGCACCTAAAGGCTATGTCCGTTACATTTTCCTCTTCCACCTTGGAAATGATTACAACATCCACAAAATCTCTCAGGTCCTTCAACCTGGCTACGAAACTCTTGCGCGAGAAATTCCAGAAGTCGCATGCGAGTGTATTCCCGATACCGACATTCAGAAGAAAGGCGTTATGAAATATCGCAAAATATACGGGGAGGATGCTGCTCGAATTGCTGTCGAAGATCTGCGCGATTCGTTCCCATTGAGCTTTGAGCAGCTAAAGGGCAAAGGCTTCCCCGTATCATACTTTGATGCTGAGACTTTCTGCCCCGGGCCAATCTGGCCAGTCCCTGGAGAAAAGGTTCGCACTTCTCTCGTGCAAGCTAGCTTCATTCGAGGCGGACTGATTCTGGGGTGGAATCTTCTGCATTTGAGTGGAGATGGGACTTCGTGGTATATCTGGACTCAAATTTGGGCAGACGCCTGTCGTCGAGCTCAAGGATTCGAGGGTGAGTCCTTGAACTTGCCGAAAGAGATTTGGGGAGACCGAGAAAGAGTGAGAAAGCCATCAGGTCGCAACGCTGGAAATATCAAGGATCATCCAGAGTGGGCTATTCTACCTTTCACACCAACATCACCGCCGCCGAAGATGATGTCTCCCAATCTTCGAGGCCAGATTTTCTATTTCTCTAAAGACTCCTTGGAAGGTTTGAAGGAGGAGGCTTCACCTGCGAATGCGACCGAGTCTCATGATCAACAATGGATATCTACTAACGATGCTCTCTCGGCATTGCTCTGGCGCACCGTGATGGCTGTTCAAAACCCCCTGGAAACATTGGAAGGTGATCCTACTTCTGTCTTCAACATCGCAATTGACGGTCGGCTACGAACGAACCCAAAGGTTCACCCACAGACGTTAGGTTGTTTCATGGAATACAGTATCGGCGCCTGTTAGAAAGATTTTAAGCACCTTCAAAATTGCCGATTTGGCGTTGATGATCCGCAAGGCCATTCTGAAAACCGATGAGGAATGGACGGATGACACTATCGCTCTCGAGGAGCAGCTTGAAGATGTTGACCGACTAGTTGCCACTGCTTTCCTGGATGTCCCTGGATTCAATTGCCTCCAGAGTTCGTGGGTGAATTTCGACTTATATGGTCTTGAGTGGGGTCCCGTACTAGGAGACAGAGTTGAGGCCATTCGTACGCCGCATGTCGGTGTTGTTAATGGCCTCCAAGTCATGCTTCCAAGGCTACCAGATGGTGGATTGGAGGTCCTTGTCTGCGTAGAGGGAAATTGCTTGGATAAGCTCCTAAAGGACCCATTGTTTACCAAATTTACTGTTGCCAGATAAGGGGATGTTGATCATGATGTATAATGAAAATCATGTACGCACTGGACACAGAACTACAAAGATGGCGTAGTTAATGCAGACCCGGTGGTGAGGGATGAAGGATTTGAGAATCAGGGAAGACTAGGGAGCTTGATGGAATTATTCAACCTACAAGAGCGTTGTCTAATATCCCAAGCAGAGAATTCCCCTGCAAAAGAAGTAGAGAGTACATCATATAGAGTAACTAGCCTCCCCTGCAACCACCGACAAAAGAGCCAACCTGACCTCCCACAACGGCCAATCGATTCTGTTCCGCCCTCTGAAGCTGTTCCTCAACCTCCAATTGCCATCTAATGACATACGATGATTCATCACTTTTCTTGCCAACAAGAGAAGGCCGGCTTCAGTAGGATCTGTCATCAGTATGTTGTCTGCATCAGAGTTGGCCAATGAGCCTTGGGATCAGTTTGACGGGTCAGATCCCTTGCAGACCGCCCAGATGCAACATGTAGCTTTTGGTTGCTGACATTTTCGAAACGGGACCAAACAAGGACTGGCAGCAACGAAATCGTGACGAAAGGGAGTTCAGGGGCCAGTAAGGCACTGGGGTTAGGCGTAGATGGACAGACAGTTCATGTGCGCGATTTGCCTGAACAGTGGTTTCCATTAGTCTTCAGGGGCGCACTCAGTGCTGAGAGAAAAATGCTTCTTACAGATACATCTGCCGAATGAGGTTGCCTGGATCAGTTACCACCTGACGCTTCCCTGTCGCCACGTGGAATAATACCTTGATATCCCTCTATAGGCAGGGTGTCTGATTACATATTAGACACTGTAGCCAGGGTTTCATGGCAAGATTTCTAGCGATTTCTCTCTTCACTCTCATGGTTCTGCAGCAGCAGGAGGTGCTGGGTCATCCACGTGTGATAACCTCGCATGTGTGGAATGGAAAGCACGTGGGTGGGAACGATCAAAGGGGTTCGGGCGCTCACTTACTCTGTTTATCAGAATTGTGGGGTTAGGCGTCCTGTCAGCTAGACAGGGGATCAAACAGACATCTTAAACTTGCCATTTCTAAGAATTTGACGTTACACTGCATACACGCAGTCCCAGCGAATTGGTAATTCCCTTGTCCATCTGACTCTGATAGGTTGGATGGCGGATAAATTCAGTTCTTTTGCTTTCCGTTTTCAGCCTTGATTCGGTACCATGGTTCACCCCCTGGTAAAGGCTAATAATGTGATTCTTATCAGCAAAGTAAGCATGCGCCCCGATCCTTCTGATGGTGACATAGGCTTGTATTAGGCAGAGTGACGGTGAAATTCTAGAAATGGCAAGTTTATTACCCCTGTCCGTCAGATCCCGCTCCTATAGGTAAATTCTCTCATGAGTGTGACCGGCTTACCGGCCTCTCGCTCCTATAGTTCTGTAATGTAATTACATAACTTACCAAAACACGTATTTCGTGATACCGTCTTTTGAAATCTTGTTGCGTAATGCAAGCCCTTACATCACTGATCAGGTCTCTCTGTATTCCATTTCCATTCTCTGTTTTGCTTTGCTGAACTTCCCAGATCTAAGAACCACCTCTATGTCTGCCTAGCGCTGACCCATCCCCCACGTGGCCCGTTCTAACAGTTCCGTGTTTTCAGCCCCATCTGTCACAAGGTGACGAGATACACAGGTTAGCTTGAAGGCTAGTATAGGGGGATTGAGGCCCATTTTCAGCACACAGACTCTGTTTCTATGGTGAAGAATTTTGTTCTTACCCGCGCCTTGATCCTTTGAGGCAGCTTGCTTCCGGTTGCCTTACACAGCCATGTATTTAAGGTCTGAGGGACACCCCGGTGCTCATTGAAAAATCGAGTCATATAACCTCGGTTGGCCACAGTCCTGATACTCCTGCAAGGTTGACCACCAAGACAAATCCCACAAATGAAGGCTTCTGTGCTTTCTGTATCTTGTTACTTCGGGCTCCTCTGGACCCTCGTAGCTGGTGCCAGCATCCCCAGATACTTTCAGAAACACGCGATCACCCGTCGTGACTTGACCAGTACCCAAGTCCAACAAGAGCTCGGCGGCCTGGTCTCCAACACCACCCTCATCTTTGGGCCGGATGATCCGCGCTTCAACAATGTTACTTCCAGATGGACGGACTTTTCTAAGCCTCACATCCAAGTTGTAATCGAGCCTGGACTTGAATCCGATGTCCCAACAATCGTGAGACCTATGACCACCACCCCTACAAGGAAATTGAACCTGCCTGCTGACACTGATTCCCAAGGTCCAATACTGCAACGAGAACAGTATCGATTTTCTGGCCGTCTCCGGCGGCCATGGCCTGGCGGCAAGTCTTGCCACGTTTAATGGCATCCAGATTGGTATGCGGCAGCTCAACAACATCACCATCCAACCCAGTGGCAAGTCAGCCTGGTTCCAAGGTGGCCTCACCGTGCTCCCAGTCATCCAATACCTTTGGGACAAGGGCTATGTCACCACCACTGGCGGGTGTGAGTGCGTCGGCATGCTAGGTGCCGGTCTTGGGGGTGGCCACAGTCGTTACGAAGGTCTGTAGGGGTTGATTAGCGACAATATATTGCAGCTCAATGTTGTCTTGGCCAATGGCTCCACCATCCGCGTCAACGCAACGAGCCACAGCGACCTCCTCTGGGGTATGAAAGGGCCCGGTCACAATTTCGGCATCGTCACGAGCTACGAGATGAACATCTTTCCCCGGGGCCCTGACACCTGGCATTACCATAACTACGTCTGGCGTGGCGAACAGTTGGAGACTGTCTTCAATGCCCTCAACGTGTTTCATGGCAACGACACTACTCCCGTCAGCATGGCCTTCAACGCCGGAAGTTTCCTCATGAACACACCATATCCAGTGAGGAGCCCGTTCTCTTTTGGTCGTTTACCTACCGCAGGACCGCAGAGGAGGCCGAGAAATATCTGGCTCCCTTCAATGCTATAGAGGCCGTCTATGAGGAAATGGGCGACGTGCCTTACCCGCAGGTCGCCAAAGCGCAGGGCACCAGTATGTCCGACCCCATCTGCCAGCATGGCAACGTGCACAGCACGTCGACGGTATTTCTACAGGTCTGGAACGCGACGGCCGAGCGCCTCATCTTCGAGGGCTTCAAGCAACGCGTGGCCCAAGACCCAGTACTTGCGGCCGGAGCCAACATCATGCACGAAGGCTACTCGACGGAGGGGGTTGAGGCCGTGGACTCCGCGAGCTCGGCCTACCCCTTCCGCTCCGACCGGCACCTGACGCTCTTCAACGCGATTGTGCCGCACAATGACACTGCCCGCGAGCAGGCGGCCTGGGCTTGGGCCGCTGAGGTCCGCGACCAGTGGAACGCTGGCCAGCCGGGACGGTCCATGGATGCCTACGTCAACTACGCCAACGGCTTCGAGACCCTCGAGCAGCGGTACGGCCATGAGAGCTGGCGCCTCGAGAGGCTGCGGAGCCTCAAGGCCCAGTACGACCCCGACAACCGCTTCCGCTACTACAACCCCATCATCGTTGATTAAAACGGAGAGCGGAACTTGACCATGTTCGTTTCTTATTTTATTTGAATGGCAAGGATTTTGTGGGTTGGTACTGAGGTATAAGATTGTGATCATAGAATATCGGAGAACAAATCTTGGATTCATTAGTTATTAATAAGAGGCTAGTCAGCAACATCTTGGGCTTGTGAACAGGGACACAGCTCAGCGTGTGTTGGAAAAAGGTCATTGTGGTTCAGGAAAGCCTGGCTCAACTTTGACACATATACCATCATCACTCAGGTACTATACTAATTTTCAACCCTCTCCAACCGCGATTTGATTTTGAACAGAATCAATTTAAATCATATACCTACCATAATGACACCCTCATATATGTATAAATTTATGCTCATCATATGCGTAATATAAAATATTAAAGAAGACTAGTAAATTCTAATTTATTTTAATTAATTTCTTTATATTGTATTTTACTTTATTATATGTACACTTTACAGTATGCTTACTATGGTAGAGTAAATATATATATTGATACATATTAACCTTACCTACCTATATTCTCTTCCCTTTACTTACACTCTGCATATGCATAATATTAAAATAGCTTAGAATTTACTAATATTTCATTAACATTATATATAGTAAGCATAAATATTAAGGGGTGGTTATAGTAAGTATATGATTTGAATTAATGCTATTCAAAATCAAACATTTACCTTAGTATTCATGGTCAGAGAGGGTTGAAAATTAGTGTGGAGGTGGTGGTATCTTAGACTAAACATGTGTTATACACCTTAAAATTAATTCATGGTTTGACACGCGCTGACCTTCTTTCTGCTGAACCACCCTGACCATTTTCCGACACACGCCGGGCTGCAAGCCCTGAATGAACATATTCATTGTGTTATAAGACTAACTTATAATTACTGGAGACAGGTAATTCAAGAGTCTTACAAGACATTTCATGTTACAGAGGTATAGAGGTTCAGTTCAGTTTAGTTTAATTTCTATTGTAGCCTAATGCAGCTGCCTCACGATATTCAGGTGTTATGTAGACTTTGGAGATGACTAGATACAGGTGGTACAAGACAGTTGCAAATTTATTAAATACTGTAGTTTAAATTTTGATTGTAGTATGCTCCACCTGCGATGTGATAATGCGGGCTGAGACCCCACTAGCAAGGAGTATGATGCCAGTTACACCCGTCAACCATTCAGAAAATCATGATCAGTTCCTGGCGGGTACCTACAGTGGGTCTGCTATTCATTGCCTTCTTCCTATGCATGGGGCAACTAAGCTCTGGGCAGCCTTCGTAGGCCGGTCGTGGTGGGAAGAGCAGGGATCCATTTCTGCAGAACAACAGTCCACAAGTTGGGACCGGGTACTCGGGGCTTGATGGCGCCCAAAGCATCTCACTGCCTGCTTTGGCGTTGATCGTCGACATCTACTGGGTGGGACAAGGGCAGGTCTCTGGCAGGTGAACCGGAGATGGTTATAATCCCGGCCTTCAGGATTCTTCCCTTTGTTTCTATGCAGGTAAGATGGATCAAGCTCTGTAAGGCAACTAAAAAACTCAAGCTAAACTGCCATATTTATGCTATGTAATCCTTCAGAGTGTATTAAATGGTTAAACTTTAAATAGTCTAATGGGATGTGCTTTAGTGTCTATAGTTCTGGCCTTCAGGATTCTACCTGTCGTTTCTATGCAGGTAAGATGGATCAAGTTCTGCAAGGCAACTAAGAAACTCAAGCTAAACTCCATATTTATGCTATGTAATCCTTCACAGTGTATTAAACGGTTAAACTTTAAATAGTCTAATAGGATGTGATTCAGTGTCTATAATTCTGGCAAAATTACACTCAACACAATGTGATAGTACCAGTTGTATACCAATTTATAAACCAGCCTCCAGGCGATAGACTCTTTAATGGATCTTAATGACTATCAACAGAGGATGGGCATATAAACCTGTAAATATATGCAGATGTTTGTTCTAGCTTGAGGAACTGGAGTTGTCCAAAACAAATAATCACAAACAACTTCAGGAAACAAGCACCAAAGGAATTTTATTCACTGCTGCTTCCATTGTGCAGGTAGCTTGAGTTTCTTGCAAATAAATAACAGGGACAATGACCGCTATCATGCTCAAGTATCATCAGGTCAGTCAAAGCTGGCGCTGACCCTGCTTCTTCTTCTTCGTCCTGCTACGTTCACGATAGCCCCGTACTCGAAGTATGTCGTATCACAACCGATACGGATGGTAGATTTAGATGTATCAAGCCAGTCATTCCCATTCCCAAGGGCCGCTTGAATCCATTCTGGATCAGACGTGAGGTTCTTGATGCTCTCTAAGTTATAGACCCAATACTCCAACACGAGATCGCAGTCATTGACCTTCCAGCCAGGCCGCACCTCTGCCTGGAATGCCACGCCAACTTTAGGATCCATCTTTTGCTAATTGTCACATGGTGTCAGCGAGCTCTTCCTATCAAGAGGGTTGTCTCAAAATCACTCACAACTGCGTATTTCAAGATATTATGCTTCTTCATGATGGGAACCGCCCGAGGAAGAAACTGGTTAGTGAACCAATGCATGAAGGCTTCCTCAGATACACCATCTTTGCGGTGGAGTTCCGCTGTGTACTTGATAGCGCGGCCTATTTTCGTCTCCAGAGAACATGAGGTTACCTCATGCAGGGCCATCCTGACTGAGGGTGATTTGAAAAGCATGTCTCCCTTCTCACCTCACTGTAGTAGTCCGCGGTGATCTAGCAGGGTAGGTAATAAAAGACAATAGCGGGCAAGGCAGGCGGAGGGAGCGGAAACGCATATATAGGGAAAGGCCCTTTTCCAAAGGGTGCAGAGGCAGGCAGGTGGCATACACACACCCTCCTAGCTAGCTGAGATTTAGTTTACATTTCTTTGTGAACATATTGTGGGAATTGGCATGGTACTGCACCATGAAGAGTTTAATTCTGAGTACCCCAATGTTGGGTGGGCATGTTCATGTTCTTTGTTACATAGGTTATCACACTAGTGCTTACTCCGACCGTCTTAGGTGTGGGTCCTGCCTAGTCAAAGACTCAAAACCACATTACCCCATCCATTCTTTTTCAATGCATTGTAACATCTTGGTAATTTTTGTCTGACTGGCGGGGATTGATTCAAATTCTTTCCAATCTGCTCAACTATACCTGTAACATACGCTGCATGTCCTACGTCAAGGGAGATTAGAGGCAAGTTTCCCAGTCATGCATGTATGCAGAAGCCTGCACGCTGAGATAAAACACCAAGCTTAACAAACAAAGAACTTCCATCTAGCAGCATCTAGGCCCATGGATCCCTTCCATTCTATTCTATTATTAATCAAGCAGTATTATTAATCACCTGGCATATGATATGGTTGTTGTTTGTCGATATCCCTTCTATTGAACCAATCAAACTATAAAAGTCTAGACAAGCTCCTTATCGCATCCTACAGACACACACAATTCATCCTACTTAGTATCATTACTCAGTCACTCAACATGTCTGTTTACGTTGTCACCAGAGTGTCCAGGGGAATTAGGGTGAGTCTGCCTTCTACCGCGTGACGCACTTTCTTTATCTAATCCAGCCTATAGTTTGAGTTCCTCAAACAGCTCTCGGAAGACCAGAATAACCTGGTCGTCGGTCTGGTCCGCGACAAGGCTGGTACTAAGAAGAAGGTAGCAGCAGAGCTGGGCAACCGTCCAAATGTCCATATTGTCCATGCAGACCTTACCAAGTATGCCAGCCTGAAGCAAGCCGCTGCTGACACAGCTGAGATTGTTAGTGAGCGTGGCATTGACTACTTGGTGGCCAACAGAGCTTTGGTGTCTGAGTTGGACGCCTATGTACCCATTAGTGCATTGTAGGTCTACTTCCCTCTGGCTACTATCTAGGCTGGTCTGTGGCTAACACTATGTGCTTAACAGGAGCAATAAGCCTGAGGAGGTTGACACTGTTTCATCACAGCTATGGCAGACTAATATAGTTAGTAATATCCACCTCTTCCACCTCTTCCTCCCTCTTGTCATGAAGAGTAAGGTCAAGAAGGTCATTACCATTTCCACAGGTGTGGCCAATCTTGACTTAACCAATGATTTAGAGATTGATATTAGTGCTTTATACGCTGCCTCTAAGGCAGCTATGAACATCATTATGGCCAAGTTCAATGTACAATATAAGAAAGATGGTGTGCTCTTCATGAGTATCAGCCCAGGTTTGGTAGAGGTGGGCCACTATAAGGATGGTGTGTATCCCCTTCCTGCCTTCAAGATTACAATATCTGGATGTTTTATTAATGCATACCCACAGCTACTCCAGAAGAGATCCAGGGCCTGATGGGATTTATGGGCAAGCTTCAGACCTATGCACCTCACTTCAAGGGCCCAATCACCCCAGAGGAGTCCGTCAAACATGTCAGGGAAGTCTGGGAGAAGGCCAGCATTAAGGATGGGTCTGGTGGTGCTTTCGTGTCGCATTTTAGAAACAAGCAGTGGGTGTAAACTCGGTGTCCACTCCATCAATTAGACAGATACACTCATTGATATATGTGTAACACGTGCATCTATGTATACTCCATGATATAAGCATCAATATAATGGATTCCATTTGTCCATTGATGTGTGTGATCTGAGATGCGCATGGCAGGGCCATGTGCTGTTTCCGTACACCACAAGCCCATTTCCCACAAGCGCCTGCCCTGGGCGTGAAACCATGGATACAGTATTCAGAATATGAAAAAACACATAGCTAGAAAGTATTGTAGAACGCGATGGTACACCAGTACAAAGCCATCGTATCAAGCGACTGACTGTAAGACAAAATCCCAGAAGCAAACATAGTCAGAACGCAGCACTCAACAGTCAGTAGCTGTCACTAACATCATGGAGCTGGGCCTGGTTATCAAGCAGCGACAGGAGGAATTATTGGTCGATGCATACATCAAGAGCTTCGACCGAAATTAACTCTAGCACCTCTGGTGGAGTGGCTTGTCTCATTGATAACCATAGACAGAGTCAAGTGGTCGGTAGTCGTGGCCTGGGCTGCCCACCGAGTCATGATCATGACGGATACCTCCCATGCCCCCACGTCTCTGCCGCGTCCCGCAGATCGGACGGATCCTTCTGGAACGGTGCGGTGCCAACTGCCGAAGGATCTAGATACAGGGGGCACGAGTTTCCATCTACCTAATGACGTATACAATATTACGTGCGGGGTAACCAGAACCCTCGCCTGCAACAGATACAAGAGAGAAAAAAGAGGCCATTGGTGGAAATCACTAATTAAAGAACAATACACAAGAAACATGCTCATATTTATAAACTTGCCACTTTCAAGGAATCGACGTTACACTGCATAATACTAGCCGTGCATGCATAATGGATTTGGTTAGGGGCAGTACAGTACGGCAACCAGACGGCCCAGACCAAACCAAGTCCTTCCCATTGGCCACGCAGCCCACATGGCTCCGCTTCTTACGCAAGGTCTTCCGTGTTCCTCTTGATGCTTTGCTCCAAGCTGGTCCATCCGTCTCTGCCCATTTCGCGTAATAAGGCCTGGGCTCGCTTCCAAGGCACAATCTCACTCAAATCCTCCTCAGCCTGGAAGTTGGCGGGAAAGCTACGGCTCGGATAGAGTTTACAGAGGATGGCCAGAACACTGTCCCCATTCACGGGCTCGGCGAAGGCGAAGACACGCTCAAACTGAACACCAGGGTGAATGACGGCAGCGACGTGCAGTAAGGCGTCATCCTGCACATCAACAAAGTACTCTGGGATTTGGGTCAGTGCCTGTTATTCTCCTGTGTACATGAGTGGGACCTACGAGGTGTTATGCCGCCTAGGTAGTTGGTGTTTCCCTTGAAGAGCTCAGCAACGGTGGCTGAGGTGGAGGGGTGACCTTGGTTGGTGACATCGAGGCTCGCGCCAAAGTTGATGTTAGGTAGAATGGTGTTCAGAGTGAAACCAGGTTTCTTCTCATCCATGAACTTCCAAGCTTCTTTTTCCGACAAGGTCTTACTGGCAGCATAAACAGGCAATGCGCGCTCCGGCTCGTAGGGCGGGTCGCGATACGCCAACTCCACAGCCTCGTCGTTCCACGTATCGATGGTAACCTTCACGGGATTGTTAGGTTTTGGGATCAAGGCGGCAGAGGAAGAAGACGTGAGGACAAAGCGCTTCACGCTTGGCTCCTCCTGGGCGGCTGCTTCCAGCGCATTGATCGTTCCCGATATAGTCCCCGGGATCACGTTGTGAGGATTCGGGTCCAGGGAGAAGATAGTTGCTGTATGGACGACAGCCGAGACATCCTTGACAGCTTCGACAAAGGCGCCCTGTGCCACCATATCCGGCACAGCCACCAACTCGAAATTGCCTGGACCATACTTTTTGTTGAATAGGCTGCTGATCCAGGCATTCTTCTCGAGGCTACGCGTAGTACCGCGTACCTTGTAGCCCAACTTGAGAAACTGGTCTGCGATGTGAGATCCAATAAAGCCATTGACGCCCGTAACGAGCACCATCGAGCCTTTGGGAACGACAGGTTGTTCGATTGGGAGAGACATGGTGGTTACTGGCTGTAGGCTAGAAAGTGAGTCAAGTGCAGATGAACGGGATGTAAGTGTCAGAAGGACGGGATAGTTTAGTTAAATATAGATATAAGAGGTAGGTAAGTACAAAGGTACTTAGGTATATAAGGTTCTACCTCCAGTAAAGCCGGGAAATCCACTAGTAACCACATCACATCTAAGTCCTGCATATAAACAGAATTATTGCCCAAAATGCCCTAAGGTCACATTTCATCCACTAAGCCCATGTGAAAGCTGATGAATATAGTCTAATACCGAAGCACAGTTTAAATGTCCATATTATTCTTCACGTAAGTTATACCAGAAACAGTTATATTCCACGACTTTGGGATGCGATGTGACTCTAAATTGTATGACCCATTCCAGGATGCTTCAATTCGACATGCTATTTACGAAGATGATGTTCATGTTAACTGACTGAATGCTTCATGAATCTCTGGTGTACTCTGGATATGACTTCTCATACCTGAGGTTCATGGAGGGTTAGAGAGCCTCAGCATACACGTAAAAAAGTAGATATCATGGGATCATGGGTTTGCCTAGATGCTTACCCTAATACTCTCTCCGCGAACCAGGCAAGCCCACGGTGTACTGGAATGAGCAACCAGACCGGCATCTAATTCAGGAACGGCGGGCACAGGAGGGAGGATGTGTTTTCTGTGAACAGAATGATCTGGAGAACGGACGGCTTCAGGCCGGCCTTGAGGCAATCATTGAGGTAGCCTGAAAGGTTGCGCAGGAAGTTCACATCAAGGATATAGTCCTTATCCTTGCAGGGATCCAGCCAGACGGAGAAGACGAGAGTTTCTGTAGACGATTTATGAAACCAGAATCGATGGCTGCAAGTCCAGAGCGGCTTTTGTCAGTCAAAATGGCTCTCGAAGCAAATCTGTGGGACATCTTGTCTGCTGGTTTACAACTTACCGCGTGCCAGCGGGTATGTGGAAGACTCCATCATCTTTGGTGACGGTGTGTTCCACTCCATTCTTGACTATACCCAATACACCCTGCTCGACCTTGAAGTATTCGTCCTGTAAACGATGTATATGTCTGCCATAACAGCTAATCAGATTCGTTCCGTGACTATCATGATCTGATCTTTCTCACTTACAGTGGGGGTCCAGACAGTCCGGCACGAACAAGTGCGTTTTCTATATAATGCGTCTCTCTGACGACCCAAAGGCCATCAGCTTTTGAGAGAGGCTCATACAGCGCTGCATTACCGAGATGATTGAAGGACGGTTAGGAGTTGTTTCTGGTGCGTTGCTGCAGTCGCGGTGAGAGCCACCGTTGCCACGCTGACACCATTTTGAAAGTGATCAAAAAGAGGTGACAAATGAAACTGATGATAAGGCTACAAGCTAGCTATATGGTGGAGATAATTCTTGATGTTCAGTTACTTTCATAATGAGATCTGTGTTATATACGGCTTTTTTATACTTCATCCCCTGGCTTTTTACGTGCCCGTACCTAGTAAGTCTGCCCGAAGCTGCCTGGACGTCTGACCTGCTATTGCCGCTAAAACTTTCCCGCCCCCCCGGCGACCTCCCGCCAGCAGGAAGACTGCCTAGAGCTGAGAATTCTTCGGTGAAGTACATGCCTATCCTCCTTGACTGCTGAATAGGCCCATTAGACTAGGGTAAACTTTGGTACCAATTGATAAGCGTACGTCCAGTTTGAAAGATCCGGGCGCCACTATCATGTACCACTGGCTGGCGCATGCATTGACCTATTGCTGGAGCACAGATAGGCCAAGGAGATACTTGTCTTACAATGCTTTTTCGATCTTACCTGCATAATTTAATTACAAGTACACACTTACCTACCTACACACACCTGTTGGAACAGGCACCTGCATGTCTGTGACCCCTAATGACTGCCTCTGGTACCTGCATTGGACGACCTGAATACTGTAACTTTTGTACGCCGCGACAGCATGGTGAGGGGTTCTGAGGAAGTCAGCGATGGCCGGTTAGCAACGGCGATGATGAAGGCTTGGAATGCTTCATTGGCCTGTATACAAGGAAGCATGCCGACCGAGTGATTCGAGGCTCGGCATGGCTTCAAAACAACGCTAATAGAAGCGTAACTGTGACTCGTCTACCGACACATTATGTCTTCCTGTGCCTCGGGGGCCACTGCTTGCGAAGGTTGCACAATCCTCTGATTACCATGTGTCCTGTGTGTGGTTCTAGACCAGTCAGGGACGCTGTGTACCCCATCAACCCATCAAATCCTTTCCTCAGCAAGTCATGCAGGGGATAGTTGCCTGGGTGTGCTTTTTCAATCTTACCTGCATAATCATACATAAGTACGCACACACCCCCGTCTACCCGTCCACCCCACTCGTCAAGATATTAGCTGGGCTAGTGTTGTCCTCCAAACCTGCGCGTATTGGCTGCCGTCAATATTAGTCTACTGTTTGAGTCCACTAGCAACTCTGATACACCCACATGCACTCTATGCGCCGAATTGATTCGAAAATGGTAGAATATGTTGGCAATGTTCCCACTTTCCAACACCAGCGGGGATTAACCATTGACTGGTCCTTAACATCTTAGCTTAGTCCAAGGACGGTTTGTTTCGTGCAGCCTTGAATTCTCAGCATAATGTTATAGAAAAGTGTCAAGCAAGAAGTAGGGTAAATTTCTTTAAGCACGGTAATCTATATAATATTACGTAGTAGTACTGAGTACAGAAGACATCATCCTCCTCATAGTGATAGAGCACGTGAATCATACCAATTAATTTTCATTGCGAAGGGCAATATCCCCTGTTCATTACTCCGTACTACTATTATATTCCTGAGTCATGACCGTATTTAGTTATCCCTTTTTTGACAGGATTCGGATTAGGCGGGACACTATCTTAGTTTCCGACCTATTAATTACACTGTGGCGTATCAACGATTCAGATGATCAAATCCTATTTGCCGGGTCCAGCTGCTAGCCTGCTACCTTAGCATATAGGCGATTTCCGGCGATTTCCTACTAAGAAGGGGACATAAGCACCAGGCCATGATCCTAGTCAGCAGAGTTGCATGGGCTCAATAAACCTCCGATAATAATGGTAACGAATCTTCTGGAAGTGATGATAGCCTATTCTGTGCAACTAACACGTGTATTAAGGATACTAAATTGAATTAAGCAGTCGACCGACACCTATAGGAGTAAGTCCTTATGTTCTCTGCAGTTTTGAGTTTTGACAAGGCGAGGCTGTGGTGTCAATGACCACAGCAGCTTAAACTAAATCAAAAAGACACACCCCACTGTTCTACGGAACCAAGATACATCTTCTCCAGCTAATAAAATAACAACCCTGTTTTACAGTGCGGCACTCCTATCTAGAGCCTCCGGCACTTTTAGATGGCTACCCAACCATGAGCCTTACTGGAGTAGGTGTTCTATAAAGTAAGAGTTTATTTACACCATTCAAGCAATCCATGACCAATCAAGTATACTAGAGGCTCTGTTTGCTGAAAGTTACTCCGTGCTCTCCCGGCAATTAAATCTCTCCTTTCAGCGCCCACGGCTTTGCAGAATCTTCTTTTGGAATCCATTGCTGGGTTTACTTTCGGACTACTGTAGTCTACCCGTTGGATCCTTTCCTAAGCTAGTAGGTGGAACCATGCAGAGCAGCCTAGATAACAGCGGAGTGCGGCAAGGCGCCCTGTCTAAGGTGTTAGGGGCGAAAAAGGCGTGTCTAACAGAACAAATCGCCTGCCTGGAAAATGTATGTGGATGTGATAGCCTTATATCCCATTGATAAGCTCATATAATGCAATGTGACGCCAAATCCCTAGAAAGAGTAAGTCTATAGATATAATATTGCTGCTATGGGCTCAAGGATTCACCAGTTTTTATCTACCTTACACTACTGCTGTATACTTCGGCTATCCGCATATAACTAATCTGTACGACCATGCAGGAAGGGCAGATGACAATGGCGCCTACCTGTTGTGCCACATGTCAAGGTAGGTGGAGGACCTAGAAGGAAAGCAAGGACACCCCTAACCCAGCCAGGTGGTACCATCAGTTGCGATCGCGTAAGACCGCAAAAAGCATCTACAAGCTGCTCTCAATCCCGCCGGAAATACAAGAGGTACAGTCTCAGGCTCTCCTGGCCCCGTCCCAACAATCGTCAGCGTGCTGTCATCTGCAGGTTGGCTCCGCTGTCCCCGTCACGTCCCACCGCTGGCCAGATCTCTGATACACGGTTTGTCCACACGTCGAATTGGGATATTGAACTGCATCACAGCTTGACAAGCTCTGTTCCGGTGCGCAATCTCTCTTTACTCAGTGTCCCCATTTTCTGGAACCCATCTAAGCTGGAGGCTCTTGACCGAGACCTGTTAGAGTACTGTATGTTGTACAAATCTAGCATGGTTACCTACCGGCTAAATCAGGGCAGGGAGGGCTAACAGCTTCATGTACACCGCCTGTAGTTTGCTGTGTAGCATCCGCGTCCCTTGCTACCTTTGGCCACGATGCTACCGCCCTCGGGAACATCCTGGTTCGAATTGCCCTGCAGGGGAAGACAGCCACGTCTGCGGCAGTGCTGCAGGCGCTGCTGGCCTTTTCTTCGCTACATCGCTACGGCTTACAATCCCAAGCCCTGGAGCTGAAAATCACTGCGCTCGGAAGCCTGGCAAAAGGTTCAGCAGCGCCAAGTCTGTGTGCGCAAGCAACCATGCAGCATATTGCCGCGGGGATGCTTCTTTGTTCATTTGAGGTCCACCAGTCGCCTTGCACTTCAGACCAATGGACGTTTTACCTCAGCGGTGTCAAGACCATCCTCAACGCATCCTCTATCAAAACACTACGTCAGCTTTGCTCCGATGTGCCCGTCTTGCTGGACTAGGTGCACTACCACGATGTTCTCGCGCGTTTTTCCCTACTACACTGGAAAAGAGAAGGGGTCCCAGAGCTCCCATCGACTCCAACAGACCTCTTCTGTGCAGAGGTTCGTACACGACAAAGGCTACATGACTACATGAAGTGTTAGTCTGACATTTGTACATTTCAGGTATCCAATCTGCCGCCGCCTATTTTCTCCATGCTGAATCTGCTGTCCCAAGTATGCGATACAGTATCCAGCGGCGCAATTCCACCAGAAACCAGTGACAACATGGATGACTACAAATGCTTCCTAGAAATACTGGATTGGAGAATCAGGCGCCTATCGATCCCAAAAGTCCCGGACGATGACGATCCTGTTTCAGAGGATGCGAAGTTGGCAATGCAACTATACCAGCTCGCTATACTATTGTTTCTCAACCGAAGTTTCGAAGGCCTGATCTTGCAGCCCATCAGAACACAGCAGCACATCAACAGAGCCTTCGCTATTCTCCCCCGGCTGAGCTCCTGTAAACAGCAATTTCCCATTTTCATCATTAGCTGTGAGGCGCGAACAGATGAGCAGCGGGCCATCGTCCTCAATGTCATCTCCAGGACGGAGAAGATGAGCTCATCGCGATCTTTGGACTATTGTAAGAGAATATTACAGGCTGTCTAGGCCCAGGATAACCTTGCCAATGGGGATAACATTAGCTATCGCGATAAGTTGACTTCGGTAATGAGTCATTGTCCGATAGTTCCTAGTTTTGTATAACTCGTCACATTATATAGTATATAGAGCTTACTACGACAACGCCTCCAGTGGATAGATATAGAACAGATACTTTACACCACAGTCGGTTCTAAATGATACTACCGTAGTTTACGTGTACCCATTTGGCGGGTGGCGGGGCGAGGGGGGCTTCTAATTCTAGAGAGTCTGCAGGAGCCTGAACACGGGATAAGCAGAATGGACTTCCTTGAAACCAACAATATGCCAAGCGAATCGTCTCTCAGAATGAGTGGACCTGCAGGGTAAGCCAAATATTTAAACTCCTGGCACCCCCATAACCTTTCCAAGGCGCCTAAGGAATAATAGAGACCATCACCTTCATTTCCAACATAGCAGATACATGTAATTCACAGCCCGTGTTCTCTATTCTCATTATGGGCTGCGGTCTTAGTGGACTTGCTTCAGCACTGGCCCTTGCTCAAGCTGGTCACCGTGTGACAGTTTTTGAGCGTAGTGTTAAACTACAAGAAGTAACCTCATGGTTTCTGCAAATACCATTTCAAGCTTTTCTAACGCAGCCTAACAGATCGGTGCCGGAATACAGTTAGCCCCCAATGCGACGCGCCTGCTTCAACACTGGGGCGTCTTCGAGGAGGTCTTTAAGTATGCTGACCGACCAGAGGCCGGGACTTTTCACTCCTATCAAGGAGATGTGCTCTCGCAGTCACCGCCTATATCTCATCCAAACCTGGTGAGCGAGGCCCCTTATCTCATAATCCATCATGCCAACCTCCTGAGAGCCTTGCTGTCGGGAACAGGGAAGCTTGGGATAGAGATCAAACTGGGCAGTGAAGTCAAAGAGATCAATTTCAACAAGCCCTCTCTACGCCTTGCCACTGGCGAGATCTATAAAGCAGACCTGATCCTTGGTGCGGACAGGGAGAGGTCCCGTTGCGGAGGTAGGCTGTTGGGCCGTGAGGACCCTCCTTACAGTCCTAGCAATGTCGTATACCAGATCTCTGTCCCTACAAAAGACATAACGGAAGACCATCTAGCTTGGGACCTAAAAAGACGATCCAGCGTCAACTTTTGGATGGGGTCGGGCGGCCACGTGGTCACGTACCCCATCCAGCACGATATGCTCAACGTAGTTCTGGTATACACTGAGGGTGCAGGCGGCAACGTTATGTACGGGCCACAACGAGCAGACATAGAAGAGTTCAGGAGCAAGATCTCGGACTGGGACCCGGTACTTCATGAGCTGATCAACGTGAAAGGGTCTGTTTGCACTAAGTAGACTTTGTTCCGGATCCATGAACCAGTCCAATGGCGCCATGAGAATGGACGTTTCATATTGATTGGGGATGCTGCTCACGCGATATTACCGTGCCTGTGAGTGTTGAATCCTATAGTCTCTATATCCATTCCGAAAGTAGCTAACCCTTCTTCAGAGCACAGGGTGCCGCACAGGCCTTTAAGGATGCAGGCGTCCTGGGAGCGATATTCAGCCAGTCAGTGGGGCGGGACCAAATCCCCAATGCTCTTCGGGTGTTTGAGCAGGTTCGCAAGCCACAAGCTTCGGAGGTCCGACGTCACACATTGGACCAGAAAGCCATGTTTGCCCTTGCAGATAGCCCGGAGCAGGAGGAGCGCGATGCAAAACTTCGTGCGGGTGCGGACTATGGACTGTTTAAGTGGCTCTGGGGGTATGATGCCGCCAAAAGTGGCAGAGAGGCGTGGAAACAGTTTTTAACTGAGAGCCATGAAAATGGAATTAAACCCCGTCATGGTATTTAAGGGACATGATAGTCATTTCTCCCGTTCTATTTTTTAATACACTTGAAAATGTTATAATCCAACAGTGCATCTAAAACATAGAGCATGTCCCAGCGTACGAAAAGTTGGCAGCAGGTGACCCACTTATCCATAACAAACAGGAGCACACTGCCTTTGGTACTCTACAGGAGGTGATGAGACGGCATTTGGGGACATAATGATTCTATTAGAGAGCCATCTATGCACAGTGGTAGAAGGTTGAACTTCAAGGGCCTCCGAAAGGCGGTGGTCATAATCGCGCTGTGAAGGCATGTGGCAACCCCCATTTTGTGAGTCCCAGAGGCATTGGGTATACTTTCCTTTTGAATCCATGTATCTTTAAGAGTTGCATATGTCGCGTGCTCTGTTTCTACCAGGTGGGAAACCCTGGTATCGCATCAAAGTTCAACCCAGAAAGCAACGTAACCCTCATGCATTAGCTTCTTCAACTGCAGCAAGCGAGGCTCTTATTAGCAAGATAGAATATGCATTTATACAACAACCGAGGTCTTCAGTACAACGATATCACTTATAGAGATTTACACATTTATGCCGAGGTGTTTGGCTGCGTCACCCCTATTCTTTCTAGCTGGCCACTCCACTGTCACGCCGGTCTTGATTAGAAGTCTAGTAAATCACAATAAATATTTCTCTATCCCCTGTATATACAAATAGTGTGACTCCCTCATCCTTCGTGTATCAATACCTCAGTAACATGATGATAGCGGTGTTGTGTTTCTGGTGTAGATTCGTCAAATTACAACAGGAGTGTTTTATATGTGTTCCATTCATAGTTCATTACGCCACCACATCTTGGAAACCACATCGTACAAGCGTCCCAACCTGATGGACTCGTAGACCCGCGTGTTATAAAGCCCCATGCTCGGAGTGACACCGTCCAGCATCGCGGCCTCAGTGGAAGCCAGGTGCGCCTCGCCCAGGAACAGGATGCCAAGATCCCTCTAAATGAAACAGTACATGCGCCGCGAGGCCTGGCCGATGTACAGCGTCGCGTCAGGCAGGGCGTCGTCATTCCGGCCCTCAATCTCTATGGTGCGAAGGTCGAGGGCTTGACACACCGCCAGAAGGTGCGCCGAGGCGATCTGGGACAGCACGTCCACGGCCTCGAGCGTGTACCGTGCCGACACGAGCGCCAGGGAGTTGAGGGCCTGGTTGCCCATCTCAGCCGTCTGGACGTGCGACCCGACGGGGTTGGCCAGGAAGCCCAGCTCCGAAGTCAGGGCGGCAATGACGACATCAAGCCCCTTGAACAGGAACGAGTCGTTGGCGTCGTCGGAGCACAGATTGGAAGGCAGGCCCCAGCTGGTAGCCGGGTTGATCATCTCAGTGCACTGGGTGAAGAGCATGCAGCCGATACTCTGGAGGCCCTGGCGCAGCTTCTCGGCCGCCGACGTGACGGCGCGCGCCTGAAAGTTACCACCATGGAGCACGCGGCCCGTCTCCGTGTCAACCAGCGGGTTGTCCGTCACCGAGTTGAGCTCGACCGTCAGCTGGTCATACACCAAGCCAAAGTCCTCCAGCACGGGGCCGATCCACTGGCTGGCCGTGCGCAGCAAGTAGCAATCTTGACGCAGTGTCGCCACCTTCCGGCTGTCGTGCCGGTTGAGCAGCTGTGACCCGGTCAAGAACGCCTTGATGTTCCGCGCGCTGTCCACCTGCCCGGGGTGCGGCCGCACCCGCGCGATGAAGGGCTCGAAGCTCTCATCGCTGCCCCGTAGGGCCTCCACACTCATGGCCGTCAGCACCTGCGACAGCGCCGCGAGATGGAGGGACTCATGCGCCGCAAGAGCCGCCACCCCGGCCAACACGGCCGTGCCGTTGACGATGGCGAGGCCCTCCTTGGCGTGCAGGCTGATGGGCGCTATGCCAGCTTCCGACAGGGCAACATCAGCCCTCATCACTCTTCTAGCTCCCTCGACATCTCGTGAGCCGCTAAAGGCCGTAGCGGATGGCTTGCCTTGCATCAGGGCGCCGATCCACACGAGCGCGCTGAGGTCTCCCGAGGCCGAGATGCTCCCACGGACGGGGATACGCGGTACAACGTCCTTGTTCAGAAGGTTCATCAGAGATTCCGCGATCTCAAGCCGGATGCCCGACGCACCGCCGGCTAGGGTGTTCAGGCGGATAAGCATGGATGCCCTCGCCCACGACTCCAGCATTATCCTAGTCCGGTACGTACATCGCATCCCCTGCAGCTTTCCGAGGATTTACGGAGTACTAATGAGGTTGATGCCATAGGACCTTGCGTGGGTTGGATGGAAGAACTCCGGGTTGGGATGTACGCTGCAGGTAGCGGCGAGCGGGTCGTTAAGCGGAAGCGAACTTCGCACCAGCGCGCGTTGTTGATTTTGTTGTCCATTCAATTTGCCATTGTCGGTGCCGTTGCTTTGGCTTGAATGGCCATTGCTTTGGCTTGAATGGCCATTGCTTTGGCTTGAATGCCCGTTGCTTTGGCTCGAATGCCCATTACTTTGGATTGAATACCATTGCTAGTCAGAGCCAGCTCCTGCTTGCCATCCGCGACGATTCCGCACGTCAGGTGACTAATCAGGCTCTGCTGGACCCTCTCAACATCATTGGATCTTGCATCAGCGCTGCCGCCGAACCCGGTGTTGACGCCGTAGATGACTTCGCCCTGGGCGATCTTCTCCGGGACGATTTTGCTGCACGCTTCGATGGCGTCAATAGACGCTGGGGTGAGCTCCACATGTGCTAGGTGTCTCGAGACTGCCACTACATCAGAGATGGTCAGGTCCCTTCCACTAACAGCCAGCGTCGATGAAGGATGGCACCGCTGCGATAGGACTAAATCTGTGAACATGCGTGCTAGAGTGGCCATGTTGATCCAGAAGCAGGCGCGCAGTCAGAAATCAAAGAATAAAGAGGTATGGATGAAAGCACTTTCCCACTTGAAGGGAGCAATTCGTGGTTCTTATAGAAAAACCTCAACTGTCCAGAAGTGCCTGCCATCCCTATCAACGTCAGTGAGCGTACCCAGGCAACCAAGGCAGCTAGGGTAAGATTCCTCCTACATCGCACGCTGCAGCCAGGAAGTACACGAGTCTCTGGAGGCATACCCATTGGACATCCACCCACACAATATCCCAATACAGGGGATTCCTGTATTTCATCCATTACTCACTTGTATAAAACACGATAAGTGTGCAACGGTCGTTATCAAACACTATACCGATGGTTTACACGAATAGCTCACAAAGTACTTGATGGGTATTGTAGATACATACCACATTCTGCAGGTGAGGTAAACTTTATGCAGGTGAGATGAAACATGCATCGCAGGGTAATTATGAATCCCAGTTCTCGTCCTTAATGCGCGAGCTTATGGAACGGATAGGTTCAACTGTGTTGGATTATATTAGTGCTTACTGATTTTAGATATGATCTAATTTAACTCAGCACTGCCACCCCTGGCAGAATATTCAATTACATTCGATTGATATACATAACCAATTCGAATACCTTCATATCGAAGATAGAAAGGGGAGTAGATAGTCGTTTGTTTAGAAGAATCAGACCTTCATTGGATCTCCATCTGCCAATTCAGAAACTTTTACTAGTGGACCTTATTCCAACAAACTGGATAAGGAAAAGGGAAGCCCCACTAATCAGGTTGTGGTCCTAAAGGACACGTGGTGGCCTACGGCAATCCAGCGTGGACATAGTGCATATTCAGAAATCTATTTACGTTTTTTCGGTTTTGTTCCAATGCCTTACGGCTCCACAGGGAAGACTGTTTTAGTGGCCTCTACCGTCCATGCAGCCAATGAGTGGATCAGATAGTACCTCCGATAACCCGTGTACAAAGGAATATGCATGTGGTACGCCAAGCGAGATTTGAGGTAACTATCAGTATATAGCATTATCCATTAGAAGCCGCTGGGAAGGATGGACTTAGGAAGCAAGCCAACTACGTCAAGGCTGCCCAGAGCCAAGATTCTTAGTTGCCCTGCGGTGCTTGTCCAGTCTCACCTGCATAATGTAAGTCAGCTATACGCTTACGGAAGTTCCTGCCCGAACATAAGCTCCCACACTGAAGAGGGTAATAATCTTCGCTTTGCCGACGGCGGACCCTCTCCCACTCGAGCGATATCATGCGAGAACGACATCTAGGATTTCTTTCTTCTCAATACCCCGAAAAGCAGCAGAACTACCAACTCCATCTTATCTCCTAACCGTCGACTGCCAACATGTACCCAATCAAAAGCTCGTACTACCCCTATTTAGGTCTGTTTCTCTTTCTATGCAGCAGCTGCGTAGCGCTCGTTCAGTTCTTCAAACCTACCGACTTGAAATGGTCGCCTGGCACAAAGAGATGGGGAATGCCACCAGGGCCACCAGGCGTACCGGTCTTGGGAAACTTGCACCAGATGATGGAAGCCCGCCGTCGCGGAGCCCTTTCATTCAATAAGTGGGTGAGTCTCAGACCTGTCGAACAGGAGAATGCGCGTTGATCTAACCATCCGGCAGCTGGCCTCCTTGATACCGTACGGTGAAATGGTGACACTGCACATGGGATCCAAGACGTGGGTTGTGCTCAACTCGGACCGCGTCGTCTCAGAAATCATCGCCAAGCGAGGGAAGATTACCAACGAGAGACCCCATATGCCGGTCGCGAGTGGTCTTGTGAGCAACGGAAAGCGCACAGTGATACGGCAAGAAGAAGAATGGCAAGAGGGACGCCGTGTGATGCATCAGTTGCTCAGCGGCTCGAATCTCAAAGTCTACGCCGGCATGCAGGAGCTCGAGAGTGTGGACATGCTGCGCCGATATCTTCGGGAGCCCAATCTGTGGTATGCTCACAACTATCGCTATGCCACATCCGTGCTTTACATGATCGTTATGGGCTACCCCCTGAACAAGACCAAAGCAGAGCTCGACGACTATCAGAGGGTAACAATCAAGTTTGTCATGAGCATCAACCGGAGCTACGTGGATTTCTTCCCTTCGCTCAGCAAGCTCCCTCATTTCCTACAGCCTTGGCGGCGTTTCTGGGCTGAGATGGGCTCGTTCCACCGCCGTGTCTTCCAGGAATGGTGGAAGCCCATCAAAACCGCCGTGAGTAACGGCTCGGCGCCGCCCTCATTCGTCCGCGACGTTCTTCTTCATCCAGATATGAGGTACGCTGGAGACGATGAAGAGGCCATGTACCTAGCTACGTCTGTTATGGCAGCCGGCGGAGACAACACACGCATGACGATTAACGTGTTTATAATGGCCATGGCCACGCGCCCCGAAGCCCAGGCACAGGCACGTGAGGAAATTGATCAAGTGTGCACGGATGGTGAATCGCTCAGGCTTCCCCGGATGTCTGATCTGCCGGCAATGCCCTACGTAGCTGCTATGATCAAAGAGGTTCTACGCTGGCGACCAACTGTCCCCATTGTTCCACCCCACCAACTCACCGAGGACCTGGAGTTTGACGGGTACTTCATCCCTGCCGGCACATCCTTCCTGATCAACTCAATCGGGTTGTCGAGCGAGTTTGACAATGCCAATGAATTTCAGCCCGAGAGATGGATTGCCGGTTCAGGAGTCAATAAGATACCCAACTTCTAGGGATTTGGAGGCGGCCGTCGAATCTGCGTCGGCTGGAAAGTTGCGGAGCAAGCTCTGTTCATTGCGTTTGCCCGTTTGCTTTATTGTTTCAAATTGAGTCCGGTGGGTTCACGTTTGCCTTCTATTCCTCATCTTGGTTCAGAATGATGAGTCACTAACATATGGGACGTCTAGAACGGGCCTATTAACGATGAGAGACTCAACCACCAATCCCTCAATGAGCCATTCCCTGTGAAGGCCACCGTTCGCAGTGCCAGACACGCATCACTTATCGAGGAGGAAGCATCCAAGTACGAAGCTTCATTCTCTACATTTGGAGCCAACTGAGCCCTTTTCAGCGGGACTCAGCGATGCACATCAGAAGGTCTGGCAAACAGAAAAGATAGAGGACCCGAAAGCTTGGATTAGCCGTTGGAATATGACAAGCAACAGCCTTACAAGGCCCCTGATCACATACTTTCACATCACATATGTCACCGTGCCTAATATGCGTGCTTTTTAGGGAAACTATACTATATAGTTTCCGGTGCTACGAAGATGTTTATCCTGAAAATAGATAGCTGTGGTGAAGACCATATTTATTGTTCCCATGGGCTTCAAGATAATGTGGCTGCTTGTTGTTACTGCTAAGATAATGATGTTGTGATTTACCTCCGCTTGTAAAAAGGACTTTGAATGCAGTAGGAAAAGCATAGACTCGAAAGCTGGGAAATTCAACTTTACAGTTCAACCATTCTCAGAGCCACAATGCATCCATTCCAACAGCCTCAGGGACCGAGCTGTCACTCGCCCACCTTGCAGCCTCCGCACAGATCCTCAGAGTGCGGTGGCTCTTTCGCGTGTTGAAGGACCTCAACGCCTGCCCATTTCTTAAGCAAGTACGCGACACGTTCGACATATGCAGTCTCGTCTAGATAGATGGTGCTGAGGTCTTCGCACTTGTGGCAGCGCTGATTCTTTCCATTGTATAATCTTTGACTCATCTTTGCGTTTCCCAAAGGGCGTGCGTCGATTCCCTCCTATGTTTGGTGCGCTGGCGACACAAGAACCACATCACAGAGGAATACTTGACAGTCTGTATTGTCTTCAATCGTTCCAAGCATAGCTTACTCAAGCCAAAGTATCAGTGGAGAACATCTTTATCTTTCGCCTTAGCAAGCATTAATTCAGCAACTCAGCCTATGACTCTTTTTAGTCTGTCGTGTCTTTCCTGACTTGCATTGGCGTATGGGATTCTCCATACGAGATCCACCGCCTTGCTTTCATGGGGATGGCTTTTTTTCCCAGCCGGGAATTGAGGCTTGTCTTATTAACGCCGTTAAAAGCTCCTTTTAAGGTCAAACGTGATGAGCATGATAACTTTGGATCGCAGCCATGCTCAGTCGATTGTGTTTGATAGCACCAATAGTGCTTGCTCTATGTTGCGACCCAGTCTCCCCCCAGATTATGCGACTGAGAGGAGCCAGTTATTCTTAGCCCAGAATGACAACCTCTGGGTCATGAAGGCCACTAGTATTTTCCCTAGGTGTTCAGCAGCGAGATGGGCCGGTACGCCCGCGTACTGTGTAATCTGGCTTGCCCAGCTTCCGCAGCACCACAATCCATGCCCGCTTCCACCGGTCTGGATGGTAGCCTAGTTCTACTGACTTCCTAAATATTTAAGTGACCACTGTCCGAAGGTGTGTCCATAGATACTTCCAGACTAAGGTTGGGATCCCGTCATCTCCGGGGGCAGTGGTCCAAGACACAACTGCACAGCCAAGTCTGCCCAGGGCTAAGCCTTAATGAGTTCTTGTAACTGATGTAAGCAAGCTTCACCAGGCCTGCCTGTTCAGGCCAGTGCCCTGGTTTTTAGCTTGCTCACCTCTCAGTGAATGGCCTCTGGACATTGAGGCTCTGGCAAAAACCTCTCACTCCAGGTGTCTCCAGGTTTGCTCCTTAACCATGCATCATCGGCATCTCAGCTAGATCGACATCATATCTGTCGCCCAGCCGCAGGTCCTCAGTGCGAGTGAGATTGTGAAGACCACCAGAGGGAAGCTCTACTAGGATGACACCACTTTGACTGTTCAACTTCAGGTCCTCACTGTGAGTGGGGTAGCTGATTCTGTTTCTTTGCACACTGACAACACACGCATCCGTCCTCTTAGGTCACATAGACAGTCTCATTCAAGCCCCTTCATCAGGGTAGGGTTTATTAAAATATAAGAATAAACCCCGCCGGGCTCGACTTTATTTTCTTTTTTCCCCGATTTTACGCCAACCCACTTTTGGACCCCAACTACTGTTCTGACCCTCCAGTATAGCTTTGATGATTATCAAGTCAATCAGTTTCATTAACAGTTGCTCCTTGAGCTTAAGTCACTAATATCTTTTGAGAGTTCCATTGAGAGTCAGGCTGCAAATGAAGGACAAAAGAAGGATAGCTTTTATGATATAGTCATCTTTTCCCATGTCAACTCAAAATTAAGCTGATTCAAATACTGCCATCAAAGTTCATTTTGGATGAGCAGACGTTCAGTCGATGAGGCTCGGTCAACGGCCAGCGTATTGATCCAAACGGCCAGGCGCAGGGCGGCCTTCAAAATTTGTTCTTCAACAATTGGCGCGGCCTTCTCATAATATTGGTCTCCAAGGTCGTGGTCCTCTAGCCATGGAATACCTTTTTTAAGCACAAAATCACAGACTAGCCGGTTTGTCTCTGCTGCCCATGGAACAACGCATTCCAGAGGATTCTGGATATTGGAACACTCATTGGCCATCGGCCGAAGTCTGTTTCTTTCGTAGAGTCGGTCTGCCCAATGAGCCGATGCTTCCCTCTCATCATTATGCTTTAGGTTATGCTTTATGCCGTTTATCTTGTGCGGGATGGCGGTATCCCAAACTGCGTGTAGATTTTGTCTGCTGCAGCGATGGTCGAAGCAGACTAATATATTATTCCCACCTTTTTCTTTAGCTTCCACATGTAATGGCTGATGTATATCACCAAAGAAGTGAATTAGAAACATCAGGGCCTCCTTCTGCTCAGTTTCATCCATAGTTGGGTCATTAACTCGATGTGTCTATGCTCGGCTACTGTGTTAGTTTCAGAGAAAAATCCCCTAATGCATAACGGTGAAGATCAGAGAGCCTTACCATATTTTTCATGGCCGAAACTATGCATCCATGTTTGCTGCAATCCCTTTCATAAGTGACCAAACATGAGTTTGGAGGTTCATCGTTTGCGTCTAAAATGCAGTCAAAATCTATGGCTAGTACAATTTCTAAATGAAAACTCACCAATATAGTGCCAAGGCCTTGTAAATGGACGTTCCCGCTTGATAACATCTGCAAAGGTTGCAGCATCAGAAATATCATACCCCTTGTCATTGGCAAGGAGCTTAGTGACAAGATCGGAACCTTGGTTAGTAAGATACTTCTCTGTTAGATAGGCAACCGCACGGTGTCCAACATCTCCCCAGCTAATAACTAGTTGAGACATAGAAAAGAGCAAAGTGATCAGAAGCAAAGAGTGCATTTTGATACTGTGAACAGAAAACCCTATCCTATATGTCAGGACAAAGATCAAGAGATAATTGTGAAATGGTATTTCTTTAAAGGGTTCTGGCCTGTGTGGTCTCCATAGGAATAAGGGAACATTATAAAGATAAATGAGCATACCTAATAATGCTAATCAACCTTACATGGGAGTTACACTAAGACGGGCGACATCATGCAAGTTTCTTCATTTAACTTCACAGGGTCACCTTGAATCATACAACATCCGGATATCTCATGGAAGTCTCAACCATCCAGTCAAGTTCACCATCATTTTAAATGCCAACGCACTCTAAATGGCCGACCCATTATAAACTGAATCTCCAATTTGCTGTGGAATGGTACAGTTGCTTTCTGTGGCGCTCTTATCATCCCTTTTTTTCTGGTATGATCATGTAGATCTGGTTCAAGTCTAGAACCGCACTTCCCCCGTTTGCGGCTAACAGGAGAAATAGTTTGATTTAAGCTTTAACTCATGAGGTAATGTGTACAACATGAGCTCGTTATTTTTCTCTATTTTTCCAAACTTAACTTTTCATTTTCCCTTTTTCCCATTCATCCTCCCTTAATTAAAGCATTCAATGGTCGCAGGTTCAGAAAGCTTTGACCTTGGCTTTTAAGGACAAGCGGAAGTTAGGTATTAAGGTCCTTGGCAGTTGATTACGCAGATAGCGCAAATTTGGTTCCCATCCAAATAGTAGCAGCTAAGCTAGAGTATTCAGCTAATAAGCAGCTGCTTTTGATACACAGAAAAATTTAGACATGCATGTGTCAAATATGACCAAGGTAAACCCCTCACAGCTTAGGTTCTGCAGAATTTCATCAATACCAAGTATACTGAAGTAATTTGATGAAATCCCTGAGCGGATGTTAGGAAGGAATATGCAGTGTTGAGTGCTGACTGTGCTCACTCACCTTTCACCTTTGATTTAGACTCGGCTGAATTGAGCCGTGAGTCAGATTGTGATATGCGAGGGAAAAGGCCAAGTATGGAGATTCCAAAGATGGTCTACTATCAGCAAGTGATTGGGGCAAGCTAGGTGATTGATATCTGGGAAGCAAGCTGAAGGCCTACTAGATGGCTCTTCTGGAACTGGTCAGTGTCTGGAATATGGGCGCTGCCCCCCTGTTCTGGCCACTACACCAGCCCCTCCTCCGCCCAGACATCTAACTGGGTCAGTAAGTGTAGAGTTCTTCTAGCTTCTTGAAGATTTGGATCCTTATGAGGACTATGGTTCTGGAGCGCAAGCATATGTTGGAAGTGTGGCGTGCTATGGCCGTTTTCAGTAACTAAATCGGTCAGAGGTGATACTATATTGCATGGGAATATAAGGGTTATTACCGCCACGGGTTGGCATATCCATAACCAGAGAAGTTTATTTTACTGTGTTATCATGGAGTATGCCGTAATCTTAATTGCGACTGGGAAATTGTTCTTCGCCTACCTTTTAAGTCAAGGAAAATCACAACAAACGACCGGAAGTATGTTTGTGATATACAGACTTGACATTACAGTAGGGCAGAGCGTAGTGTGATCTAGAGGAAAATACAGTTCTGCTTGGCCCAACTTCTTGAGAACTCCAGACTTCTAATTGTTCTTATTCTTTTTTTCACTGGCTGGGGAAATCAACAAATCAAAAGCAACAAGCTGTGACCGAGAGTGCAGTAGCAGGTAAGGGCTCTTCCCCAATTCAGACCTCTCGGTGGGATAATCTGGACCCTGGCGACGAGCGGCTGGCGTATCTGAAAGAGCTGGGAATGCTCTTCAGCTATTGGAACCATCCCAAGGTGTGGCAGTCGTTCTGTGACAGCTACAATGGGATGCGCGACGTGCTGCTTCAGTTTGACAACTGGTACACTGCCAACTGGGGGCCGAGCGATCTAGTTGGGGAGTGGAAGAAGTTCAACCAGCTCGAACTGAAGTGGATTGTCGAGAAAGGGAAGGCATCGGCGCAATATCTCAAGGAGAGTTGTAAGCCGGTGGCGGGCTTCTGGGGGTGGGGGTGGACGCTCAAATGGCAGGGACTGTTCACCTATTTCCTGGGGAACCTCCTGTATCAGTTTGGCATAATCAAGCTGGATCAGACCTGCGTGAATCTCCAGTAGCCAGTGACGAGTCCTGGAAGGGTCATTAAGTCAGCTCATCTAGATCTAGCAGAGAGACATATACATCCTGGTTGTCTCCCCACTGTACATAGCTTATACATTCACAGCATGGGGAGAAACTGTACAAAGTGTAATTATCCGAGGACCGCCTAATTCTCACTGTTGAAACCTCATCGGGGGGTTGAATTCGTAAAGGACAAGGAGGAGGATTGGGGAAAAGTTACCAGTTGGTGGGGTCGCTAATAACGTCATTGCCGCTCAACATATATAAAGGCGCAGTCCACCCACTGCCTCTCTTTCTCTCTCTCTCTCTCTCTCTTTTTTTATGTTTCTTTTTATTATAGATTCAAGTCGCCGTCATGGGCGCCAGCTGGTCATCAGACCGCCCTGAGGAGCCCTCATCCTCAGCTGCTGATCTAGAACAGCCCCCCGATCCACCCAGCCAGTCCAAATACCCTCGCTGTTACGGGGATGTGGTCCCTTTGGTCTGTACGACCGCCCAGAGGACTTTTACGACGAGCTGTATGAACAAATGTACTTTGTGCAGCATGCCAACCAAGACTGCATCGTGGCCTTTCAACGATGCGAGAAAGAAAATCCCCGTGTCGAGCCCGAGGAGTGGTTTATCATTGCTGAGCGAATCCCCCGGGTATATGAATATCTGGCACATAGCACCAATACACCGAATGTGGATGTAGACCAACCGATTGATCTTCACCCCCACATCGTCAAGTGAGTAAACCCTCCCTGCCTGCTTGTCTCTTGCAATCGCCGCTAGAACACCGCAATTCTGCGTGGTGGGAGTAGATATCTTGGCCGTCTCCCTGTGGGATATCTGCTGGAGAAGCTGGACACTGGCCCACTCGGCGCTACGACTCTGCCGCTTCTGACCACCTTTCCTGCGTCGCGCACGTCTTCCGATGACAAGGACTTCCCTGATAATGGAGATAGAGAGCCCCTCCTCCTGCTGTACTATCGCTGGGCACTGCAATCGGTCGCCATGCTAGCCTTCCTGCATGAACATGGGGTCTACCTAATGGATTTCAGCTCGAGCACGATATGGATACGCGATGATCTCTCGATTGCACTATCAGGATTTGTAAACGCAACCATCCCGATAGATGAATGGCCCTACTCTCCCGACGGGACGAGATACGAAACAGAGATCTACTACCTAACCAGTCCTGACAGTGGGCACCCAGAGCTCAGTCCGAAGATCGATCTCTCGGATTGGGCGACCTTTGTCTAGTAATTGATGTGAAAGGATGCATCTAGTTATGGAGTGAAGAGGTGGGTAATACCTACTGATCCATTGGATCTGATGGAGATGCCCGGGGAGGTGAATGCATAGGAGTACTATAAGTAATGGCTGAAGGAGGGCAAGCTACAGCTTATAGAAGAGGAATGATTAGGTCTGATGCTGGTTAAGGCCTGGAAGGGGGAATATAAAAATACTTAGGAGATCCTGCAAGAGGTATAATTATATCTCTAGTAAATTAGGGTTTGGGTGGATAAAGAGGATGAGGTCCTTCTGGATGATGGGTGAAAGTGGGAGGATGTATTCATAGTAGTCCAGATAGATAGTGCCCGCTGGGGTTGGGAGATTAGATATAAATAATATCTATAGATCCATTACTTGAATACCTAGCTAAATATTCTAGCATTCTTTTAAAGTTTATCATAGACCACTGTCTATATAGGGAGTCATGGGTTTGGGTCCCCACCATAACCATAGCTAATCTTAATAAAACCTACACTATTTAATAGAGCTTAAAGAGTGTAATCTAATAATAGTCCTATTACTAAAAATTATTAAGGTTTAGTAGAGTTATTTAGAGTAAAAGAAATATAATAGAAATTTAAAAGTAGTTAGTCTTCTAAAGTATACTAACTACTTTTAAATTTCTATTATATTTCTAGTTAAGAGTTATAGAATAAAGATATAAAGATAATAAATATATTAAAAAATAGAGAATAATTAGCTAATAAGAATGGTATATATTTCATAAGGATTTAATAACTAGTAGTAGAGTAATCTATATTAGATAGTTATTATTAAGAAATAGCTTAAAAATTAATAGTAAACTATTAATTAGCTATTATACTTATAGCTTACCTAATCTTAATCTAAGTAAATATAACTAGAATAAGCTTAAGAAGATAGCTAATTAGCTAGACCTAGATATATAGAAATATTAAGGACTATCTAGAGAGGTAAGAGATTACTCTAATAGCTATATTATATATATATAGATAGTATTAGGGCAGGAGAATTATAATAGATAATTTTAAATTTCTAATAATACTATAGTAACTACACTAAATAGATAAAGTAATTAACTAATAAAGTAATTTATAGTTCTATATTAAAAAGTTTCCACCCCCCTACTAAAATTAAATATATATATTTCTCTTAAAAGAATTAATTCTTCTACCTTAGCATCTAACCACTCATAAAATTATATATAAAAAGATAATTCTGTAGAAAAATAATTATAGATTTTAAAAAATATAGATTTCTAACCTAATATTTAGTATACCATCTCTTAGCCTTCTATTAAAGTACTCCTAATCTAATACATCCTATATATACTTAATAAGATTACTAAAGTAATCTTTTATCTCTTTAATAGATTATTAATAGTTTTTAATATTTAGATCTAGTTAGTAGATCATCTCTTTAAGCATAGACTAGGCATACTTAATTAGATTAAGATTAGGTAAATATAGTAGCTATTTAATAGTTAAGATATTATAATCTTCTAACTATTTCTTAACTATCTAAGCTATATAGATTAGGGTATTATCTTATATAAAAGTTAGCTCTAGAGAATAGATAGTAAAGATATTCTCCTTAAAGATCTTAAGATAGAAAGCTATAGGGTAGCTATTTTAATAAGAATTCCTATCTTTAGTTATTTAATTAATATCTAAATAACTACCAGCCTAAATCACTACCTAAATTATAATAGAGATATCTTTAGATTTACTATATATAATAATATACTTCTTTTTCTATTTATCCCTAAGCTAATCTAACTACTAGACTTATTATTAATACTTTCTATAGCCTAATTTAATAAAATATTTATTACTCTAGATAATTCTATAAAACTTATCTACACCCTAACTCTCCTACTCCTTAGTAGTGTTGTTATTTTCACAGGTTGGGCTGGGTTCTCCTATTCAGCTAACCTAACCCACTGGGTTTGGGCCTTAGAAACCTAAGGCCTAAACCAACCCATAGACCCATGGGTTCTAGGTGGCTTAACCTACTGGGTTTAGTTCTGCCAGGGGGGGTATTCTCCACCTACTTAATCTAGTTAGTATAGGCTAGGTCCAGCCCATGAACCTACTAAGCAATTTTAAATAGGTAAAACCATACTAATATTCTATAAAGATAATAAATATATAATAGTAGAATCACTAATTTTACTATAATATTAAGTAAAATATTAAGTATTAAGCATCTAGTAGTTAATATAATATATATAATATATTAAAATCTAACTTAGGTTAGATTTCTACATATAATTTTAAGTTTATAATAATTTTATTAGGGGGTGCATGTTCAGTAGTAAATATTAATTATTAAATATATATTTCTTAAAGACTTAAAGTTAAAGTATTAAATAAAGAATATACTATAATCTATAACCTATTTAGTTCTATTCACTTTGAGTCATGAATAGGCAGTAGTTATTAAATAATAGATAAGTATATATATATAATAATAACTTCTAATTCTTTATACTTAAATTAAACTCTCCTTCTTATTTATTTTTATTTATATATAAACACCCCCCTCTATATATAGAGCCCTTACTTATATATAGAGCCCCCCTATATTCTTTTTTTTTATATAGAATAAATTATAATTAATCTCTAGAGTCTCAACCTATTTATATTAATCTAACTTAAGTTAGATTTCACAATGAGTGCTAAGGGAAAGAAGAAGAGTCTTAGTAAAGTAATATTAGTAATAAATAATAAACTATCTAATAAAATTAAAGATATATTACTAGGCACTATAATTATTAATATTTATTATTTAAATACTAAGTAGCTAAATAGTAGGAACTAGAAGCTTAATACTAGCTATATAGAAAATCTCTATAAAAGTATAAGATCTGGAGTTTAGTGCTTTAATATAGATACTAGGATAAAGATTAATATAACTTAGATTAATTAGAACTAACTACTAAACCATCTAGTTACTAAATATATAGCAATAAATATCACACCTATACTAAAAAATAAAGGTAAGATAGTTAAGAAGTAAAGTACCTAGATCTTATAGAAGATTATATAGAACTCTATAGCTAATCCTTCTCTAAGTAAGGATATTATAATCTATAATTAGCTATAGGGGCTACCACTAATAACCCTTAATATAGATTAGTATTAAAAGACTACTCTTAAATTACTACTTTTAGATTAATAAGTAGTAGTAGCTAGGCCTCCTCTACCTACTACTAATAATAATAGCTCCCTACCTCCTACTATTAAAATACTAATAGATAAGGTAAGTAAAATCTAATCTAAATTAGATTTATATCTACTAACCTATATATAGAATTACATCTAAGCTATAGATATATATTATAATAATATATTTACTATAGAGATGTGGATAGCACTATGCTTAAACTATTAGAAGATAAATAATCTAGATTTTAATAGTATCTTTCTAACTTATATACTTAAGGTATTTAAGACTAAGAGTTTATAAGAGAAGAAGTAACTCCTCTTATCTAGTAAACTAAAATAGTAGCTTATATAAATACTTAGTATTAAGCTTAATTAGGTTAGGTATATTCTCCCTATACTTAAATATTCTAAGTTTAAGAGATTATTTAAGGACTATTATATAACCCTATATAGGATATTATACTTTAACTTTACTACTATTAATAAGATTATCTCTAGCAAGCTTAACTAGGTAGGTATTCTAATATATATATAATTTAGAAATCTAACTTAAGTTAGATTTAGCTTAAGTACTTTAAAGAGTTTTTTAAATTTAAGAAGGTTATCTTTAGTAAACTCTTAGCTAAAGTATTAGATATAGACTAGGGCTATCTAATAATACTTCCTATCCCTTAAAAGTATAGTATTCTTTACCTACTTTTCTTTCTAATTAATAATAACTTTATTAATAGCATACTGAATTATAGTCTTCTCTAATTATTAATAGTATATACTAATAGCACTCTTACCCTACCTAAAATAGTACTATTTAGGGTTAATTTAGTTATATACTACTACTAATACCCTAACTTTTTTTCAGTCCTATCTAATATTAAGTATTATTAACTTTTTATAAACCTCTAGAATAATCTAGATCTGAAATACCTATTATAGCAGTCCTAGACTATTATAAATAAGGAGCTTAGGGAACTAACTACTAAAGTATTAAAGTATATAATATTCTAGTTTAATCTAGAATAGAGGTACCCTAAGACTACTTAGAAGACCTTATAGATATTTACTTAGACTAGTAAAGTTAAGTTAGTTATTCTTAAGAAGTTACCCCTTACTATAGATAGTATATAGGGCTATGCCCCTAATAATAATACTACTAATATTATAAATTCCCTAATTAAAGATATTTAGGAAGAAGTCTGGGCTAAACCTTTATAGAGGGATGTAGAGCTAGCTAAATAAGTAAGTACTAAATTAAACTTAAGTTAGATTTAAACTAATTTATTCTTAGCTTAATATCCTTCCTAGTTAGAAACTAAATACTAAGGCTTCCCCTAACTAGATTAGCTATTTAGCCTACTTTAAGCTAAAGTATTAGATAAAGATAGTTAAAATTACTATTTATTATATAGGTCTAGCCTTAGCAGGGAAGATAGCTTACTTTAATAATCTTACTAAACTAATATATAATCTAACTTAGGTTAGATTTATTATACTACTAACTATTTATTAGTAGGAGAACCTGGTGAATTAGATAGCCTAGGGATATTTATTAGTAAATATTAATTAGTAGTAAAATCTAATAATCACTAATATATATATACTTAAGACTAATACTATAAAGAAGTTATTTATAGAAGAAGCTAATATTCTTAGGACTATTTAGGGATACTATAATCTAAAAAAGATTATACTAGATACTCTTAAGCAAGGCTTCCTAAGTAAGATTACTTAGGTAAAAGGCTAGTTACTCTATAATAAGGTATATTATATAAATCTAACTTAAGTTAGATTATATTCTAACTATATCTAGACTAAGTAGAA